GGGCACCAGCAGACAGCCCGGCGTGGGTCAGGCCCTGAGCAGAGCCCGCCCGAAACGGGGGCCAGGGGACACCTCGGCTGGCAGCTCCCTCCCTCCTGCCCCCACACCCCCCATCTCTCCACAGCCTGGCTTTGCTCTCATTGCTTCTCTGGAAAAAGATTTCCAAAACCTCTTTTTTCTTAAGACTTTCCTTTTCATCTAATTTTGTCTCGGAAGCATTTGAAGGTAAGTTAAAAAGAGCTCAGCAAAAACAGTAAGTGAAATAATTTATGGGACTATAAAGGATGCCAAGGCAGGCACCGCAGAGCATCCTGTGTCGCGTCCCCGCCACCGTCTTTTATTTTTGTTTGTGGTTCTGCTGTCACAACATAACCTTTGCAAGTTCCCATCCACCTGAAGTGAAGTGTAATCTAATTAGTCCAATTTGGGTTGCTTCTATTTGAATAATTTAGCATACACCTGCAGTATTAATCAATCATTATTATTTTTAATTAACTCATTAACTCACAGGTTTTCAGAAAGTTTGAAGTGACAAAATTTCCATGGTTGAAGCCTGGAGTGAGATGGAGCAAGCGGCTCTTGGTGGTGCGAGCAGCCACAAGTGCTGATGATTTCTTGAAGAATTTACTTTAATGGCAAACTCCTGCTGTACAACAGGGCCTAATTAGCACGTATAGGGTTGAGTTTTCACTCATGGCTCCTCCATCACCCAACCTCACCTCTAAGGACTGGCTCCCTTTGATGATAATTGTCATTACACTTTGTCAAACTCATTAGCTTTTAAAGAAAAGAGCAGCTCGGAAAGACCAGGGAGCAGGCGGTGCTGGGGCCGAGGGCTGCGGAGGCATCAGAGGGTTTGGCTGGGACCCTGCTGGGAGCTGCGGGTTTGCCTGGGTGGGAACGTGGCATTCCCAGCTGGAGGCATAAACAGCTCCCACTTGGCTTCTCAAGTTCACTGAAAGAGTCAAAAAATCTTTAAAGCTTGCAAATGAAAAAGAAAAAAATCATAGAGATCAAGCTGCAATGTGCTACAGCATGCTGGATCACGTGGCAATAACAAGGCTGCATTACAAAGGAGATCTGCCATCATAAGAACCAGGAAAAAAAAAGGTTATTTACACTGTGACTCTCACCTTTTTTTTAAAAAAGAAAAGCGCGAAGAATATTTTCACACATGTACTTCAGTTTTCAGTAAAAATAGTTAATTATTATGCCGATGAATTTCACAGGTTGATTAAAGAAACCTGATTTTAAGATTGAGCCTGCAAGCCCCCCCCCAGCGGGGGTTTGGAGTTGGGGGGGGGGGGAGTGGTGGTACTGGAGCTGCCTGTGGGTACAGGGTGGCTGGAGGAGACGCAGTGAGTCCAACAGCTCCCAGCACAGGTCCCTTCATCCCAGCAGGATCAGCCCTGGCTTTTCCCTGGGCATCCCAGCAAGGTGCCCCTACGCAGCCCCCGCGGGCGGGAGCACCCGGATCGCCAGGGCAGGAGGGACCCCAGGGGTTCCTGCCCCCAACCCAGAGCTCCCATCCCAGAGCTCTGGACCCAGCCTCCAGCATCCACTCGATTTCTCCCATGAAGTCCAAGCTGTGCTGGCAGATCAGCCAGCTGCAGCACAGCCATAGGTACCCCCCTTACAGAAACGTGAGCTTCTTTAAGCTCTTTAGTTATTGCTTGGCACCTCCTGGAAGAATTAGTGTCTAAAAGGTGAATTAATCCATCCTGGCTCATTAGGAGCTCTCATTCTGCTCTGCTGCAGCAAACCCAGAGGTAAGGAGGGAGATGCTCTGCCAGCAGCTCTGTGAAAACAGCCCTGGAAAGGCAAGGCATGGGACAGGGTCCTCATGCAGCGTCCCTGTCCCTGCCCAGGGCTTTTAGTGATGGCTGGGGACACCCAAAGCAGCTGAGACGAGGCCTCTTGCAAACGCACCCTTGTCTCCCCAATGCTCAGGGTGGACCATCTATCCACCTCCGGCATCATCTCCAGAGCACCGAAGCCAGGAGCGGTGCCCAGCACCATCCTGCCCTAACAGCAGCCTCAGGAGGGAAATCCCAGGCAGGGGCTGGTCCCAGCCGCAGCGAGGGCAGCTCATCACCCCACACATCCCTGCCCCACGCCTGATCCCAGCCCCTGCTCCATCCTTCCCTGCACTGCACCAGCCAGCTTCACCGGGAACACTTCTATCAGGACAGGCATGGGCAAGTGTGTGCATACATGATGAGCAAAGAGACCAGGGCTTGGTTTTAAGCTCCCCAGGGTTGACTCTAAGTTGGAAATCCACCTCTCACTTCTCGCTAGGACTCGGTTTCCGCTGTGGCCCGAGGAGACCGAGCGGCTGGGTCTGGCCTGTCAAGCTCTGAGTGTCAGCACAGCAGCTGAAAAATGAGGAGCTGGTGCAGGCTGGGATCCAGATTTTATTGAAAGAGGAGCTACAGCTCCATGGAGGAAATCCAGTACGTGCAACAAGAGCAAAGACAGAGGCAGCCGGGGCCAAGTCCTACCCCCACCATTAGAAAATATGCCTCCCTTGCTGCGATGGCACCGGGCTTGGAAAGCGATCAAAACCCATTCTTCTTACAAAATTCATAAGGCAGAGCCATCTGCCTGGCAGCCAGCTCTCCAGCTCCCATCCCTGCTTCTTGCTGGATTTTCCCTGCTGCCTGTCAGTGGCACGAGTCTGCTTCCCAACTGCCCAAAGCTGGGTCCAAAATGAGGGAGGGATGAAAATAGCTGTGCTGAGCCTGGCTGAAGGTGCGGGAATGGTGGGACAAGATTTTCAAGTGCCTTCACCACTGATAAATAAAAACTATGAGAATAAAATACCTTATATAGAGGCAGCAGCTCTTAGGACCCTAGGAAACAAGGCGGGATTTCTAACCCAATCTCTACAATGAATTTGTCCCTTTAATGTATCACTTAAGCCCTGACAGCGCGTGGCAAGTCCACAACCTCGCGACTGTTTATTTAAATACATTTTTAAAAACCCCTGTTAGGTGCAGACCATGACTTAAGTAATGTTAAGTGAATAATTCATGCGGTATTTATAATTGATGGGGGATTTAACAGGAACAGAGCCATAAGTGGCTTTCTATTAACTATTGATGCTCTCCGCCAGCCTCCCGACAAGGGTGGCTGGGCTCTGCGATCACAGCTCTCCCGCGATGTTTTATTTAAGTGCTGTTAAGGGTACACGCAGCCTGGGGGAACAACTCTGCTCCCGGGGAACGCTGCAGCTCCCGACGGTGGGCTCCCGGAGCCCCGGTTCCCGTGTGCCAGCGGGGAGAAACCCGGGGTTGGTGGGCTGTAAATGGGGAGCTCACCCACCGCAGGGCTGGCCTGGCTCCTTCCTCCTGCCCCCGCTGCACCAGGTGCTGGATCCCCCCAAATATCTGGGTGTCCAGGTAAACCCAGACCCCCCCAGTACCGGCTTATGGGTTTGTCTGCTCATGGGGTTTTGTGTCTTATTCCAGGGACGTGCCTCTAAAATCCCTTCCAGACTTCTTTGCAGACTTCATTTGTGAGAACAGAAGCGTGATAAGACGACCACGTATCTTGCTACACCCATCATTCGCAGCCCCATATGAAACATTCAGAAAGCTTCTAAAAATATATGCACAAATACAAAAATACAGTTAAAAGAACCCACCCGTATCCTAACAGACAGCGCATCTGTGTTCCAAAACATCGCGTTTCCAACAAAGCCGCAATAAACACACAGTTATCATAGCAACTGAAGCTGAGTCTTGCTCAGCGCCCGCAGGGAAAGTAGCAGGATCCAGCCCTGGTGGGGGGGGTGGGTTGCTGTGAGGTGTTCCTCAACCCCCCACCCCCACCCCCCCCCGCCAGTCTGGCAGCCCAGGGAGCCGCTCGGTGTGCCCGGGGGTTGGCACACACCCCACACACCCCCGGAGCACCCAGCAGAGCCGCTCCTTGTAAAACCTCAGGACTCTAAAGAGCACGATGCCGACCCCGAGGGGACACTCGCTCTGTTCCCCGGGGGAGGATGTCCCGGCAGGCAGGGCTGTGCGTGAGCACCGAGCATCCAGGCTGGCAGAGCAAGGACAAAGCCTGTTCACGGCGCAGGCAGGGGATATGGAATAATTCACACTAAAGCACCGTTCCCTTCAGAAAGGCTGGCAGCCTCAGGGCGAAATAAATGCTGAAATCTCCTTGATTGTTAAATAAAAGATTATTGATAAAATAACTGCTTCTAATGTGGCTCTGCTGCCAGCAGAAATGCAATATCTTTCAATTACTGCTTGGAAGCAAGGCTTTCCTTTTGTTTACTGGAAAAAAAAAAAAAAAAAAGAACCCACAACATGAAAAGAGATGCTCGTAAAGGACTGTGAAAGGAAGGTGAATCTATTTTTGCCGTGCTCCAAATCCGGCTGGGGCTTTGCGGGCGCAGAGCAGGTTAGCTGCTTGTTGGAGCCACGCAACCGGCTTTCAGCACACGGAGGGGGCTGGCAGGAGGATGGGGCATCTCTCTCGAGCCCCGGGGGAGCGGGCAGGTCCTGCCCAACACGAGGGAAAACGGCACATGGAGGTGCAGGAATGACCTGAGCAATTTCTCAGCTTTTTTTAGAGCTGAGCTGGCAAAGCAATCTCCTTCCTGGAGCAAAGTGCAGAACAGGGCGGGCTGCCCAGGCTGCCAGCCCGGCCACGGAGGAAGGAAACACGAGGTGCCTCAACAACGGCTTTGGGTCAACGTTTTGGGGCTGCAGAGGGATGCAAAGTGACTCACTGCCCCTCCGAGAGCTCCCCAGCTCTGCTGGCCACAGCCAAGCCCGACACCCCGATGTGAGCAAGACCCAGGGGGGAGCACAGCCCGGGAAACACCCGCGCAGGGGCCGGCTAACAGCAGATCGGGCAGCTCCATCTCCAAACACAGAGCACGCAAAGCACCACGCAGAAAATTACTTTTCAGGGGCCCTCAGGCCAATCAAACCCAGCCTGTGGCCCTGGGGTCACGCAAGCCCAGGGGGGCAGCACCCCCTTACCAGCTCCACACGCCGGCGGCTGGACTCCAGCTCCCTCTGCACCAGCTCGTCCATGTCAGCCTTCATCTCCTCCATCCTCCTCTGGTAGTACCTGGTGCTCTCCTTCTCCCGCGCCTCCGACTCGGCTGCCTTCTCCAGCTCCTCGCCCATCTTTATGATGCTGTCTCGCAAGCGCAGCACCAGCACCTGGGGAAGAGGGTGCGAGGTGAAGCCAGGGAAGTGGAGGTAAGGAGCTATGAAGCTCTCCACGAGCACCAAGCGATGTGGAGAGCACTCCCTCCCCACCCCACGCCGCAGGGCCGGTTACTGGAGTTATCATTATCAAGCATCACCCTGAAACCTTGCAAGTGGGGGCAGCTGCCTGCAAGTGGGTGCGGACCCTGGTGACCCCAGCCCGCCCCTGCATCCACCACGATGGGCAGCACCATCCCCCAGGGCCACACCGCACCCCCCGGGGCTCCCATGGGGTACAGCTTTGGGGTATGAGAGCATTTTCCTTCATCCCTGGGCCGGGCTCATTTGGGCAGCACGACTTGGGGGAAAAGTGACAGTAAAACCATCTCCTGGGGCGCCAGAAGATGTGCTGGTTAACAGGGATGGTGAAATATTGCAATGGAGCCTGATGTCTGGACGATGCCAGAACATCGGGGTGCATGGTGGAAAGGTGCAGTGATGGATGTGCCGAGTCAGCACGCACCACGCTCTGGGTCTGGAGGCAGGGGCTGTATGTTCCTCCGGGTGTTTATAGCACTGGGCCCACTGTTGGCTCTCAATAAACACTGCAGTGAAGCATGAATAGCTAATGGAAGTGGCATGAACCATCAGGACTGTCCACGAGCTGGCCGGAGACCCCACCTGCCCTTCCCCACCCTTTTCCCAGGTGCTTCTTCCCCCAAAGCCGAGGTGGTGGCATCACCACGTTGGCCTCTTGCAAGCAAGCTGCACCCCCCCCCCGGGGGCTCCACATCCGCGCAGTGAAGAGGTGGTACCTCGAAGCGTTTCATCTGCACGCTCTGGAAGTCCAGCTGGCTCTCCAGGTCGCGGATGCGGGCTTCTTGCCGGCTGACGATGGAGCGCTCGGCCGGGCTCTGCTCCAGCCGTGCTGCTCTCGCCTGCGCTGCCTGCAGCTGGGTGAGGAGGACGGGCTGTGGTGGCACCTCCCCGGGCCCTGCCCCACGCAAACACACACACCCCCCCCCGGGCCCTTCCACAGACTTCCCCAGCCCCTCGCCTCAGTGCAACACGCACCAAGGAGCTCCCGGGGCCCCCGAGGTGATGGGGCATTATGGAAAAGTATCGCCTTCGGCTGCCTGAAAGATTCCCTGTGGTTAATACTGCACAGTAAATGCATGACATGAACATGTATTTTTGAATGAAAAACGTGCTGGCGAGACAACACGTGTCTGGGTCTCTTTTGCTTTTCTCTTCGCACAAACGCTTTGAGGACAGCAGGCATAAAAATTCACAATTTACCCCTGTGTGGAAAGCTGCCTGGACCGAGCTGTTTCTTCAACTGCTACAACGAGATCTCCAAAGCAAATTGCTCTTTTAGTGATCCCAGTACAAGTTTGGTTCTATTTGACCTAGAACTACGGGAATTTGTCTTCTTTTATCTGGCCTATCTCTAAAGCTCCACCTGCTCCGCCTCGGAGGGACTGAGCCCTGCTTCTTATTCCCGGGCATTTTAGCTATGCTCCAATAAAGCACTTAAGTTAATGGGATTACTCATGTGTTTAAAATTAAATCCGTGCACTCCCAGAGGGTGGGTGCAGCCACAGAGGCGAGGCAGTGCAGCACCCAGCGGCACCCACCCTGGGGTCAGCCCTGGCACCTGCAGCTCGGGAAGGGAGGAGGGAGGAGTGGGGGGTCTCCATCCCGAGAGCTTCGCCAGGGAAAGCTTTCTCCAGCCCGAGGCCATTGCCGGCAGAGCCCCGCAGCCCACCCCGGCCCCGTCCTGCCCGGGGGCACGCACAGCGCATCAGGGAGGGGAGAGGAACCTGACCGTGCCACAGAGAAGGAATGGCTTTGGCCCCGGGGCGCAGAGACACGGTCCCATTTCAGACAGGAACGCGGCATCTGTAACTGGCACCGGCGACACGCCGGGCACAGGCGTCGGAGGACAGCCGGCTGGCCCCTCGCTCCTGGAGAGGAATTACCTTCTCCTGAAGGCTCTGCTTTTCTTTCTTCACGTCCTCCACCTGCGTCTGCAGCTCCCGGATCTGAGCGATGTCCGCTGCCGACTGCGGAAGGAGAAAGCGCCGCGGTGGGAGCAGACCCGAGGGCTCGGAACAATGGGCACACGTTGTGAGGAGCGCGGGGCCGAAGGCTGGCTCGTGCCTGCAGCCCGCCAACCGAAACAGCGAGCCGCTCCTGCCCTGGACTGATGGAGCTTAATTCTCCCGACTCGATGCAACTTCCCTAATTTTCGAAACCAATATTTGCAGATCAGGACAGAAACCATGTTGTCAAGGTCGGTTGTGACCTCGGGGTCCTCTCAGATACAGATTCCCGGCTCCGTAACACCAGCCACGGGGCAGCAGGCTGTGAATTGTCAGTCTTGCCAATACCCTTGCTCCACTGGGAGCCTCGGGGGCCCTCAGCTCCAGATCCAAGCTTTTGGGAGAGCCTGCCTTAGTCTGGGTATGGCACAGAAAACCCCAGAGCTGTCTGTCAGCACTTTTTAATCTCTGCATGAGAAAACAGTGAAAGAAAGAATAGAAATGGATCCAGAAAGGGATGCTTATAGGATTTCCCAACTATTGAAACTAAAGCCAAGACACTTCTTGAGAGAAGACTCAAGACTATGGGTGAGAGGAGCCGGAGCCGTGAGCCATCCCTTCCTCTCAACACAGAATCTGCTGCCCAGCCTCTGCTACCCCGGCTCCTACCTGGGCGATCAGAGCCTTGTGCTTTGCCATGAGCTCGTTCAGGTCCTCCTGGTCCTCGTCGATGCGTTTCAGGAGGTCGGCTCTCTCGTGCTGCAGCCGGTACAGCTGCTCATCCACCTGTGGGAGAGCCCACGGGACCACTGGCTCACGCGTCCCACGGGGGACCCACGGCACCGCGGCATCCTTGGGGACACGCTGCCGCTTGCCCCGGGAGAGGCAAAGGGAGCTCCTGCCCAACTGCGGCACACTGTGCCCTTGCCGGGATTTTATCCATCCACTAAACCACCCGGGGGCTGTCATTCCCAAAGAGGCTGGGTGATTTAGTAAACAGGCTCGGTGGTTTAGTAACAATGCTGATTATTGCTGATTTAGTAAAAAAAAGCTGACTATTGCCATCAGACACAAGGAGGTAGGACCGCGCTGCTGCCCTCCCACCTCCCCTGCCCTGTCTGCGTCTCCACAAACACACCAGGGTCTTGTTTCTGCTGAGGGTCTCCAGCTCTGTTTGCAAGTTCTCCAGCTGCAGGGCCGTCGTCTGCTGGGACCTCTGGGCCTCTGCGCACTTTGCTTCGCTCTCTTCCAACTGGAAAAAAAAAAAAAAAATGGGGGAGATCATAATTAAAGGAGCAGAAACCACATGCTGATTATGCCATTCTCCTTGCTGCACAGCCACGGCTATTTACACTTCACCCCCCAAACATCTTTCCCTGTTAACGCACTTTGAATCTCAACCTTTTGAAATCTGTGCTGCTCTTCAGCCTGTCTGCTCCTGGTTTACAGGGAAAACTTTTCCCTTCCCAGCCGGTGCAGCAGGGCTTCCGTGGCAGCTCCCGGCACACCGCAGCGCGGATCCTACCACCACTGACCTGGTGCCAAAATACACACCTCGATCTGCACATCCACCCTCTGCCTCAGCACTGCCGTGGTGAGGTAGAGCTGGGATCATTAATTTGCAAAATTATGTGAATTACATGTAATTCCTGATTAGAGCAATTCATGATTCGGAGTTTGCAAATGGGCTTTTCATGTGGCATAAATTGCATTTGCAAATACACATGAAATATCACATTTATAAATGCTAATTTGCTCTTGGTTTTTATAGCTCAGCCATTAAGGCTACAATCATCTTAAATGGGCTGCAAGCATCTGGAAGATGCAGCATCATCCCAAAAACTCACACCGCCAGGACGGAAGAGTTTATGTAGGCTGTACCTGAACATCCAGTTCCTTCCCTTGCTCACTTGGGTTTGTTTCTTTTCCTTGCGAAAAAGAAAACCAAACCTCTCCACTCACTGTGCATTTCCCGTGCCCAGTTCCCTGAAGAGGATGCAGAGCTCCCGGGAGCAACAGGAGCTGATGCCCACCACGGTGAGAGTTTGAGCATTTTAGGCTATTTACTCAAGGTTTACTCATCTTTTTTTACTCTCTTCTTCAAAAAAAGGGGAGTTGCAAAATACTGGATCTGGAGCAACCCTTGGCTCATTTCCCTACACTTTGGCACGACTGCCAGCAGCAATGGAAACCTTTTCCCCCTCCCTGCCAGGGTCACAGCAATGGTTTTCTGGTGCACATGGAAATGGGATCTTCAGCCTCCACCTTCCTTCCTAAATTGCATCCCCTTCTAACTATTTTTACCTCCTTTGGTGAGAAAACCTCTGCCTCCTGGGAACGCCATTTCCATCCCTGAGTCATTCTGTCACCCCTGCACGAGCAGAGGAACGGATGGGAAGAAATAACCCCAAACATCTTTGGGTCTCCAGCTCCAGTGCCTGCCAGAAGCTGCTCACCATGGGAAACACAAAGCTCTAGCACGGAGACATTTAGCAGTTTGAATCCTGCAGCAAAACCATTATTTAAAATGGTGTGCCTGACTCCGAACGCAGCCTGTGGTGATGGATTGCCCAACCAGTCTATTCATACCTCTGCAGAGACCCTTTCACAGCAACCCGTGCCGCGTTCCCTTTTCTTCCACCAGCTGAAAAATAGCCTTTGTGTTTAGCATAAAGCTCAGGCAGCCGTTGTCGAAATGACCCAAGCGATAGCTGCGGGGAGACGTTAAAGACGCCGATTGGACTGACGGCTCCTCTTACGGCCGAGGGCTTTTCCATCCGCCCAGCTCCAGGCTCCTCCAGAAGCAACCCCGTCCACAACCAGTCCCTGGGACTGGCCTTTCCCCTGCCACGATTACACTAAAACTCCAGATAGTTTAATCAGAGATAAACGCATCTCCAGGACCTTTCATTAAATACCAGCTTCCACTTCACTTCGTGTAATGGAATTTTCCCACTTGGGAAGAATAAATTGAAATCCCCCCCAAAAATGCATAATGTATGAACTTCTGAACAACATTAGTTTGCTGTGTTACACCATCTGTTAAATACCTGCGTAAAATGGATGCTTCAGCCTTATTAAGAAACAATGCTATACTTCGAGCCATATGGATTTTGATTAACGGAAATGTTGCATTTTAGCAAAGTTTTTATTCTTGTGGAGGTTTGTGGGCTGGTGGTAGGATGTACTGGCTTTTGAGAAAGTCGTCATGAATGCCATTAGAAATCGTTTAAATTTAAAGAACGGAATAATCATGAGGCATTTTTAACACATGCGGAGTCTCAGTGTTGGCGGCACGGCAAAAACTCAATATTCCCAATATTCCCCAATACTAAGGGCTTTCCGCTCCCCTCCAAAGCGCGAGGCGGGCGGGCAGAGGCCACCGCCGAGGGAGCCAGGGACTGACCTTGTGGCACCGCGGCCACGGGGACAAGAGAAAGCAGCCTCTTGCACGAGCCCGCCGGGCAGGACACCATGGGGATGGCCACGCTTGCCGGGCAGAGCGAGCATCCCGGCATCGCCGCTTGGCCCCTCGGCTCAGCCCGTGGAGGGGGACCCTCCACATCAGCCCCCCCGCAGCGGGATCCGGCGCTGAGCGTAGGGCCCAGCCCCGTTACGAGCACCGGGGGCTGGGAGAGAGCGAGGCAGGGGCTGTGCATCATCCCCGGCCCCAAAGCGGCACCCAGGAACGCTGAGGGATTAATGGTTAAGTGTAGCATTACAGCGTTAGCTTAATAAAGTTTAAGAAAGAACTCAGAAGTGCCAGAAATGGCCATTTCTGCTGCCTGCCCTGGCCATGGCCATCCCCTGCCCTGGCCATCCAGATCGGGGCACGGGCAGGGGCACGGGCACCCCATCAGCCACATCAGGCCGAGCTCACCTTCCCCTTCTCCCTCGGCACAGGTGGGAACAGCTGCTGCTCACAGATGTTATTTATGCAGGTCTATTATCTAAATTATATACCCGTGTTGCTGGAATCGCTCACACCTCCCGATTAGTTTGTTTCCCGGGGAAATGTGCAGTACAGATTAATTACTGAGCGGTTTTGGAGGACCAGTGCCGTTAGGTCAGCCCCAGCGCTCGGCACTGGGGGATGAATGTGCACGGGCAGCCTGGGGACAGCCACCCCTGTCCCACGGCAAGGCACCCCGTGGGACCCCGAGCTCACGGCAGGGCTGAGCCCACCCCCAGCACGGTGGGCACCAGCGTGGCACATGCCTGAGCCGCTGCCTGGGTCGCTGGGTGCCGGCTGAGAACCCGGGCTGTCTGCACTTAAACTACAGCAAAATCCACTGCGATCCCCGCTCCTGCCTTACAGCATCCCTATGGCAACGCCTCGCCAGCCCCGCGCCGCTGGAGCGCCTTATTAGACAGATAGAAAACGCGCCGAACAGAAGGTAATTAACAGGGCCGCGAGAAAAAAAAAAAAAAAAAAAAAAGGAAAACCAAAAATACTGAACCACCGTTGGCTTAATTACAGAGAAGTGCTCCTCACGAGGAGACCCTCCGCAGCACAAGAGGCGCTTCTGGCCCCGGGTGGGCGGCGCGATGCTCGCACAGCACCCGGTCACCCATCGCCCCGCACGCAATTAAAACCAGGAGATCTGCAACTTTTGCTCGCAGCTTCCCCTCGGCTGAGGGAAAGGGTGATGCTCCGAGGGGCAGGGAGATGCCCGCTCGCCCGAGGGCACCTACCTGCTTGCGCAGCCGCTGCAGGTCCTGGGTGCCGGTGCTGGGCTCGGGGGGGGCCGCCCGCAGCAGCCGCACGTCGGCGAGCAGGGCTCGTGTCCGCCGCAGGTCCCGCCGCAGCCGCTTCTCCACGTCGAAGTCGCGGTGGCCGATCTGGGGAGGGGAGAATGGGGGGGGATGTCCTTGAGCCCCGGCGCCCCGCTCCACCCCGCAAAACCTCCATCGGACTTTTCCATCCCTCCCCAAGGCATCCCCTCCGCAAAATGTGGGAGTAGGGAATTATTTCTGTAATGCTGAAGCTACGATGCAAGAAGATACTAAATATCTATGTATAAATATTACAATTTTCCCTCCTTATGAAATAAAAATAATTGAATGGTTAAATAAAAGGGAGAAAAAATAGGTTAAGTAAACATCAAAACTGGCAGATTCCATCAAAATACCACATTTTTTTCCCCATTAGAAAGCTGTTCCTCTGAAAACATTAGCACGCTCCTGGTCTCCATCAGCCCAGCAAGCCATCCCTGTGGACAGAGGGACAGCCCAGCCACACGGCCGGGGGGCACAGGCTGGCACTGTGGGTCCCCAGAGCCATAGCACCCCGTCCTTGTGGCCACTGGGCACTGTCACCCCCCCAGGAAACCACCCTGGCCAAGGGGTAGAGGGACAGAGAGAGGCAGACCCAGAAGATGCGGGTCCAGCGTCTGTGCTGAGAGCTGGCACAGAAAATGCAAAAGTCATTGTGTGAAAGTAAAAAAAAAAAAAAAACAAAAAAAACCAAACCAAAACCACCTCTGCCCCTTTGGGGGAAAAAAGTGACAAAGTCAGGAGGAATTCAGCCCAAAGGGGAAAGGGAAAAAAGCTACAAGGCGCTGATGAGGAAAGGTTCATTAGGAGTTATTTACACATCTCTAATGCAAAGCATCTGGAGTCCCCGCCAGCCGCGGAGGGACGTAACCGACGCTGCCGCCCTCGGTGCGGGAGCAGCATCTCCCATGTGTGAATCCCCAGCAGCACTGGTGGAAAATAACTGCTGTGTGATTTTGGAGGCTCGTCCCCAGGCAGGGGGGTGTCACCACGTTACTCCGAAGCCTTTTAGAGAAGGGAAGTAGGAAGCACCTTAAAAAAAACCCCTTTACGCTCCCCACCTCAAGCTGAGAGCAACCATGGTTACGAGAATACAAGAATTAGAAAAACACCAAGTAAACAGGCACATGGTTTCAGTGCTTCATTTCAGACTAATTGAAGTGTAAGAGCCTTTTCCATTTAGTCTGTTTTCCACAGCTCTTCTTGTTTCAAACCTGTTCTCCTATATTCTGTTCAGTGGCTAAAATTAATTGTGCAGATTTGACCTCGTAACCTGGTTTAGAGCTGGCTGGCATTTGCTGGAACCAGAAATCGTTGGTATCTCCATTTCCTTAATTAGTTTTCTGGGTTGGCTTTTTCTTTTTTTTTTTTTTTTTTTTTTTCCTTTTTTAATAAACTGCTCTGAAGCACTCTGTCCACTGTAAATCAGACATCATTTATAACAACACTGCAGCGCAGCAGGCTTGCTGTTCTCCCTGCCGCCCCCCTTGACTGTATCTCGGAGGCCGTTCAGCATCGTTTTCCCGCAGCTCAGGGTCTGCCCACCACCCCAGAGGGGGGATGTCGAATCGCTGCTGCCTCCTCCCACCATCGCAGCCCGGTGCTTTTCAAGTTACAAAGCCACGATTTCATTTAATAGCTGCTTTCAAGGCTTCAGTGGTATCTCACACACATGATAGCGATCCCCAGCTGTACTATTCCAGCTCCCCTTCCCCTCACACGCACGGGGAGGGGGGGCTGGGGGCTGCCCGGGCAGCGCCTGGGAACACTCCAGGAAGGAGAAGGTGCCTTTCCTCGAGAGCATCCCCAGCTTCACACCGTGCAGCTCCTGCTGCCTCCTCATCCATCTCAGTTCTCCTCCACCGAACAAGAGGGCCGTGCTGGCCTGAGAAGCAGTTATAATAATACCCTGCTTTTATACGGCAAGATTTATTCTGACAGTTCCCAAAACATTTTATAAGCCAGGAGCTGGGGGGATGTTATGGATAAGCCTCGTCAGATCATTTTGTGCCTACTTGAAATATGCCCATCATTTCAGTGTTGCAAAGCTCCCAGATTCATCCCGTTTAATGAAGCCATGCAATTGCCAGGGCTGGTGAAACGGCGAAATCCAACCGGCTTGTGCCAATGGCCGGAGGACGTGCTGCTTAATTACCGGCAGCCCCAGATACTGAGCTCCTCCTCTCCCGCGTGCAGGGTGAGGTGCATCGCGGCAGGGGCTGGGCGAGGGCGGTCGGGAGGCACCAAACCCAGCCCGGCTGAGCTCCCGGGTGCCCCAGCACCGAGATGGCAACGCTGAACGCGCCGGGCTGGTACCGTCCTCAGCCCTGGCAGCACCGTGGCCCCAGGGAAGGGCCAGGCAGGACCTGGGTCACCAGAGCTCCTTCAGCAGGAGCTGGTGCATGAGCCAGCGCCCGGGCCTGGCTGCTCAGCGATGCCCAGCCCAATAAATGTTGTTCAATGAGGCTGCATTCAGCCCCTTGCCTTCTCATTTAACAGGGAGCAGCTGTGTGTGCTTTTCCCATTACGTGCACTTCAATCACTGCCACAGACACATTAAAGAGTGAAAAAGGATTTGTTCAACAAATGTGTCTGGGATAGAATTCCTCTGCAAAGAGCAGAATCTGATAAACTGCTTTTCTGGGCAGTTGGAGCTGCTCCAGCATTAGTCCTGGTTAGTCTGACTCTCATGAAAACACCAGAAAAAATCAGATGCCCCCCTCCACTTAGCTTAATCTGCACAGAAGCGAACAGTTCCCCTCTGTGGGTCTTTGGGGGGTCTGGCTGTCTCCTACTTGATGCCAGCAGTCCCAAAACCCTCCTGGCACCCAGTGCCTGCTGCGGCACGGCCGCAGCTCTGATGGGCGGCGTTTGGAACCGCCAAGGGACAGAGGGCAGCACAGCTGGCTGTGCTGCCTGAACAGCCAACCTGTGGTGTGGCCCCATCCACACGCACACAGGCATTCACACTTCCTTTTTTTGTTTTTTTGTTTTTTTTTTTTTTGTTTTTTTAATAGGCAGTGTTTTGAGCAAGGGCATGGCCAGCAAAGCAGCTTGGCTGGCTGGGAGGTAGCAGCAAGGAGAGCAGAGCACAGTCCCCCCCCCTGCCAGGCTAGCCACCGTCCCCTTACCTGCTCGCACAGGGTGCTGATGAGCCCTTCCAGGTCCTGTTTCTCATGCAGCACCATCTGCTTCTCCTCGTACTCCTGTTCCAGCTGCATCTCCAGCTGCCGGAGCTGTATGCAGGAGATAACCCCCAGCCACGCTCAGAGCCCGGCCGGCCCCAGCCAAAGCTCCGCACCCCGGCACGACACCGGGAGAGGGTGCGCACCGAAGCTTCCCATCACCGCAGCTGACACTGGGGACCCCGGGATGGGTCACGTCCCCTGGAGCCCCTGCTACCCCCAGGCAGTGCAACTGCTCCTGGCCAGGAGCCTGCGGGACTTTCGGGGACACGATGGGCTGTTTGAGCCACCCTGCCTGTGAGGAACACTCAGAAGTCCCGGAGGGTTGTCCCTGCAGCTCTGGAAGAGGGGCCAGCTCTAATCCCTCCAGGTCTCCTCAAGACATCCCGTGACCACAAACCAGGCGGGCAGCACGATTCTTGCTCCAGCTCCCCACCAGCGAGGAGGTGACAGTGGCCTCTCGGGGCAGAGCGTGCCATGAAGGCAGGATTTGTATTGCTCCTGGGAGCAAAGGGAACCTGAGAGCCAGCACCGAGTGCAGGAGCCTGCACCCCTCTGCCTTTGCCTCGGCTCAAGCATCGCCGACCCGCAGCGCCGCAGCAACAACAAGTGCTTTGCAGGAGGGAACTGGAGCCGGGGTGGCATCGCAGAGCCCTGCCGTGCAGCTCTGAGGGGTCCATCCAGTCGAGCCAGGAGGGCTTGGGGGTGGAAATGTGTTAACAAAGCAAGCCAGCCCATTGCACAGCCCGCTCCTCCCCTTGCAAGCTGCTGCATGGCTGAGCCCACAGGAGTGGATGTGCCAGGCTGCGACCCTGGCACAGCTCCCCAGAGCCCTCCCTGCCCCAGCCGCCTCCTGCAACCCCAGCCGCTGCTCAGAAACAGGATTTAAAAAGGGAATGGGATCAAGCTGCTAAATATCGATTGCTCTCCGGAGTGTCTCTGCCATTTACTCATTTGGAAAATAATACTCAGGCCACGCAGGGTGAGGGAGAGAAAGGATGGAGGACAGCCCGTTGGCCGAGAGCAGCACGAGGCACGGCATCTCCTTCCGTGCTGCTGGCAGTAGCTTGCTCTCTGCACGGGGCATTTAGACAGAGAGGTGCAGAAGGGTAGGGAGGACCCCGGGGAGGAACCCTGAGCAACGTGTCCTTCCGACCAGCCTAGAGTTTCAGCCAAAAACAGCCAGTGGAGAGGGGGAGGGAGCAGCACTGAGGTGCTGCTGCTCCCTCCAGCAGCAGGGCAGCACTGCGGGAAGGCAGCACAATGGGAAACAGGGGTGTTTGCACGCTGGCAGCCTCCCGTGGCACCCAGAGCCTTACAGCTCAGGGCACGACTACGTGCTGGCAGGAGCAGAGGTTGCCTCCTTTGCCTTCCCACTTGTCCTGCCTTCCTAAAATAGCACACACAAAGCCCCACCGACCGCTTCATTAAGCCTCAGCAGTGTTAATTCACTGTCGACCGCCAGGTATGCCCCAGCCTGAACGGGAATTGGCTGCCATCATGCAGCCCCGCATCAAACACCCCGGGGATTTTGGGGAAACTGGAATTCATGTTTGCATGCCACCGACCTTGCAGCTTTGTGGAAAGGGTCTTTTCTGTCCATTATCACCAAAGGTGAAGCCCTGGAGGGGCTGGAGATGGTGCCCTTGGCGTGATGCTGGTGTTACTGGGAGCACCATGCTCATGTGCTGCATCGCACGTGGCTCCCATGCATCGTCCCCCCACAGCCCCTCCAGCACAGCAGGGACTCACCCTGACCCAGACCCTGATTTTTGCACCCCAGGGCTGTGACTGGGGCTCGTGGGGAAGCAGCAACCACCTGCCCCGCTGCTTCCCAAGGAGGAAGGACCCCCCGGGAACGGCTCCTCCTCTGCACTGCACGCCAGGGAAGCCCTGGGGAGCACCCAGCATTGTCCCCCCCCACCCCAGCGCTGACCTACCCTCCTCTGGCAGGACTGCCGCACATCCTCCAACTCCTCATCCTTGTCCTCCAGCTCCTTCTGGTGGATCTGCTTCATCCGCTCTATCTCCAGCTCCAGTCTCTGGTGGAGCTGAAAGAATAAAAGCCAAATGCACCAGCGGCTGCACACAGCCCCGGAGGGACGGGGACAGTGTTGGAGTGGGCTTGACGTGCCCCTGAGGGGATGGTGCCCAGGTGGGGACTGCGCTACCTGCTCCAGGTGATCAACGGCGGCTGTTTGCCTCTCCAGCTCTTTCCGCTGCTCGGCAGCGCTGGCCTCCAGGTCCCAGAGCTGCTTTTTGAGTGCGGGCACGGCGCGGGCGTCCAGGGCGCTGGGGGTGCTGAGCTCCTGCAGCCGGCCGGCCAGCAAGGTCCCTCGCTGCTCCAGCCTGGCCACCTCCGCCTCCTTCTGCTGCTCGCCGGGGGCAGAGCGGCGGGTCAGCAGCCGGGCCCCAAAGGCAGGAGAGGGGGCTTTGCACAAGCATCCCACTCTTAAAACCCACAGCCTTCATCAGAAACACCCTGGAGCAGCAGCAGGCAGCGGTCAGCCCCCTCCCCACCATAAGCCCCGAGCAAACCTTTCCCTCTCGGTGTTGTTCACTCAACCCTGACCTCAAAGAGCACAGGTGACTTCCGTGAAAATGAGGGTGGGCCTAATTAGCAAAGCCATGGGATGGGTATCGTTTGTTAAAAGTGATAGCCTTTCTTCTGGCAGAGGATAACGTTAGTTAAATATATGAGGCACATCCTAGAACTGAGCTAAAAGGGATTGGAATCAAGTTGCTGGGTTTGTGCTTGATTGCCTCTGCTATAATTGCAAAGATAGTGGCTCTGAGAGCTGTTCCTGATGCTGCATATAATGCAGCAAAGTGGGATATTTTTCTCTTACTTCTAAGCTCTGCTGAAGTTTGCCCATTTCCCATCGGATGCTGGTGTTCTCCTGGGACAATTTTTCCCGGAGGCTCTTCTCAAAGGCAGACTCTCCCAGGGCCTGGGCTAGCTGCAGGTCAAACCTGGAGGAGAAAATACACGTTACCTCTCCGGAGCGGGTCTGCAATGGCAGCACTGGACTTTCCAAGTGCTTTTGAGAGTACACACACACACAAAAAAAAAAAACACAAAAAAAAAAAAACCACAAAAAACAAACAAACAAACAAACAAACAAACAAACCAAAACAAAACAACAACTAATTGTCTACAAAGTGCTGCCATAATTTTGGGAATCCCTAATTCCTCCGCACAAGTGCCAGCTGTGGTAAGCGGGCAGCGTGGAGCAGCAGTGATGTGCAGACAAGCAGTCACCAAGAGCAGAGGGGAAAAAAAAAAAACCACACTGCAATGGGCTGCTACAGACCCAAAACAGCCCAAAATGCGCTTGTGTGCAGGCAGCAGCCCCCTGCCCCTGCCACGGCGGGCAGCTCCATCCCCAGGGCCGGCCGGGATTCTGCTGCACCGAGGGTTGGGTTTCAGCCTGGGAAGCATTGCCACTTCAGAGAGATAGTCCTGGGAGCATCTCAGCACCTTTATATCTCTGGGGGAGACCAAACCCCAGCCCAGAGTCAGCACCTCAGCGCAAGCACGCGGGGAACACCGGCAACAAAATGTAAATTAAAAGAAATTATAAAGAAAGCAGTTGGTGATTTCCCATGTTTTCTGTGCCCACTTGGGTTCGTATCCTATTTTGGGGCAGAAAACCTATTTCCTTCATGGGTTAAAACACTGGGGATCATTTCTTGGCTACAGGACTCCTCTCCCCCAGGCCAGGAGCCCGGTTTGCCGGCAGCGCTCCCGGCACAGGCACATCCCCACCAAGGGCACGCCGAAACCTGGGACACCCCGACACGAGGGTGCCCCCGCACCCAGCGACACGGGAGCCCCCGGCAGCGCTCCCCGCGCCGCCGCCGAGCCTTGCGCGGGGAGGGGGGCGGGGGGTGACTGCTATTACGGAATCGTGTCACCATCGCACGGCAACGGGATGCAAAAATAACCTCCCGGCTTGCCGATGGAAATAGCAGCCCTTCGAGGAACTCCTCGCCCGCAGCCCCCCCCCACACAGCATCCCTGCCCTCCCGCTCCAGCATCCCTGCCCTCCCGCTCCAGCATCCCTGCCCTCCCGCCGGCTCTCACTTCTTCTGCCGCTTCTCCAGCTCGTGGCTGCGGCTCTGCTGGCTCTCGGCGAGCGTCCGCGCGTCCTCCAGCTCGCAGGCCAGCCGCCGGCACCGCCGCCGCAGCTCCTGGGACCCCTTCTTGGCCGCTTCGCAGGCCGCCTGCGCCTGGCCGAGCTGCGGGCAGAGGCGGCGGTGAGCGGCAAGGGGAATGGGGGGGACCCTGTGGCACGCGCTCCCCACCCGGCGCTCAGCCCGTGGCTCACCCGCAGATCTTTCACCGAACAAGGACAAATTCAGGTGCCCTGACTCCCCCCTCCTCCGGGTACCCTCCCGTGTGCCTGCAGCGTCCCAGCTCCTCCTGCTGAGTCAGCAAAGCTGCCCCAGGGGCGGACGCAGGATCCCACTTCTCTCTGCAAAAAGCAGCGCCCGGACCCAACGAGCTGCATCCCCCAAGGGGTTGCATCGTGTTTGGGACAGAGAGACATGCAGCGCTCTTGCCAGCCAGAGAATGGAGTCATTAAGGAATTACTTTAAATAAGCAAAATCTTGCATTAATGAACCCTGTAACTATCTGAAAGCAAATGGGCTGTTTTGCTTTACCCAAGTTCCTAAGACCGGGCTGCTTTCCTTATTACTTTTTAATGTACCATGAATAATACTCATTTTTTTTTATTTTATCCTCATGGGAAGTGACCTGACTCCCAGGCACGCTGGCTTTCTCCCTCCTCATGGCAAAGCTCGGGAACTGCCAGCCCTGCACATTAACAGCTCTTTGTGGCACCGAGACCCACTGCTGACCCCCTCCCCACCCTCAGTTTCCCACCCTGGGTTCACGCTCATGCTTGAGCAAGGCTGAATTTTGCCACGTTCTGGTGCAAAAGTGACTTTGTACGCTTGAAGGAAGTTTGGGGGGGGTTTACTCTCGAGGCAGCAGAAGAGGGCTGGTTTCCCCCGGTCCCCATCAGCAGCAAGCGGCTGCATTTCTGAGCGCCGGGAGCGGGGAGGGAACACCCAGCTCCAGCAGCAGCCCCGCTCCACGGTGTGACCCTGGGGAGCCCCTGTCCCTTCCCGTGCCCCCCGGGGCCGGCAGCGCTTACCTTTTGCTCCAGCCCCGTCCTGGCGCCCAGCTCGGACTCCAGCCGCTCCTCCAGCTGCACCAGCCGCTTCCGCAGGAAAGCAATCTCCGTCTGCGCGCAGTCGAAGCGCACTTGCCACTCGTCCTCTGCGAGCAGAGACAGACCCAGAGGCGCTGGGTGGGCGCTCAGGCCTCGGCAGCCCGAGCCGGGGGCAGACGGGTGAACGCACAAGACGGGTGAACGCACAAGACGGGTGAATGCACAAGACTGGTGAATGCACAGCGGCACCGCAGCTCCCGTATGGCATCAACGCCAGCACCGAGCTCTGCTTTGGGCACCCAGGGCTGCCCCAGCTCTCACAGCACACGTGCCCCCGCCTCAGGCAGAGCATGCAAGCTCATCCCATCCCACTCGTGTCTTAGCAGCCTCCTCATCGCTTCAAAACATGCTTCAAACCCACTCTGAGCTGCTGGGCAGTGCCAGCAGGCGCCAGCAGTGCCCTGAGGCAGAATCTCTGCTGTAAGGAACTGGAGGAGTTAATGCCTCAAACACTCCTCAGCGCCTCGAGGACAAGTTGTTGGCCTTTGTGAGGAGGCTGAGGGAGCTGCCCAGGGCAGCGCAGGGTGTATCGAGGGGTGCACAGCTCCACTGCCTGCTGCTGCAATGCCAAATTCCTTAGATGAACCTCGAAGGAAACTATACCTTCAGGCCAAATAGACTGATAAGCTAAAGGCTGGACAATTACCCAAGATGCAAAAACTGAGGAAAATGTAAAAGGGGTAGGGAGGAGCACGAACCGACTCAATCGGAGGAGGGGGCTGGTGCACCCCGTTCCCCCTCACCGCACGCACAGAACCCACGCTCCACCTTTCCCTCGTCTCTCATGGAAATGAGTTCCTGGAATACCTGCCTCTCGTGGTCTAGTATGCAAACCAGCTGAGAAAGATGAACTTGAAAGGCAACAGAAAATTCCGCTGCGTGTGCACCCACCACTGAAGATGACTGGACCTGAGACAACGCTGGAACCTGGGGTGGTGATCCAGACTTTTTTCCTCCCCTTTCCTTCTCTTCCCTTCCTTCTCTTTTTTATAGATTCATCAATAAGAGATCACTTTGCTTACTATCTTTTTCCAAGTTTAAGCTGTTTCTACCACAAGTAAAATATTTTTAGCTGGTCGTTTAGTGTCGTTTCACCTTAATTTAACCCAAGGTGATGGCAGAACCTTTATGACTCCCTGGGCTCCCAGTCCAGGTTGTAACACCTGCCTGCACCCCCAGCCCCGTGCACGAACCAGAGCCACGTGCGACCGAGCTGTCGCTCCACCGGACGAGCAATGCAGAGTGACGGGGTACCAAAACCACCCTGGGGTGGCCAGGAGTTGAGGGAGCAGCACAGCTTGGGGCGGGCCAAACCGCTGCCCAGGGCAAGAAGCTTTGCTGGCCCGCTGGGGTGGCCGCGCTGGCCCCACAGGTCGTGCTGGATGCCCAGAGCAGGCATCGCCCCCGAAGGGACACCCCTACCTCCTCCAGAGCCGCTTATCTTCATCTCGCGCAACTGAACCAGCTGCTGGGCCTCTTCCAGCTGCTTTTCCACCGACTCCAATTTCTTCTGCACTTGGTCGTGTTTGCTCTGGGGAAACCCAGGGAAGGAAGCGAGCAGCTCTACCCGGCTCCAGGGCACTGGGGTCCAGTGAGGCTGTGCTGGGAGGGCAGCATCGCCACCAGCACGGCCCGAGGGCTCGGGGCTCTCCTACCTGCAGCTCCTGCAGCTCGCGGGCTCCCCGCAGCCTCTCTGCCCGCTCCCCATCCAGGACCTGGCAGGCAACATCACCCTTGTACCGCTCGTCCGACAGCTCCGTCGTCAGGTCGATGATCTGGGGGGGCAATGGGGAGTCAGTCTGGGCATCGCCGTGAACACCGGGTTTGGGGGGGGGCGGTGGGGGGGCGGTGGTCAGCCATCCTGCATCCACCCTGCAGAGTCCTGACTGGCAGCTGCCTATGCTTAGGGGACATGGTAAGCGCACACCACCACCGACCAGTGTCACCAGTGGGAACCCAAGCTTCCACTGGCAGTGCCCAGCAAAGAGCAACCGGTGCTGGAGCCGGTGGCTGCCCCTCACACGGCTGCCTGCCACGGCTGCGCGGCTTTCTCCATTGTTCTAGTTGGCTGACACTGCATTTCATTTGAAACAACAAGCAGACAAATCAAGGGGGGAGATATTATTAATCTGGAGAATTAATTCCACTTTCTGCAAAGCAGAGGTGAGCAGTCTGTCCTGCTCAGCTGGCCGAGCGAGGGGCTGCAGAGGCGGCAGGGCCAGCAGGAATGCGCAGGTTTCCAATGCTCCTTTTCCCCCGTTTGACAGCATTTAAAGGCACTTTACATTTTGCAGGCATGCTACACAAGTTCCTTAGGGGGTCCAACAAATTTAACTCGTTAAGTAAACTCCATAGGTTTTCTTTCCCTGGGGAGCCGGCATTTTTCTAGGTCTGTCCTGAGGCATTAGCCTCCCTCAGCACTCCCAGCCTCGTCAGTGTGATTCCATTTTTAACAGGGAGCTCAAGCTAAATCATCTTTAGCTGCTTCCCGTTGAGAAGGGGGTCCCTGGCCCTCAGGGCTCTTGGCACCATTACCCAGAGCTGCAGGGTCACACCCAGACCGCAGCTCTCGCAAGGGGCGAGCCGGGTAAACCCAGGGGATTTACAGCAAATTTGGGAGCTGCTCTTCTTCTCAGTGCTTAATAAAACCCCAGCGGCAATCACGCAGCAGTCCGCGCGTCCCAGGGGGGACCCCGCGCAGGACCAGCGGCCGGCGGGGGATGCATGTGGTCCCCAACGTGCCTCCCAGTCCCTCCCAGTTCCCTTCTGACACCCGAGCACCGCAGGGTCATGCTCGGAGCCAGGCGACGAGCAGGACACTTCTGTGAGCCATCTCCTCGGTATTAGCATACATCCCACTAAACTAAGTCACTTCTGGTGTCTGCAGAGCTCGGCGAGCTGCAGTCCTGAGAGTGTAATGAGAACACGACACGCCTCGGTGCAAATTCCCGTTCCTTTTTCACCCCTTTGTCAGCAGAAGGGGTGACATTCCCACTGCCACCTTTCAGTCTCGTACGCCCGCGCCGGTGGCAGCACGAGGTGACGTCTGTCCTTTCCCTGAGGCTTTCCCTGGCAGCCCATTCCCAGGGTGTCTGGGCTGCTCGGCGGGTGCAGGCCCTGGGGGGACCCATCGCTCCGGCAGGCAGGACCCCCCCCCCCCGAGCAGGGACCCCGCAGCGATGCTGGCGCTGGGTGCTTCAGCTGGTGCCCCCCGAGGGTCCCAGCCTGAGATCTGCCGCTGGCTGCGGTCACTTCGGCAGCAGCCCCCTGCCCAGCCCTCTGCTGATCACGGCCCCTCCTGCTCTCAGCAAATTGGTGGTCATACTGATCCCAATAGGGCTTCGTTTCCAACTCGACCAAGCAGCAGAGGCTTTTTTTTTTTTTTTCAGGCTCTACCTTGCTCTCCAGTTTCTCTGCAGTCTGCCTGAGCTCGCTGCATGCCTGCTCGGATTTTTCCAGCTTCCTTCTCAGCGCCGCCAGCTCCTCCTAGGGAAGATTGCAAAAAAAAACCACACATGAAGAGCTCCAGCATCCTCAATTTATTACAGTCCTGTTTTCTGTTAAAAATAAGTGGGAGAGAGGTAGCTGTCTTATTAATAAAATTTACCAGGAAACTTTGAAGGCTGCTCACTGCAAATTGCCGCGACTACAGCCCCTGACATGAATTTCATTGGGGGGACTGTCAGTTTTGGTGTGTGTACAGAGCACATTTTTATGAGAAAGAAGCAAACCTCAAAAGCCTGGCATGAACAGCCAAACGTCTGAATTTTGCTCATGGAGTGTTCCCGGGGCCCTGGCAGGCTATCACAGAGCTGTTGCAAAGGCATGTTGTTTTTTTTGTGATTCTTTTTCAGGCAGCCTGACTGTAACAGAGCTGCTCGTCCTGCCTTGTCCTGCTTTGATGTCCAACACTGAGCAGAAGCAGAGCATTGCAGAGTTGTGATAAAAGCAGAGGTTAACGGGTGACGGGGCCTGATGGATCCCATGTGGGTTTGGAGAGAGAAACAGAGGCTTGGGCAGCTTTTATTTTGTCTGAACCAGCCTGAAAACATCTTGTTAAAACCTCACTAAGGCAAGAGGAGGAGCAGGATGCCAAGGAAGACGGACTAAGAATTTAGCACAGGTCTCAGATGGTGCAGAGGGGCAAAAGGTGCCTTTCCCGGGTCAGCAAATGCCCATTAACTTCTCCCATCACCAGTGGCAGCAGAGGTGGAAGCCAGCGCAGCTCTGGTGATGGTATGGAGCAGAATCCCCTGCATCAAGGATGTGTTTGGCTGCTCATCACCCCTCATCCCACAGGCTGATGTGGGGCACCTATCCCCAAGGGGCTCGGCTCAGCGGAGCCAGCCCCAGTGAGCTCACGGGGGGTATGGGGAGGGCAGCCATGGCGCTGGGATGCGGCTGTGGTTGTGGGGACACAGTGCATTGCCTACTGCCCCTCTAAGGAAAAAGGAGAGTTATTTCTCCCTCCACAGCTCTGCAAAACACATTACTCAGGGTAAAAAAAAATACAGTGCTAAGAACAGATGATGACTTCTAGATGGTCAGAAAAACACCTCTGCCCTGGCAGAAGTGACTTCCAATTTGAGTCACCCACCAGGCACAGCTCCTAGAGCATCCCACCCCCTCCCACCCCATCCCAATGCTTGGTGCATACTTCTTTTGCACGGAGCTGCTCCTCCGCGAGGTTAATGCTGAGCAAGGGCCGCACGCGGCTCAGCAGTTGCCACCAGGGCCAGTGCCTGATGGCCTGGAAAACCACCAGGTTCTTCTGGATGCAGCGGACGGCGAGGCGCTGGATCTGCGGGGAGACACGGCTGGCTTTGCCCCTCGCCCAGCCACCACCGAGCCCGCCGGGCAGGACCAGGCTGGAGAGGGGTGAGGTGGTGGAGGAGCTCTGAACCGCAGGGGATGGCAGCACGGCATCTCACGGCTGCTCGTGGGGCAGGGTAAAACGGGTGCCCTTCAAAGGAGCAGCCTGCTCTGTCATTTGGGTGCTCGGGGCCGTATCACAGCATCACTGACCCTCTGCAGCAGCCAGAGCCCGTGCTGTGGTGGGCACAGAGTACCCCGACCCGTGGGATGGATACCTTCAACCTCTTGAATTTCTGACGGCTGAGGAAGCCCCTGCAAGCAGCCTGGAGCAGGATCATCTTCTGGGCTATCAGCTTGTCACGTTGCTTCTCCAGCCTGGAGATGACCCCTGGCTTCAGGAAAACCTGACAACAAGCAACGGAGGTTACACACCCTCGGGACAGGGTCTGAAACCTGCCGGCAGCCAACAGGATGGATTTCTGGCTCCCCCGAGACCTGCAGGAGACCGAAGGACCTTGGACCAGCCAGGACCAGTGAGCACAACCACTGCACCAGCGTGAAACACTGGGCTGGAAGGGGACTCCAGCCCTATCTGGCCAAACCCACAACGCGCCTGCCTGCCCCGTGCCATGAAGGCACCGACCTCCCTGGGGACATCCATGGGACAGCAAGAGGGAGCTGTGTCCCGGCTCCATCCCATCCCCGAGCCTGGCAGCAGGATGGGTGCACATCCCGGGGAGCACCGTCCACCCGTCCCTCCACCTCCCGCCCCTGGGGAGCACCGAAACGGGACGTGCGGGGCCCCCAGGTCCCACGGGCTCCCCGGGGACGGGGCTGCCGATGGCTCTTCAGGATCACTCTCTGTCCCCGATTCCTCCCGCTCCTTTTTGGTACAAGCATCAACCATCACAAGAAGCTGCGAGTCCTCGATACTCTTCCCTCGGGTCACTGCCTATTTCCCGCCCGCCGCAAGGACAGGAACGCTGGCAGCGGCATTTCTGACAGCACACACACAGATACACACAGATAACAGCAAAGGCGCCAGTTTGCAATAGGAAAAACAGAATTAACCACATCATTTTCTTTAACTGAACTTGTCAGAAACACCTCGTAAAAGATACAGATTTGCTGATGCCATCGAATTTAGCCCGGTATTGATCTCTCAGAGCGTAAGATCTGTCTCGGTCATTGCCTGGCGAAGCTCCCGGGATGTGGGACCAATCACTCTCAACTATTGTGCACCATTTGCATAATACAGCTTTAATAAAAACTGAATTACCCTTGTGAAGCCAGTGGCATACTTAAAGAGCTGTGTTTTAAAGATGCCAAATTGAATCAAAGAACAATTCCAAGGAAACTCACTTTCTTGAGATAATGCTATGATTGCTCCACCACCTATTTGATTGTCTCATTAATGTCTGTATTAACTTCACAAGCCAGCGAGTTTTAGAAGCTAGTACAAAATCAATGCTCAAAGCGATGGCAAAACTAACTCCTCTATAACAAGATGTGACTGGAGCTGCTATCGCGCTATTGATTAAGTACAAGGGTTTCATAGAAGAGATAATTGCAAACTGCACTGTGCACGATAAAAGAAAGTTATTTTGCTCCACAGAACCGCTTCATGAATTCTTTCTTTATAGACTCCGAGAGCTGAAGGCAAGCACGCATGCAAAATTAATTTTTCTTTGAGATTATTGCATTTAAGTTCAAACGTTGTTGCTGCAACAACTCTTGCACCCGCAGCTGCCCAGCTCAGCCGTGCCAAGCCCAGCCCACCGAAACCACGAGCTGCCCAAGCCCCATCGACTCCTGTGAGACTTCAAAGGTAATTAGGAACTTAACTGCCACGAGGGGCCGGATTCCGATAATTAACTACACAGTTTACCCAGGGTAAGGCTTTCAAATGTGATTTAGGAGCTTTCTGTTTGATTTTCGGCGAGGCTTGGTTTCCCAGCCCAGCCAGGCGCCATGGGGAGAGGCTTCCTCTGCAGTTTGGGGAGCTCTGGGAAGCCGCAGCGCCCGGCTCGGGGCTGGCAGTGCCCGTACGCAGCGGGAATCACCAACCGGAGCCGTCGTAGTACCTGGCTGCGTCCTATGGCCACGCTCTTCTTCTCCAGATCCAGCGCCTGGAAGAGCTCCTCTATAGCCTGCGGAGAAGGAGCACATCCTTGTAAAAACATTTACACCCTGGCACGAGCCTGCTGAAATGGGGCGCAGGGACCCCCGCTCCTTACAGGCACCCAGTAAGGGTGCATGCAGTTTACAGGCACCCCGTAAGGGTGCATCCAGCTGTGTTCTCCTCTCCTCCTCCCCATGCAAAAGCGTGCCCACCCAGCCCAAGAGCAGCCTCCGAAACAGCTGCCCCAGACCCAAGTCCTGGTGCAAGAAGGGTTTTCTGCCCCGGAGGCTTGGGCAGGATGGGGATGCGCAGCTGCATGCAGAATTCCCCCTCTTTTGCTGCCATCCCTGGGCTGGAAGGACCCGGCGCACGGGGGGGCATGGAAGGAGGGTGCTGAGGGGGTGGTGAGAGCCCATCCCAGCACCATCCAGCCAGGGTCTGACTGTGCTGAGCAGCTGCCAGCCCTCGGTGCTCCCCTCCTGCCCAGCTCTCGCCAGCAGTTCAGCGCATGGAGCCGAAAGCAGGGGGGAAAGCACCGAGTTCCCCCCCGAGCCCACCGGCGCAGAGCTGAGCCCCCACAGGGAAGGAAGCGGGAGATTAGTCCCAAGCCATAGGAGAAGCCCGAACTCAGTTACTCTGAGCTTTGGACCAACATGAGAATGTAACAGCCAGCAATACCGCGCGTTTCCCCGGGGAAGCAAACACTATCTGGATGAACGGATGATTTGAAAACCCCAGAGCTACAGAAATTATAACAAAAATCCTCCGCCAATACTTCACTCCGCACAACATCCTCCGGCAGCCTCACGCATTTCCTCCAAGAAGGACAAACCCACATCAGAAATATCTCGCCACGGCCCCGGGAGCACCTCGCTGCAGCAGAACCACGGCCTTAGCCCTCGCCAGCAGCCGTGCACGCACCGGGGCGAGGCAGGCACGGAGCACATGAGTGTTGGCGGGGGGGTTACAGACCACCACGGTGCATGGAACCGTGTGCCGGAGGCGAGGAAGCACCAGCGCCGCAGCTGTGGCCGCTCCTGCAGCACTGCTGGGTGGGACGGTCCCATCCCATGCACAGCAGTGGATGTTATTGCTGGTTATTGCTGGTTATTGCTGGTTATTGCCTGTTATTGCTGCCCAGGCACCCTCGCTACCAAGCAGCATCTCTTGTGCTCCAGCAGATGAGTTAATGCAGCTTACCGGGAAGCAGCCTCCAGCTAACAAAACCGCACGACAACAAGCTCCGGGGAGGATGGGATTTTTCAAATCCCCTGCTTACACGCTGCTGACGAGGCACCCTCTGCCTCCTTACAGCATTTAATAACAATATTGACCTTTTCTGACTGTCAAACTTGTCTTATTAAATCCCGAGGTCTTAACTGAATTTGCACATGCTGGCTGGCAGTTTGCACAACGGAGCACGTGCCCATGTTTAATTCATCTCCTCCCAGCTCTTCCCGGCTCTCAGCTCTTCCCAGTTTGCTCATACCTTGTTCCAGGGGCAGGGGCAGTTCTCCTCAGTTTTTGCTATAAATTTATTATGAAAGAAATAAAACCAGCAAAATCTCCACCTTCCTCCCTGAGCCCCTTTGGCTTTCAGGCTCCATGGGACGAGGCGAGGAGCCACCCTGGGCTGGTGCTTTACAGGTGCTTGAAGGCGGGCGATGCCCAATCCCCAAGAACCTCCGTGGTCCCTGCTCTGTTGCATCCCTGGGGACACTGCCTGGCTTGTCCTCAGCCAGACATTTTTTGGGGAGTCAGGGCGAGGGCCAGAGCAATGCACGGACCCTGCCATCTGCACATGCCCCCAGTCCCACAGCTTGTGCCCTGTCCTGCAATACGAGATCCACCAGGCACGCAGCCAGAGCACCGGAGGACCAAGGCACAGCCCTCAGCAAGCAGGATTTTCAAAGCCATCTCAAGTATTAAAAAGAAGCAATAACAGGCTTCGTTTCCAGGCTGATTCCTCCAATTCCTCTCTGCGGCGCAGTAACATCGGCAAATGCAGCCCACGCTGGGCATGGTTACTGCCTTTGCAAAAACAGTCCTTCGGTGCAGAAAGGGAGAAACTCCGGGCCGAAGAGCCGAGTTTGGCTGCTCTGCCAGGCTGCTGGAGGACCCACGTCCCTCCATGCTCAGGCACACGTGGGAAGGGTGAAGAGGAGCAGGATGCAACGCCATCCTCCTTGCAACCCGGCGCCGCACGAGGCTGCACCCAGGCAGGACCCTGCTGCCGGAGCCCAGCCGTACGGGCTGAGCCCGCAGACTTCCCAAACCTAATCTCTGTTTCTGAGCAGAATGGGGAAAGCTGCCGCGCCACCCTGAGCCTTGCTGAACGAGGGGTTTCTACCTTCATCCCTAGTTCCTGAAGGCAGCCTCGTGTTTAAGAAACCCCCAGACCTGCGCTGACAACCCTGCTACCAAAGCTCTTCATCAGCTGCCCAGATGTGCGCTCCCATGTGTGGTGGGTCCTGCAGCAGCAAAGGAGCATCGTTCACTGCTGCCGGAGCTTGGCATCCCACAGACCTGCGGGTTCTGGCCCTACAGCAGCTGAAGGAATAATGCCAGCAACACAGAATGCCCGAGTGAGGCAGGGACTGAGGAGCAGGTCCTGTCCCAGGGCAGGGAAGTGCTGGTATGACCCAGCTCGTTTGGAGGGAGGACAGCCAGGCTCCCGCAGGGCACAGGCTGCTGCAGGGAGCTCCAGGAATTGCTCCTCATCGCAAGGAAAGCCCTGACTGTGTTGGGGAGGGCTGGAAGATCTCCGACACCGGCAGAGCCCCACATGGGGCACTCAACCCACGCTCCCCACGCCAGCCCAGCACACACCTTGCTCTCGTCCGGCACCTCGTAGGCAGAGGTGTGCTTCTTCATGATGTCCGGAGCCAGGACCTGGAAGCGCCTTCGGAACTGGGTCAGGAGCAGGCGATCCGCATAGCCTGGGGACAGACAGACAGACAGACATTGCTGGGAGCTGAGCCAGCCCAGTGGGGCTTGCACCAAAACGCTGGGGAGGGAACCAACTGCGAAGGGCAGCATTTCGGTGGTGGGGACTGGGGGAGGTGCCCTTTGCGGAGAGAGCTGTGCTTGAGGTGGCCAGCTGCCATCCCAGCACCTTGTGTCATGCAGGAGATGCCCCTGAGCCCCCTGCATGGGTCCCTCTCCCCCGGGCATGGACTGCAACCGTGGTCGGTGCAGGTCCCGCCTGATGCACGGATGCTCCAAGGGCAGCACGGCGGAACCGCACCGGAGCTGCAGCCACCGAGCTCAGGCTGTGCCACCCGGCAGCACCGCGGGGCTGCGGGCAGGAGAGGGGGTTGGGAACCCCTGCAAAAAGGAGCAGTAAAACCTCGGGGGCTTTCTGAAGTGGGGCTGGCAAGATGATGAGCAAAGCGTGGAAGGGTTGAGCCACTGGGACGGGCACGGCACACGGCGGCGGTGGAGGGCCGGTGCGCACCAACGCGGTGAAGGCGCAGAGCGTCCAGGAGCTGGGTCCCCTCCAGCTGAGCTCGCAGGGTCGGCATGTCCAGCTGCAGGGCTGCGTCGGGCGGCGAGGGGGGCCGAGGGACCCCAGGAGGGCTGGGGCGTCCCCGGGAGGAGGCAGTGGACGAAATGCAGCTGGGAGCGTCGGAGGAGGTTCGTGAGCGCGTCCTGCCAGGGAAGCAGAGATCAGTGACGGGGGGGTGAAGGGACAGCACGCAGCGGCGGTGGGAAACGCTCCCCGTGCACCCTCCGCTGGGTGTCTGGGCAGGTAAAGGAACCTTTTCAGAGCCCTCAAAGCTCAAGTGCATGTTAGGAACAACAGCTTTGGTGAGAGGGGTGAGCCCCAGGGCAGGGCAGAGATGCTGAGCGGGACCCTTCCTCCTAACACCGCACGTTTTCGTTTGATGGGCTACCAGGGTTGAGGGCTGCTGGGTGGGGGTTCACCAGGGAGAGCCAGGACCAGAGTGGGCTGGATGGAGAGTCTGCGGGGACTGAGCCTCGCCTCCTCGAGAGGGTTTAGGCACCTAATTATGGCTGAGATCAGCAGGAGCTTGGCACATGCCCAGCACGGAGGGCTGGTCTACTCATCTGAGTGCTTAAAAGGATTAAGCGGCGGCACAGCAAGGTGTGTGCGTAATCTGCTTTACGATGTGTTTGCCTGGGATGCTTTCCCTGGTTCTGGGGAGGCTTGTGGCCATCCGCAGCCAGAGCAGCATCCCGGGCCAAGAGCCCTGCGAGACACGGAGCCGCAACAGTGACCCCCAGCCCCGCGGAGCAGGAGGTGCCTGTTGGGGGGGGGGGTGCGGGGCTCCCCGCTAAGGCAGAGCGTCGGTGTGGGGTCAGGATACGCAGTGCTGCAAACACCCCGACCCGCGGCCACGAGGGTCCCGGTGCCCCCACTCACCGCCTGCAGCTTGAGCTGAGCACACACCGACTTCTTCACGGCTGCGAAGCTGCTGGCGAAGGTTTTCCTCACGCAGGCGTTGCGGTGCAGGACGGCCTGGGAGCATCCCTCCAGCCCCGCCACGGCGCGGCAGGCCAGCGGCGCCCGCGAGCGCGGCAGCACCAGCTCCCTCACGGCATCTCTGTCGGGGCGAGCAATGAGACGGGGCGGTGGGGCCGCATCTCTCCTTCCCGGCCCCTTCGATGAGGATGCGGTTCCCAGCACCCCAAATTCAGCACTGGTGCTGCCACAGGGTGCCCGGCCACGGAGCAAAGCGGGGTGCCGGGACACCCCCCACCCACTCTGTTCCTCTGTGGTTTGGGCACCGAGCTGTTCACCGCTGAGTTGAAGCCCAAAACAAAACGAGCTGAGGGGTTTTCAGCAGAAGCTTAAAATCACCCCATGTGTGGAGATGTCTGCAGCAGCTCGATTACATTTCAATTCCAATTTCGTTTACAAAGTTCCTCAAAACAGTGGGGAAAACCTGCCCAGGGAGCTGCCCTTGGCTGGTGATGCCCTGTGGCCCTGACTCGTGCCTGATGCCTGACCCTGCGGAGCTGAGGACATTGTGGTGTCCCCTCCGTGTCCCCCTGCCTGCAGGAGGGGACCCCCACTGAACTGCCAATGGCATGGATCGGCTGGCTTGAAGAAACCAGACAGCTTTGATGGAGAGCTGCTCACCACGGTGTTATTCACCAGCTCACTCCGCAGTGTCTACTGCGATCACCACATCTACATCTGGCTGTCAGTCAGCCCGGGGGCTTGACGGCTGTAAATTAAATCACTTGATGTCTGTTCCCCCCACCTTAACTTATAGCTCTCAGGATTGCCAAAAAGCTGGGCTGAAAGCTGTTGGGTTTTTCTGGTTTTCTTGCAGTTTTTCCCCCGGGCAGAACTGGACTCTGGCAATGCAAGGCTGGTGTTGGCAGGGCCCACAGATGGGATCCATTCAAGATCCAGTCCCCTCCTTGTCCACCTGAGGCCAAATCAGCTCCATCCCCTGGGTTGTGCGTCAGGCAGGAGGTGGGGGGACAGGCAGGGACCCCTCACAGCCAGTGCCCAGGCTGTGGGTCCTTTCCTCTTGTTGGGATGCCCCACGCAACCCCTCTGCCCTCCCCCACCACGCGTGGCCTCTTGGAGCTGGGGCAAGTTTGCAATCCCCGGCTGGAGCAGCTCAGCTCACGGCGGGGTCATCCTCAACCCACTCCCACGGGCACAGGGATCACCGCCGGTGCCGTGGCACCTCCCTCCTACTTACACCTTGGACCGCTGCAGCACCTGGATGGCGTTTTGTGCCGAGAGGTTGAGCTTGGCTTTGCTGACCCAGCCCGTGAGGTCGTAGCGCACGGGGTCCGTGCCCAGCTGGTGGGAGATCTCGAAGTGCAGCGCCTGCTCACACCTGCGCAGGCAGCCGTCCCCTGCGACGGCACCCCCAGAATCGCCCGAGAAGAAAAACCCAGGGAGATATTGAATTTGCTGCGTGGTTTCTTAACTTCCCAAAGCTAAACGGCGATGCCGAAGGACGAGCAGCCGGCCTTACCCTCCTGGTCGGGTGCCTTCGTGGCGAAGTAGGAGCAGAGGCGGTCGAAGGCAGTGCCGTCCCCGGAGCCTGGGATCAGCACCTCCTCATCCAGGATCCACAGCAGCCCCCTGCGATCGGCCCCCGGGCTGCCGGGCAGCGCCTGCCGAAGGGACAATGGTGACGGGGAAGGGGCAGGAGGGCTCCAGCCACAGCCACGCCATCCTGCTCCCCACCACCTCTGCCCAGCCCTGGCCCCCTGCCCCGGATCATCCAGCTCTGGACATCCCCACCCTTGAGACCTCCACAGTCACCCAGTGTCCCAGAGGGACCAGTCAACCCAGCCCCGCAGCCGGGATGGGAGCGGTGCCCGGCGTGCAGGGCTTGACCAGGAAGGGTGGGTGTATCTTAAAAAGCCAAAAAGGTCCTGGTTGATGCTGTGCCCTCCCCTACAACACCCCAGGCTGCTCTGTGCAAAGCACACCGCGAGGTCCCACTCTGGCTCTGAAATCCTCACTCCTCTGAGCAGGGGGATGCTTCGAGCAAAGCCAGAGCCACCAACTGCCACCGTGGCCACGGGGACGGGTTACCTGTGAGGAGCCCAGGTCGATGATGGACAGTGTGGCCAGTGGAGACCGCTCTGGAAGATCAAAAGACACCTCAACATTTTCCTGGAAAACATTATTTAAAAGCTTGCTTCAGTCATGGTCTGGCATCTGAAAGCCAAGAGGAGGTGCGTTTGCCTGGAGGGGGAGGAATGTGGTGCAGGTCCTGCTCCCGCCGGCGCTTTGCGGACCTCAGACGAGCTGCATAAATCATGGAGATGATAATAATCGAAGACTTTACAAGAGAGCACAAAGAAAACAATCAATTATTGACTTTGCAGCTTGCGGGCATAGTTTCCCTTTCTGAAGTGAGGGCTTCAGGCTGCGAGCCCCTGGCTGCAGGGTCACCCACCACCCATGGCTCCAGCACCCCGCTCCCCACAACCCCCGCGCCCTGCCCTGGAGCACGGGGAGCCCCCCGGGAGCAACAGGGTAAGCATGGCTTCCTCTTGCTCGCCTATGAGCTGGGGAAGTTCAGCAAGAGCCATAGCTTTAATGCCTCTCCATGGTAACCTGGTGAGTTTTCGCTCAGAGATTCAGGTTTGCAGCCCGAGCGTGCAGGTGGAGCAGAAAGCAGCAGCGGGGCCCTGAGTTTCTTTCCACCGAGGGCACGTGTCACCATCACCCCGAGTGTGAGCCAGCTCGGGGAGGAAATGGGTCACCGGGGCTCGGGCTCCCAGTTGTGGGCCAGTGGCTCACAGAGAAACCTCTTGCACCGGGGCAGCCGTCCTTAGCCAGCAGCAAAGCCGGGGGAAGGCGAGCCTGGGGAGCCCGCTGTCCTTCTGAGCTCGGCCAGTAACTACAGCTTCATCACTGGTGAAGAGCACATAGATACTCACTCGGTGCAAGTGCTGTGTGAATATTAAGCCGTGGGAATTCAACTGTTTTCCCAGGGCTAAAGGAATTAAAGTAATTTCTGCAAGCCTGATAAGTTCATCTCTGCTTGTAGATTTTTCATCAGCCTGTTTCTGCAATAATTTATCATTTTCCTTTCTCTTCTCTATTATTCATCACCTGAGGAAGATCTCAGCTGTACCAACAGAAGGGCGTGAAGCCTCCTGAGCTGGAACAAGCATATTGCAAGAGATGCCAAGGCAGCCTGGCATCTCTGGCACGTCAGAAATACCCGAGAGGATCTGTGACTGGGGCAGCGGGGGGAAGAGAGACCCGGTTCAAGGCCACTGCTCCGTACAGACCCCTCATTTCTGCAACACCCCTCCCGTTAAAGCCACTGAGTGTGTTACTCGGTCACACCGTGGCAGGGCACGGGGATGAGCTGGGCCAAAGGCAGCCCCGTGCCCAGCTGCTGGGAAGCTGCTCCCCAGGACGCTGCTCCCAGCCCTCGCTCCTCACCTCTCTGTACCTCTCCATTTCCAAAACAAAGGTTTTCTCGTAGAAGAGAGCCTGCAGCCGCTCGTGCACGTAGTTGTGGCAGAGCTCCTCAAACGTCGCCGCTCGCTCGCCCCGCTGGTGCCGCGGGTTGTGAAAGCCAGGAGTGTCCACCACCGCGATGGAGGCCATGGAGAGGTGCTGGGAGGAGAAAGACCTGGGGAAAGAGCAGCACACACCCCTGGGTTTCACTCCTGAACCCCAGCTCTCCCTGCAGAGGTGACGCTGCCTCCTCCCCCTCGATGGGCACGTCCCTGGGTGGGCACCGTCCCACGTAGCAGGGACCAGCCCAGTGCCTCCCGTCTCCCCTTCTCCCCCTGTCTCCTCTCAGGGAGCACCCGCACCTCCTGCCACGGGTCCTTTGCTTGTCCCTTTTGTTTCACCCACCTCTTCTTTGACCTACTCGAGCTGAGCGTCTCCTCCCAGCCTGGATGGGGACACACGCAGGGACTGCTCCTGACCTGGCCTAACGACCACTTAACGGCGGGGTGGGGGGAGATGCTGCCCTTCCCACGTTTGGCCCCATCCTGACAATTTTGTTATTTAAATCACTATGTCGTCATCCAAATGTATTAAGTTTGATGGAACAGTTGATTTGAAAAGCGGGTCAGCTGGCCCATGACACCAACACTGAGGACAACAGAAGTGTCCAAAGCCCCGGCTTCTGTGCCGTGCCGACTGTGGCATTTCGACAGGGGAAGCTGCTGATGTTCAGCTCTGAGGAAATCTCTCACGGGAACCGCAGCCCGGAACACGCGTGGTCTGAGAAGCAGACATCAAGGGGCTTCTCAGGAGAAACAGAGATGTTTACTTCTTCAAATGTTGCTTGCAGCCATTGCCAGTATTTCAGATAAGGACAGCGGAGGAGTCTGACCCTGGGAAACCTCTGAGATTGTTTTTAAGACGCATTCCTGAAACAGCCATCGCGTCGTGCTGCCCCTTCCCCAGCAACCCCGCTGGCAGGGCAGCCTGGGGAGAGTAAACGAGATGCAGTTCTCCCCAAAAGAAAGGCACCAAAGATGCCAGCCCCTTGATGAAAGCATAGGGCTGAATGAAGAAACAAAAACATATTTATGAATTGCTTGCAGAATTTCCTAGCAGCACCCTCCTGCAGCCGGAGTTGAAGAGATTCATGTTCGCCATCAACTCGCTGAGGAAAGAGCATTTTCATGGCTGCACTGAAACATGCCTCTTCACCTGAATCATTGTTGCAACGGTTTAATAGGCTTTGGTGGGCTGGTGTGGGAAATAAACCCAGGCAAAACAAAGCTACCTTTAAAGGGAAAAGGGGACCCGGGACACTTCCCGAGTTAATGCTGTTGTTAAAGCAAATCAGCATCATTTTGCTCTTCTGTCAGCCCTTTGAGTACCATCAGCAATTTCCCTTTGGAATGTGGTTGCTAGGAATTACAACAAAAATATCCTGCAGGTTAAATAACTGCAGGTTAAAATAAACCTGCTGCAACAACAGAAAGTATTTTGGGCACCAGCTTTTATGGGGATGCTGATTTCAACAAACTGAGTTGCACATCGCAACTGAGAAAACGGAGCGGTTTGTGGGCCAGTTCCTTACCCCAATGTTAAATTATTCCATTTATCTGAGTAGCGCATTTTGGATTTACACCACCTGAAGGAAGAGATACACCAGGCCACGGGGGACGTCCTTCCCACCCCGGGTCTTCAGATGGAAATAAGCAGAGTGTGGAGAAGCACTCAGCCACAGCCTCCCGGGGCACCTCGGCAGCAATTCTGGTGCTGAACCCTCTCCCGCTTGGCACCTCGATCCTCTCCTGTGATCCAGCTTTTACCACAAAGCGACTCCCACCACACATCTGCAGGGCTCGCTTGTGGGATTCCCTGACTGGTTTATTGTTCTGCCCGTAGTGGCAACCTTGATTTCAGTCTGCAAAGTCACATCTATTATTAATAGGAAGCCGGGCTGCTCCTCTTGGCGCCGCGATGCTCTGCCCTCCCCCTGCTCGGTGTGTCTGCTCGCGGAGCTGCCTCCCGGCACTGCTGGTGCCGGGGCTCTGTGCCAGGCTGTCCGTGCTGGCAGGAGGACATGTGTCACCCCACGCAACACTCGGATGCACAGAGGCTGCTGCTCCATAGGACCCTTCACCCCCGGTGCCGGCTGACGCGGGGCTGACAGCCCGTAGAAGGTCCCGAGTGCTGGAGATTTTCATATAACCGGGTTTTTTCAGCCGGCAGCCGTTGTCTGCTCCACGCATCTCCCTCCCCAGCAGCGCCGGGAGAAGGAGCCGTCACCCACAGACACCCCAGCAGCTCCGTACCTGTTGATCAGCGAGACGACGGCGGCGAAGAGCTCTTCGTAGAGACCCGAAGCCATCCCTTCCACGCACTCCACACCCGTCATCTTCGGCCCTGGCGCAGGCAGAGAGAAGAGCAGGCAAAGACACAGCGTTGATCTCCAGCCGAGTTCAGCCTACCATCAGCGGGGGATGCCCGGGCTCGCTGGGCAGGATAACCCACACGGCTCCTGGGCTCTGCCCGCTCCGCTTACACAAGCAGGGCTTATCCACCCGCCTTCAGCTCCTCTAGTGCCTCCCGCCTAAGAAATAAAACTATTGCCATGTTAACGGCCAGTTAGGCGAGTTCTCGCTTTTATCAGAATAACTTGCGGGGGGGGGGGGGGGGGGGGCGGCTGTAATTCTGCCGCCGAGGATGAGAACGGCTGACCTGAAAGCCGGGTGGTACCTCACCCCCCAACCCCGCCACACGCATGCTGGGTCGGCCGCCGGGAATTAGATCCATGTATTTAATTTGAGGTTTCTAGGGGCTCAGCAGCATTTTGTCCCGCAGGAGCACAACCCCACGCCATGCCCGGGTCTCCTTGCGGGACACGGGTGCGCGCGGCACAGTGCAGGGAAAGGATGCCCACCCTGCTGCTCTCCAAGTTTGGGGGGGATCCCCCTCTTTTCTAGGGAGAGTTCTCACAGTATTTAAGCCACATCACTTATTTGCCAGGGGAATTATCTGAATTGACCTGATTTTCGTGTGTCCCTAAGGAGTAATAGGCAGGGTTGGCTGTAGACCTGAGGGTAGCTACATGACAGAGCACAGTTAATGATTTAATTAATATTAACAGACTTAAATGGACCTCACTTCCTGGAAAAAAAAAAAAAAGGGCGTACTGCCTCGCCCTGCAGCACACCGTCTTCCCCTCACACAGAGTCCAGAGCAGCACAGAGCACAGCATTTCCCTATCACCCATAAATAATTAAAGGAAAAAGGGATGCAGCATCCCGGTACCTGCCGGGCTCTCCTCTGCCGGGGGCAGCCGGGGGCCCCGTGCCGTGACCTGCGCCAGGATCTGCTTCAGGTGGTGTTTGAAGACGGCGGTGGTGAACTCCTCCAGGTCGCAGCCCAGCACCTCTGCGGCGTAGCTCGCACACTCGAATTTCATGAACTGCTTCCTGCCAACTGGGGAGGGGGACGCGGGGGGGGCACGAAGGGCTCAGGCAGAGCCAGCCCGAGCAGAGACGGGCGCAGGCTCGGCACCTCCGGCAAACAGCCCTACCCACTTCCACGTGCAACCCCCCCAAATCAAAATCAAATAAACCAAAAAAGGACTGCTGCTTGCAGCGTGGCATGGGGGATGCCGCACCAGCGCACCCCAGTTTCCTTCCATCCCCCAAGACCGCTGGGTCAGCCCTTCCCTCCCGTCCCTGACGGGCAGTTTCAGACCAGGCACAGCCTTTCCTGACCCGCTCAGAGCAGCCACCCTGCAGCCCACAGCCTGGAAATGCCCTTTGGGCAAAGAGCAAGCCTGGGCAAAGCAGGCAGCAGCCTACCAGTGAGCAGGGGGGGGCCTCGCCCCCCCCCCCAGCAGAGCTTGGATGCTTGGCTGGGATGGGGATGTATAAATCAACCCACCTCAAAATCCGGTTTCCACCTTGAAGGCACAGCTGCTAGAAGAGCTTCAGCGTTACCCCGCTGCCCCTCCGTGTAACATCACTGACAAAACTGAAAAGCTTTTTCCTCCTCAGAGTCCATCCGTCCCCCCCCTGCCACCCCCTTCTCCTTCAGGGACAACTCCCATCCCTCTGTCCTGGCACTGACCCTGGGCTCGGTGGCCCCCCCGGCTCCCAGTCCCACAGTGTGTGGGACAAGGGGCTGCCCCCGCTACACACATGCTTCTGCCAACAGCAGCAGTACAGCTTTGCTCAGCTTTGCAAGTTACTTATCATATTAAAGGCTGGCTGACTCGAGAAAGGTTGACAGATTTGTCCCCTGAGCAACCATTTAGCATGAGCACCTTTCCTTTTTTTTTTTTTTTTTTTTTTTTTGGTCAGAAAATAGTTCAAAACTTTCAGGATCTCAAACGAATGCTTTTGAAGCTATTTTCCCTGCTGTAGCGCTCCCCAGGTGCTCAGAGCATCCCACCTGCCCAGCGAGACCATGCAGAGAGGAGACAGACTCCAGGAGATGCTTTGAGGCAATTCAGAGAAAATCAGGGACCAGGTGGACCATGCGACCTGCCCAGGCTGCTGCTGCCAGCACGACATCACTCGTGTTCTACATTTCAAGAGCTTCAGTAGAGCAAACTAGGAGACGTGTTGGTGGAAGCTGATGGGATTATGAGCCAATCCCTCAAAATCCCGGCTCACCTTCCCCAGCCCCAGCAACGTTTGCTGTCCCCAGCAGCCTGAGAGCAGCGCTCCTCCCAGCGCCGTCAGCAAACAGAGCTGGCACACATCATTTACATCCAGCAACAGCCATTCCAGCTTAGTGATTAAAATCAATAGGGGAGCAATCTGCAGGATAAATCCTTTTACAATCCAGGAAGGAGCCAGCCCGCGCACTCGGGAACAGGGTGGGATGAGCAGAAACAGGAGCAGATGAGCAAAGTCGCCCAGAGACCGCAGGGCAGAGCTTTTGGGTGGTGGTGGATGAGCCAGCCCAGGGGCTCACGGCTACGACGAGCTCTTAAAATAAAGGAGGTGGCTGATAGCAGGGGAGAGGCTTTGGGATGGAGAGTGGGAAGTGGCCACATCCCGGCCAGCCCCACGGGTGATCAGGGTCCCCTGCTCCTGGCCGAGGTGATGCACAAAGCAGCAAAAGGCAACATTCCCTGGGGCTGGGGGGCTGCTTCACAGCACACCCACGAGAGTCATCCCCCCTTTCCCTTCCCTTTTGATCTTTTCCTATTATTTTTTATTCTGACTGAAGGACTCCAACATCAAGGGCTGTGCTGGAGCAGACAGAGGAATTGCCTCAACAATCCGGGCTTTGATTTATTTTGTTTTCACTGTTTTTTCTCTGAGCTGGCTGGACAGAAGCTGATCCTCATCACATCGAAGATCTCTATGTACTGTGGAGGGGCTGCGGGGCCAGGGCTGCACCCACAGCCAGGATCCCCCAGCCAGCACCCCACACCAACTGGGATCCCACAGCCAGCACCCCAATCCAGCCAGGATCCCCCAGCCAGCACCCCATGCCAACTGGGATCCCACAGCCAGCACCCCAATCCAGCCAGGATCCCCCAGCCAGCACCCCACACCAACTGAGATCCCACAGCCAGCACCCCAATCCAACTGGGAACCCCCAGCCAGCACCCCACACCGACTGGGATCCCACAGCCAGCACTCCAATCCAACTGGGATCCCCCAGCCAGCACCCCACACCAACTGGGATCCCACAGCTAGCACCCCAATCCAACTGGGATCCCCCAGCCAGCACCCCAATCCAATTGGGATCCCACAGCTAGCACCCCGTGCCATCCAGGATCCCATAGCCAGCACCCCACACCAACTGGGATCCCCCAGCCAGCACCCCAATCCAACTGGGATCCCCCAGCCAGCACCCCAATCCAATTGGGATCCCACAGCTAGCACCCCGTGCCATCCAGGATCCCATAGCCATCACCCCACACCAACTGGGATCCCACAGCCAGCACCCCACGCCAACTGGGATCCCACAGCTAGCACCCCATGCCATCCAGGATCCCATAGCCATCACCCCACACCAACTGGGATCCCCCAGCCAGCACCCCAATCCAACTGGGATCCCACAGCCATCACCCCACGCCAACTGGGATCCCACAGCTAGCACCCCACACCAGCCAGCATCCCACTTCAGCACCCCACACCAGCCGCTCCAGCATCCCCCCACCATCCACTCCGGCACCCCGAGATGAGCGGGGGGGCTCTGCTCAGCCCAGCCCACCGCAGAGCTGGTCGTGCCCACCGTGCTGCTCCGCGCAGAGCCACGCAGCTCCGTGAAACCAAACCATCGCCGTCTGACCGGCACGTGGTGCCGGAGGCTGGCGCGATGCTGCCCGGCGTGTCGGTACCCCCCAGACACGTTCCTTCCCCTGGAGGGGGGACGGGGGTTTGCCCTTCGGTGCCCCCCTGATTGCACCCTCGCTGTAAGAAGCTGGCATACGCTGAGTCAGCAAGTCTCGGGGCACGGCCACAGCTGCAAACCCCACTGTGCCCACGGCTTGCCCAGCCGTGGATCTGCCCACCCCGCAGCCGCTGGGCCCGGGCACCATTTCACACTTCATAAAATATAAAGAGCGGCAGCAGCATGCAGCCTTCCTGGGTGTAATGCGACCATTGTAAAACACGCCAGCTTTAACGCCTAAAAGGTAATTACTTCAGTCCATTTAATATTTAAGAGAAGCAGTAGGAAAACACAGGGTCAGCACCAGCTTTGTCTCACCCACGCGCCCACGTGTGCTGCCTGGGCTGGGTTTCTATTTTTTATTTCAAATCGGGAAGTGTGGGGAGCAGCAGGGAGGCCTGGAGGGGCTGGACCCCATTTCCCTGTCCCCCCCCATCCCCATCCCAGCCACTGCCTGGTACCTGCGAGCCGACAGTAATGCTGCCCGGGAGTGGAGGGGACCAGCACCGCGGGCTCGCTGCCAGGCTGGGCAGCTCAGCATCGCCTCGAGCAGCTCAGCATCACCCCGAGCAGCTCAGCATCACCCTGAGCAGCTCAGCATCGCCCCGAGCAGCTCAGCATCGCCCCAAGAAGCTCAGCATCACCCCGAGCAGCTCAGCATCGCCCCACGCCCCCCTCTCATGAAAAGCCATGCAAGCCAGCAGCCCACCTGCCTTCCCGAGCCCCCCCACTGACTCCGGGGGCACACCTCATCAGCCTGCCCTTTTTCTTCCGCTTATTCAGTCATTAAAACATTTGCACTGCTAATGGGACAAATAAAAAAGCCCATTTGTTCCTCTTTATTACCCTGGGAGGGGACAGGGAGAGAGAGGAGGCTCCTCCTGGCTGGAATGGTTAATTTATTTGTCCCGCACTAAATTCTTCAGTCTATTCTCTGTTGACCTATTGGCTGATGTATGACATATTAAAGCCTATATATAACAACGGGAAGAGCTGTGTAATAGCATGATTAAAGAAATATGCCATTCCGGCTGCATTTCCCCGACTGTTTGTAATAAAGATGTCAGAGCGCTGAACAGATAGTGCCATAACTCGGCTTGTGGGGAGACAGCCCGCCCGGACCGGGGGCCGTGGTGGCGATCGTAAAACCTCTGCGAAGGGGAGGCAATGCCAACAGACCCCGGCCCCCCGGGCCAGCCCCCAGCTCCCCAAGAAGCCGGCAGCAGCAGCCGGGCTCCAGCCAGGACTCCGCTTATTCCCGACGTTTTCTGCTCCTGCTGCCCCAGCTCTGAACTCTGGATCCCGGAGCTCCCATGCTGAGCAGGGATGTGTCGGGGTGCAGAGCCCCCTCAGGGCTGGATCTCCCCCCGCTCCCTGCTCAAAACACCTTTTCCAGCAAACCTCGTTTTCAGCTCTGGGCAGTGGCCCATGCAGCTCTGCCCAATTTGTGCTCCAAACTGGGGTCCCCCTGCCCAGGGGGGCCCATTATTCTGCCTAAATCCCCCTGCCCGGGGAAAATCAGTCCTAAGGGCATCCTGAGGCTTGTGGCTGGATGCTCCCTGCGCTGTGGTCCAGCCCCTGGAGGCTGTGTCACCTCGGTTTAGGTCTTTCCCATAAAGCCATCAGGCTTCATCGAGGCAAAATTATTGCTCCTGAGGGTTACAGCTCAAGAAGCGCCGAGAGCCACCATCCCACCGAAAACAAAACATGTCAACTCAGCTGCGCTTCCCTCTACAGCAAGAAAACCCAGGTGCCGACGAGCAAAATGCTTTAACAGGGAGAGAGAGAAAAATTGGCAAGAGCGAGAGGCCAACCCTAATGCAATCCTTTCCAAGAACCGTTTTGATGAACGATGCAGGGAAGCAGAGCAGCCCTTCCCGGCAGAAGCGAGGCGGCTTTTCGCTCACCCACAGCACGGAGCTACGGCAAAGCCGGTGATTTTTCTACACTCGGGTGCCGGCCCCGGGACAGGTGCTCTGCAAAGGGAAAGCAAAGCTAAAGCGGGGGGCAGAGGTTTCCCTGCGGTGGGTCCTGCTCTCTCCTCTTCACCTCCGACACCAGCACAGCCGTGCCGGGCACCGTGCAAGCGGCTCTGGGCGTCACAAACACAAGCAGCCATCGTTACGCTTTCCTTGCAAATCCGTGTCGTCAGCGCTTACAGGAACCCCAGGGAAAAGGAGGGGCAGCAGCGGGCTCCCCCCCCGTGCAGAGCACACTGCAAAGGCTCGTGCTCTGCCGCGGGGATCTGAGCGCGTTGCAAGGTGGAGCTGCTGGGAGAGGGACGAGGGGCGCACACGGCTGGGCGGCATCGCTTTGTGGAATTTACTGCCCGGCCCCGCCATGCTCCCCTCTCCCGACCACAGCTCCATCCCACCCGCCGCGCTGGAGCCTTTTTCCCTCTGCAAGGGTGACCACCCCAGGGACAGATAGATTTGTCACACGCGGGAAACTCTGGCGCAGTGCTAATTACGGCTACGCTGTTCCCCCCTCCTTTTAGCAACAGGCAGCACTAAAACATTAGGGTAAATCTAGGCATTGAGCTGGGGTGGAACTAAGAACAAAGTGTCATTTCCACATCAATTAAGGAAAGGTCACTGCATCTCAGAGGCTGTAAAACAGCAGCGATAATGCAGTTTTAAGGGTTTTTCCTCAGCTCCGGTGAGAAAGTAATAAGTCACCCGAGTCCACTCCTGATTGACATCTAGGCTCAGGAAGCTGCGTAATTAATGCCCGTCGGATCCTGCCAGGAGTTCTCCTTCTTACATTTTGATGGACGTCCCCATTACTGCACTTGGCTAAATGGCTTCCAGCCCTTCTGGAACCTTCCCAGATCGCAGAGCTGAGAGGGTGTTGGAGGGGGGTTTCAGCCCCGCTGCCCCCTGCCAGCCCCATCTGCTTGCAGAGACTTGAGGGGCACGGCAAGGCACCCGCGCCCCGGCACGACCCAACCCCCCCTCACCAACCGCCCCACATCTCAGTTTGCTGGGTTTGAAACGGGGATTCCCCTTCTCCTGCCTCCCAAGGGTGCGATGCTGCAGCGGTGGGGCTGTGCAGGACCCAGCCTGGGCCATGCCGGCAGCTCGGGCTTTGCCCCCTTTGCTATTTACTGGGGGTCTCCTCTTACCAGACCCCCAACTCCCCCCGGCTGCCCGGGCGTTCCCATCCCCGTGCCCTCAGGGCGGCTGCTGCGGGTACCAGCCCCATCGGCTCAGCGATGTGGGAGGGCAGCGGGTGCAGGATGCTGCCCGGGCGCTGCCGACCTCCGCAGGGTTTGGGGGGGCTCGGAGCCTCTCCCCCCACTCCAGCCCCCGCCTCTCCTGCACTTCTGCCCTCCTGGTTTTCCCCCATCCAAGGGGTTCAGGACGCTGGTTTTGCAGCAGCCTCTGCTCGGGGCAGGGGGGGGGGCCATGCTCGGCTCCCACCTGCAGCACCACGAGGACTTCAGGGACCCGCAGCCACTGGAAACCAGTCGCCTCCATTAAAGGCGCGTGGTGGGAAGCCCACGGAGAGCAGGGAGCCGCGACGCTTTATTTTCATAACAGTCAGCAAAACGGACAGCTTGAGAGCGAGCTGAATGCCGACCCCCAGCTGCACCCGAAACCTCCTTCCCGGTTATAAGAGGCAATGAATAACTGAAAATATGTAATATTCTGCAGCCCGCAAAGGGGACTGGAAGCACTTAGGTGAATGGGTACCTAGGATGTCCCGCTGGCCTCTGTCTGTCAGGCTGCTTTCTCACAAAACGAGCCGCTCTAACACGTTCCAAAGGCAATGGGAACCGCTGACACTGGGATGGAGCAGGCTTTTGAAATTCAACCTTTTCTTCTCGGTGTTTCTTCTAGCTGCAAATGTATTTTCCACTCTCAGCCAGAGACGGGGGGGTGGGGGGTGGGTGTTAGTCCCACCTGTTTTATTCCTGGACAAACTGAATTTGTGACGAGATGATAGGCATCAGCAGAAGGAATAATAAAAAAAAAAAAGGTGCATTTAACCTGCGCTGGGGCCCGGCAGCCAGGGCATGGCACGTGCTGGGGCCGGCGGTGGCAGAGCTCCTGAATTCCAGTGAAAAAGCAGCGGCGAGGCTCCCTTTGGTGAGGTTTCAAGGAGAGGGTTTTGAATATAGAGCTTCAAAGTGCATGAAAGGGGAAGGGAAGAGATGGCTATCAGGAGACAGGTTTAACCACTTAAAAGAGTCATCGCCCCCACTGAGACTTTTGCTCCATCGAGCTTTGATCCATTTTTTATCCATATTTCCTTTTATTTCTCCCCTTTTGTTGGCGCGTGATGGGGGAATCAATACCAGAGTGAGCGATGCTGAGACATGCTCTGGTTGTTAATCCCGTACCCAAGCCACAGCCCTGCCAGGGCCCGCTATTAACATGCCTGTCTGTGCTGAAATTGCGGCAAGATTTGTTGAGTATAGCACTCGATTCACTTCTAGGATGGCTTACAGGGTGCTTGGGACAGCACGTTCTGCAAGTTTGAGCAAATCAGCTCAGCAAACCCTCCGTGGCCAACACAGCGACCGTCCCTCCACCTGCCTTGGTGCTGGGTGCCCTTAAAATGAGACGCATCTCCAAAATCCTCTCTCCTGAAAACTCTTGAGGCAGAAGGACTTCCTTTGGCTTTTTCGCCAAGAGCCTTATCACACACTTCAGCCCGAGAGAGCAGGGTCATTTTTCAGAAGTTGGAAAGGCATTAGGGGAGATGGAGATGCGGAGATGGGGAAAGAGAACACCAAAGAGAAGGAGAAAGAGAACTCACTGTAAGTGACGACAGCATTCATCCTTTTAAAATAATTAATAAATGATTAATGGCATAAATTACCATAAAATGTGTTATGACATGTTGCAGAGACATTTATAAATGTCTGTGGCTTAGTTTATAGCAGTCTTTATGCAGCCCTCATAAATTGAAGTGTGTAAATCAATGTGGCTGTCTCTAAAATGGGTTAGAGCACATCTTAAAATAATTTATAAGGGATAAGGCAATTTCTATATGCCTGTATTAACAAAGCCTTTATAAATACAATCCTCATCCAGACTCGTCCTATTATAAGAGAGATGATAAAATTATTGCTACCTGGAGCTGTCCCATCGCAGTGTCATCGGAGGCCATGTGCCAACAGGCGGGTTGCCCACCCCGGTCCCTCCCAGAGAGCTGACACGAGGTGACACCCTGCAGCCCCCGCCGCGGGGCCGGACACCAGCGCCCGGCATCGCCCGGCCCCTCCGCGGGCAGCGAACGGCTCAGAGCCACCACCCACATGCCAGGAACTGGAGGAGTTAATGCCTCAAACACTCCTCAGCGCCTCGAGGACAAGTTGTTGGCCTTTGTGAGGAGGCTGAGGGAGCTGCCCAGGGCAGCGCAGGGTGTATCGAGGGGTGCACAGCTCCACTGCCTGCTGCTGCAATGCCAAATTCCTTAGATGAACCTCGAAGGAAACTATACCTTCAGGCCAAATAGACTGATAAGCTAAAGGCTGGACAATTACCCAAGATGCAAAAACTGAGGAAAATGTAAAAGGGGTAGGGAGGAGCACGAACCGACTCAATTGGAGGAGGGGGCTGGTGCACCCCGTTCCCCCTCACCGCACGCACAGAACCCACGCTCCACCTTTCCCTCGTCTCTCATGGAAATGAGTTCCTGGAATACCTGCCTCTCGTGGTCTAGTATGCAAACCAGCTGAGAAAGATGAACTTGAAAGGCAACAGAAAACTCCGCTGTGTGTGCACCCACCACTGAAGATGACTGGACCTGAGACAACGCTGGAACCTGGGGTGGTGATCCAGACTTTTTTCCTCCCCTTTCCTTTTCTTCTCTTCCCTTCCTTCTCTTTTTTTATAGATTCATCAATAAGAGACCACATTGCTTACTATCCTTCTCCAAGTTTAAATTACTTCTACCGCAAGTAAAACATTTTAACCGGTTGTTTGGTGTCGCTTCACCTTAATTTAACCCGAAGGGATCGCAGAACCTGTACAACTCCCGGGTTGCAACACCGTGCAACAGCCTCCGGGCCAGCACCTCTCCCGAGCACTGCACGCTGCTGGGATGAGCTTCCTCACCCTCCTCTAACCCCCCGGCACCAAGACGAGGTATAAGAAAAGGAGAGGCCGAGCCCCCCCTTACCTTTACAGGCGCCGGCGGCTCCCAGGTGGTAGATGCCGGCTAAGACTCGCCAGACGGCCGCCTGCTCCTCCGCCGTGATGCCCAGCGTGGCCATGGCAGCCTGGAGCTGGGCAAATGCCACCGAGGCTTTCTGCTTCTCCTCGGGCTGCGGGCACAAAGAGATTGGGGGGGTGGTGGGGGGCGGTGGAGATGTCACTGCCTCTGCCAGAGCACCCCCAGGCACAGGGGATGGGGGGACGCAGGGGTGCACACGGCGGGAATGCAAAAGGGCATGTGAAAACCGTGTGGCCGGCAAGGAAAAGACAATAAGGGACGGTCTGGGCGGCAGCGGGGGAAGCCCTTGGCAGGGTCCTCGAGAGCCTGGCCTTAGGAGCAAGCCTGGGTACATCTTCTCATTGTATGACTGCACGTAATTCCCACTTCTGGAGTGTCTACAGAGACGTTAAGCAGTGGCTGGAGACAGATGTTTTCCTTCTTCTTACTAAATACACCCACCCACGGGTGTGCTGGGGCCAGCAGCACAGCGTCCAGCCACCAGCAGACCTCCCCTGCCCACCTCCAACCACAGCAGCCCCGTCCACCACTCCTGCAATTTTTATTTTTTTTTTTTTTTTTCCAAATGCAGCCCCACCACAAAATTAGGGCTTCATTTTTTTTTTTTTTTTTTCCTCCCTGAACTGAGGCTGTTCTGTGCAGACGTGTGCATCCCCAGGGCCAGAGACCACAGATGGGCTCCGGTGCACAGCATCCCCAGCTTGGCAAGGACCAGCCTGCCCAGTCTAAAGGACCCCAGCTCCTGCCGTGGCCCACGGGGCAGCTATTAATGAGGAAACACAGCTGAGGTCTGCAATTTCTCCAGACTCAAACAAATACCCCAAATGCTTGTGACACTGGTGTCACAGCAGGGGTTATCCAAACCCACCGGCCGCGGGGATGAAGGCTGGGAAGCCGCCAATTTGATTTTTCAGTCTCAGCATCCAGAGCACCGTTCAGAAAGGAAAACCTGACAAATTTCCCCAGACTCCAACCCAAACCAAAGGCAGCACCCCCACCACTCTCGCTTTCCTTCTGGGCTGGTTCCAGAGCAGGCAAAGCTCTACCAACATCCCTGCTCAGCCAGGCCGGGCTGCGGCGCAGGATTTCATCCCCTGGGGGTCTCGTGGGCGGTTCATCCTCCTGCACCCCCATCCCCAGCACCCTGGGTGCCCCTTGGACAACCCTGGAAACCCCTCTGTGTTGGGGTGGGAAACCCACAGGAATGAGCGGCTGTGAAAGAAGGGTAAAACCCCGTCTCTGAACCCAAATCTGCTGCTCTCTCAGCAGGGTGAGGACCTGCGGTGCCTCGCCGTGCCCCCTGCGAGAGCCGCGGCTCGAACAGCCGATTCCTTTGGCTGCCGGGCTGGAGCAGCAGCTCCCTAATGAGCGTGGAAGATGGAATTCATCAATAGATGATGTAACTGCAAATTGCTGCGATTCAGCCCAGCGCTTTGGCTCACAGGCAACCCGCCTGCTCTTTGCAAACGGCTCAGACTACTAAGGAGCTGGTGCTGGAAATGAACTGCAATATTTTTAGCCCCTAAAAATCACATTCTGGGCCCTCCAAAGGATGCGCTTGCCCCCCAGGGAAAGCATCAGGGGTTGCTGGCCCTGGAGCAGCAGGCTCCGACCCCCCGGGGTGGACTGGGGGGGTTCGAAACCCAAATGCAGACACCAGGCACGGCAGCTCCCCGGCTCCCGTGGGAGGGGTGCTGGAGGCTGTTTGGGCAGACCCTTCCTCACACCCCGGGCGTTTGCTCCCTCCCTCCACACACCATCCCCGGGCACCCGGCAGCCCAGCGGCTCCGGCATTGCTCCCTACCTTTGAGAACGGTTTGATCCCAAAGGAATTGCTCTCAGCCACCTGGTGCAAGTGTAGCATCGTCCTGGAATTAGGTACAGCAAATGAGACTCAAGCTCCCTTCCCACCCCCAGCGCTCCCCAAGCCCCCTGCCCTCTGCTCAGGGAGGGTCTCCAGCACCCGCAGAGCTCTTTTGCCTTTACAGCGATGTCCGAGGGGCCTCGTCAGGAAAAACTCCCGTGGCTCTGCCCCAGGGAAGGGGGTGCGAGCTGGCACCAGAGGCACCAGGACCCTTCGGCCAGGGACACACAGCTTGTGGGGAAAGCCAGAAACAAGCAGGGAAAGGGATCTCTATCTCATCAGGCCAATTTCAGCTTTAGTGAAGGGGTACCAGAAAATGCCCATTTCCTAGAAAATCTAGAATACAGAAGTGTATAAAAACCCCTACAGCATCGCTGAGGTGATCACCCGCACAATCCCTTATCGGAGGGATCTCCAAGAGCAAATTGCCGCAGCAAACTTGAGCATAAATCACGGTGGAGCCCCTCGATAGTGGGGATACCCGGCAGCTGAGCAGCCAGGCGAGGAGCGGAGCCCCACACCCACCTCTGAGCCGCATCCAGCCCCGCCAGCATCAGGGGGAAGACGTTGAAGCTGCTCTCTCCGTGGGGCTGCTGGGTGACGCGGCTCCGTTCCAGCAGCATGGTCTGGGGAGGGAGCAGAGGCAAGGGGTGAGCAGCAGCCCCCCAGCCCCTCGGTGCGGGCAGGGCGGCCGGTGTGCCGGGGCATCCAGGCACACTGGGGAGAGAAGGGACGCTGGCACCCAGAGACGGGGAGATGCTGCTGGAAGCTGTCAAGGAGGGGTCGGATTTCTCCTTTGTGGGGCTGCGGCTGGCTTTGGAGGCTGTGCACTGGCGGGCACGCAAGCAAGAGCTGAATTGTGCCCCAGGTGTGAATCAAGGGGCAACAATTCCACTCATGGGTGCAACACCCACAGTCCCTCCCCACCTGCAGAGGTTGGGGCAATGCGATGGCGCTGGCAAAGCTGTGACAGTCTCCGGATAAGCCACTGCCTGGGCTTGAGACAAGCCTAGATCTGCCTCCAGCCTTGTCAGGGCTGTCCAAGGCCAGCGCTGACACTGGGAACAAGTCCCTGCAGAACTGGGATCCCCCCCGATTGTCCCGTCCTCCCACCAGCATCCCAGGAGGGGACTAGTGGTCTGGGAGCGAATGATTCCAGGGGCACGTTCCCACCCCTGCGCAAGGACAGCCAGGCTGGGCCATCAGCATCCTGCCGGGGCGTGGGGCAGCAGTGGGGCAGCAATGGGGCAGCAATGGGGCAGCACGGGAAGCCCCAGTGTTCCCCAGGAGCAAACACAGTTCAAGGCCCGTCCTCCAGCAGATGAGGCCCAGGGGTGCGGGCAGCTCTGATTAAAGTGCTTTTGCATAATAGCCCTGATGGTGCTGAAAGCCCTCAGAGGCTTCTGCTCCGGGCTGGCGTGTAAGGTGCTGCTAATGAAATGCTGAATTATACATTTCCTCATAAACATTTCATTCCAGCGCTGTTCTGTGCTCCCTGACAGGGGAGGGGGTGACAGGCTGCGGGGGACCCCACCGCTGACGGAGCTCCTGCTCAGCTGTGATTTGGGGCACTTTTGGTCCAGGAGGAGCAGAGCGGAGCATCGCTCCTCTCGCCCCCAGCCTGGCCAGGAAGCGCAGCGCAGGGGCTGTTCACCCCCCCACCCCAAGGACCCCCAATTCCAGCCACAGCCCTCCCGTCTCGCCAGGCCCGCAGGGTACCTGGAGGTGAGCAGCGGTTATCCGGCCGGTGGCACTGAAATCCAGCGACAGGACCATGGAGAAGCGCGTGGAGCTGCTGCTGCGGCCGGTGGTCACTGACCCGAAGGCTCCCAGGACCGTGAACATCGCCTGGATCTTCTCCACTGCAAAACCAGCCCCGGCAGCCCCCCTGAGCCTCCCTGCAACGGCTGCAGCCCCGCATCGCTCCGGCGCTCGCTGGGAGAGAGCCAGACCCGCCGCCGCTGCACCAGCGCAGCCTCAGGGCTGCAAACGGGCGCTGGAGGAGGCTTCTCCTCCTGCCTGCACCTCTGCCTGCTCCTCCCTGGGGTCTGTCCCAGCACACGGGCACCGGCTGGGCATGGGGTTAACATCCCACATGGCAAGGACACGTGTGTGCTGGCTGGGGAGTGGGGGGGACACTCACACACACACACGTGGCACCTCGCTCCAGGCCATTCATCAGCTCTTTGCAGGAGCATGGTGTACCAGACCTCGGAAATCCAAACCTGCCCTCTAAAGCGACCGATTGCTCAACAGCGCTTCCTCTCACGTCACCAGTAACTTGATCAGTCAGGAGGAGTGCAGCCCCAAGCACGCAAGTAATTCCCTTCGGGTGCTTACTCAAGGTTTATCAAAATAGCAAATCTGTCGGGGCTGGGCAGGGTGGGTGAGCGGCTGCGGGGGGGCTCCACAGCTCGCGTACCTGAGACGCCGCCGGCCACGCTGCCCGCCGTGCCCACCAGATACTCCAGAGCTCCCTGGCAGCACCAGGTCCTGCCAGCCCCGCTGCGGCCCAGGGCCACGATGGCCTGATCCTGCCGCCGCAGCAGCAGGTTCCTGTAGGCTCTCTGTGCCACTGAGCAGATGTGCGGGGCCGCGCTGTCCCGCTTCCCCTTGAACGCCTGCGGGCAGAGAGAGAGTGGGAGGGTACACCCCAAAGCGGGTTCCTTGTAGAGAAAATCCCAAAGACATGGCACACCCAGGGCGATGGTTTCTCCCCCAGGGAAGGGGAAATGCCACCCGGCCTCGCCACACCAGTGCCGGAGAGAGGGTTGGGGACCGACCCAGGGAACCCGCAGGAGGACCCGCTCCGGCTTGTCCGTGAGCATGAGCTCTGCCAGGCAGCACCCCAGGCCTGTTCCCTCCCCAGCCCCGGCACCCCCAAACTGCTCAGGGGGTGCAGTCACAGCAATATAGTGATTTTTTTTTTCCTGGAAACCATTAAAAATGCTGTGCTGGGAGCAGTGCCCAGCTAAAAGCACCCTCAGCCCTGAATGTCCCCAGACCCGAGCATCCCTAGTCCTGAGTGTCCCCAGAGCATCCCTAGCACCAAGTGTCCCCAGAATATCCCCAGTCATGAGTGTCCCCAGAACACTGCCGGCCCCGAGTGTCCCCAAAGCATTCCCAGCCCCAAGCATCCCTGGTCCTAAGTGTCCCCCGAGCATCCATAGCACTGAGTGTCCTCAGATCATTCCCAGCCCCAAGTGTCCCACCAAGCATGCCCCAGAGGAACCCTGGTCCTGAGCATCCCTGGTCCTGAGTGCCCCCAAAGCAGCCCCAGCCCCAAGTGTCCCCAAAGCATCCCTGGAGCACCCCCAGTCCCACGTGTCCCCGGAGCATCCCTGGAGCATCCCCAGTCCCGAGTGCCACCCGGAGCATCCCCAGCCCTGCGTGTCCCCAGAGCATCCCTGGAGCATCCCCAGTCCCGCGTGTCCCCGGAGCATCCCTGGAGCATCCCCAGTCCCGAGTGTCACCCGGAGCATCCCCGTCCCCGCGTGTCCCCGGAGCACCCCCCGCCCGTCGCGGCCGCGCTGTGACGGTCCCACGGTGCCATCTGCCGGCACCGCAGCGCCCGGCGCCCTCCGCCACTGTCCCCACGGGGGTCGGTGACCGCTTCCCACGGGAGATCCCGGCCGCCCCGCTCACCTTCCCCGAGGTGCCGGTGGCTACAAAGCCGGGCCTGATGGCCACCAGGCTGGGCCCGGCGGAGGTGTAGGGGAGCCGGGCCCGGTAGCGCTGCTGCAGCGTGTTCACGGCGCTGCACTCGTTGAGGTTGACGAGCGCGGCCAGATCGTCGGCGTAATCCAGGCTGGGGGGGTTGGTCTGCAGGAAGAGAGCCAGAGCCCCCCCTGGAGCCCTGCCCGACCCCCTCCCCGGCACCCCGGGGGCGACAGCCGGGGCTGCGCGGGGTCTAACCCTGCAGGGGTGCTGCGGGCAGGGCTCCCATCCCAAAAGCGAGGAGGGGGCTGCTCACCCGCTGCACGCTGTCCTCGTCCACCTCGGTGACACTGCCGTCCGCCTCCCGGCGCACCCTCACCCTCCCCGCCGGCAGCTCGGGGGTCCCCACGTCTGGCTTCAGCTGCGTGGCTGCAACCAGAGGCCGATGAGTCCCCCCGGCGCAGCTCCGGGCAGAGCCGGCTGCGGCGTGAGGAGCTGCCGACCCCAACCACAACCCCGCTGGGACACGGCTGGGTGCAGCACCCAGCACCCATCCTGCTCCCGACCCGCAGCCGGGCTGGAGACAGCTCTTATCTTGGGCGCCGGAAGGCGAGGGCAGAGGAAGGCAAGTTACCGAGCATGAATCCATCGTGCTGGATGAGCCAGACCTTCTCCGCTTCGTACCAAACATCCCTCGGAGCCTGCGGGGAGGAGAGAGGGGAATGGTGCAGGAACCAGTGGAAAACTGAGCTGGACGAACTGTATTTGCCCCACAGACAGCAGCAATTCCAGCCAGCACCCCTGCACCTCCTCTGCCCGCCTGGCCAGCCCCGGGGGGCACCTTCCCCCGGTCCCCAGCCGAGCACACGCCAATGGCCAGAGCTGCACAAAACCAGAAAAACGGCATCAGGGCCCCAAGACATGGGGTAACAGCCCAGCACACAATTTACCTGGTCCTTGGCCGTGCTCTCGCCTGTCTCTTTGCTCTCTCCAGGTGCCTCTTTGCCCTCTCCCAGTTCTTCTTTCACCTTCCCCACCTCCTTTGCCGCATCTTCTGTCTTTTCTTGGATCGCTCCTGGCTCCCCCTCGAGCCTCTCTGACTTCTTTGCAGTTTTTTCAGGCTTTTTGATTTCCCTTGGCTCCTTCTTGTCACCTCCAACATCTTTCTTCATCTTTTCCGTCTCTTTCCCAGCCGGCCCCGGCTCCTTCTTGCCTCTCGCCTTGGCTGGGGGCTGCTCGTGGCTCGGGGGTGTCCTCTTCTCCTTCTTGGTGCTCTCAGGACCCGTCCCCTTGGGCGCGCCCCCCTCTTTTGCTGGGACTTTGCTGCAGTGCTGGAGGCCCTTTCTGGGCGCAGCGGTTGGAGCCGGGGGGCTGCCCCCCAGGCGGGGGTCCTTGGGGCTCTTCTCGGGGTACGACAGCTTCGCTACCCTGGGAGCCTCCAGGCGCGGGGTCTCCGCTGGTTTGGGGGCAGCCGCTGCCGGGCTGGGCGCAGGGGACGGAGCTTTGCTGGGGGTGGCCCCTGGCTCAGCCCTCCCGGGTGGCAGCACCTTGCGTGGGGGGGCCGTGACCCCCTCGCCCCGCTGCCCCTCCGCGTGCAGCCCGTTCTGCAGCGCCTGCCCCTCACTGGGCACCTCTGGGGTGTCCCCGGCTCGGGCCTCGCCGTCCTCCCCCGCAGGCTGCCAAGCAGAGGAGAGGAGCCGGGTCTGACAGGGACGGGGCGAAGGGTCCGACCCCGACCCCAGCCCCGACCCCAGCAGCCCCAGCCGGGTGTGGGATGCCCGGGCCAAGCGCAGCCTGGCAGGAGACACAGCTCCAGCCCTGATCCTCTCGCTCTGGGCACGGCCAATGGCTGCAGGTGGCTGCCCAGACCTGGCTGCACTGGTACAGTCGGTGGCATCTTCCTCCTATTCCTCCTCCTCCTCCTCCTTCTCCCTCCCTCTTGGCCACATCCCATCCCGGGTCACCGCTCGGTGCTGTGCCCAGAGATGCCCCACACGCTCTCCTGCGCTCAGTGAGCTGAACCGGAGAGCCTTGTGCTCTGCTTAATTACTCGCCTTCCAATTAAGCAAGTCAGGAATGGTAAGTTGCATTAACGAAGTGTCCAGCGTTAATTGCTCGAGGCTGGTGGCTGGCTGGGGCTGCAGCTTGCTGCTACCAACAGCACACGGCAAGCCCCGGCCTCGCCATCCAACACAGCCCATGCAAAAAAAACCTTCACGCTCCCAACCGGGGCCCCGCAGCCCCCCGGCCCCTGAGGAGCTGGTTTGGGCTGGGGATAGACGGGGACAGCCCCAGCGCCAAGGCAGGACGCCCCAGTGCTGGCCGGGGTTCCTCACCACTCACCTCTTTCATGCTCACCTTGGTTTCCTTCTTCAGCTTCGCCGCCTTGGCCTCCTTCTCAGTCTCCCGCACGAGCTGCTTGATGAACCCCCCAGGAATGACCGACAGGAGCAAGGGGGGGGCGGATGGAGGCGGCCCCCGGTCCTCGTCCCGTATCTGTTTGCGGGAGCAGAGGCTGAGTTACGGGGTCCAGCTCAGGGACGGGAGCCCCGGCAAAGCCATCCCCGCGGGGACGTCAGCGGCACGAGCGGCGGAGCCGAGCAGCAGCGCCCTGCCCCACCGGCGAGGCCGTGGGCCCCCCGAGAGCACCCGGCTGGCTCGGGGGGGGACGCTGTGGCGAGCAGAAGGAGAAGCACCGAGAAGAAAAACCCCGCAGAGAAGCGCCCGGGTTTCCACACGCCGCCGAGGGCCAGGCGCAGCGGGGAGCTTGGCTCTGCCCGACGCCCAGCAGCTCCGGCACGGCAGGAACCATCCCGGCGGGTTGGGGAGAAGAAGCAGCTCCCAGCATCACTGCGGCCACATGCAGAACCCGCGGGACCTTCCGTGCCAGGCCCCAAGCCCAAACCGGCCCCAACTCCCCGCAGCTCCCACAGCAAAGGGCTTTCCCAGCCGTGCCACCGCGCAGCAGCGCCAGCGCCAAAACCCCGTGGGGAACCGCGGGCCCCAAACAGCGGCAAAATCGCTCAAACCAAAACATTTAGGCTGCAAAGGTGCCCGGAGCCGGCAGGGTTGGGCACAGCACGAGCCATGTGCGTGGGGAGCAGAGGGGGATGCTGCCCCCGGGGGTGTGCGGCAGGCTGGCTGCGGTGTGTGCGCTCCCCCCCCCGCCCGCCTGGCACTGAGCCCCCGGGGGGAAGCCTGTGAGCATCCAGCCCCAAAACGCCGCCGGTGCCAAACCCCGGAGCGAGACTTTCCTTCTGCTCCCAGAGCGCGAGGCGCGAGGAGATGGCCATGGCGGCGAGGAGGGACGGTGCTGTACGGAGAGACGCGCGGCCACGCCGGGCACACGAGGCGGAGAGAGAGGAGAGAGTTAGCCAACTGGCCCCGGGGCTGGCAGCACCGCGACCTTGCTGGGCATTGCCCAAATCGGAGCTTGTGGCAGCAGCCGGAGCGCGGCAGCCCGGGCACGGAGGGAACAGGGCGCTCTGGGGAGGGCACAGCCACCTCCAGCCCCCGGCACGGCACGGCGAGGGGGTGGTACGGGGTGCTGGTGGCACCGGAGTGGTGCTGGTTGCACCGGGGTGGTGCTGGGACCCCGCTGTGCGGGGCTGGGTGGCACGGGGCGGCCGCGGGAGCTCGCCCGTGCCCCGTTTTGGGCTGACCCCGGCTTCACCTGTCGAGATCATTCATGCACCGAGCGGGTCGGGGCTCGTCCGGCCCTGCCGCTCGCGCCGGCGGTCGCATCGCCTTGTACAGTAAAGGGCAGGAGCGCCGGGAGCGGCCAGGAGCCGGCTGAGGAATGTCACCGGCCTTCTCGGGCGGCAGCCCCGGGGCACCACTTGCCCTTGCTCCCATCGGGGGCTGGCACTGTCCCCTCACTTCCCGCCCCCCCGCCCCAGCCAGGGCCCTCCGGCCGTGGGGGAGAGCTGGCCCCAAAGGGCACAGCCGGAGCCCGGAGGGTGCTGGTGGCCGGGCTCCCCGCACCCGCCAGCCAGAGCTGGGACCTCGGTTCTGCTCTGCATGTGGGGAAACTGAGGCATGGAGGGGGACGCGCCTCACCCGAGCGCACGGCGTGGCACAAACAAGGGCTGGGGGACCACCATGGACACCACTCGGGCTCCCCCCCACCCAGGGAGCAGGATGCGGCCCCGTTTGGGTCTGGTCTCCACACAGGAGCCGGCTGGGGACTCGCTCCCGCTGCCACCCTGGACCCGTTGCCATTCTGGTGGGTGCCAGGAGCTGAGACCATCAAGGGGCCCCCAGTCACCCCCCCCAGCCTGGGGCAGGGAGCACAGTCCCCGTCCCCGCTCCCACCACAATCCCCCCCCAGGCCCCTCTCCCAGCACAGATCAGTGGCTGGAAGCTGGGGCTGCCGCTATCGCCATCCATTCCCACCTAAAAATAGCCCTCCCCGCCCAGGGGCCCACCAAAAAGCTCCATTCAGACCCTGACCCCAACCCCCACCACCACCCCAAAGGCCCCCCTAGAATTCCCTTACCTGGGGGGGGGCTGCGGGCACGGGGGGCTGCCGGCCCCAGGCTCTGCTGGTGTGCGGGACCCCGGGGAGCGAAGGCGGCGGCAGCAGCGTGTGCCTCCCCCCGCCACCCCCCAGCCGCGCCGGCAGCTGAGGTGACACATGTCACTGCTAAAAATACCCGCGGTGGCGGCACCGGGGCCTCGGCGGGGGAGAGGCGATGGCACCGCGGGGCCGTCTGGCTCCCTGACCCCCCTGCACCGCCTGGCACACGTGTGTGGCACCCGCACCCTCCCTGGCACATGCGTGTGGCACCCGCGCCCTGCCCAGCACACACATGTAGCACCCGTGCCCTCCCCAGCACACACGTGTCACCCGCACCCTCCCCAGCACACATGTGTGGCACCCACACCCTGCCCAGCACACGCGTGTGGCACCCGTGCCCTCCCCAGCAGACACATGTGGCACCTGTGCCCTCCCCAGCACACACGTGTGGCACCCACACCCTGCCCAGCACACGTGTGTGGCACCTGTGCTCTCCCCAGCACATGTGTGGCACCCACACCCTCCCCAGCACATGTGTGTGGCACCCATGCCCTCCCCAGCACACACGTGTGGCACCCATGCCCTCCCCAGCACACATGTGTGGCAGCCTCACCCTCCCCAGCACACGTGTGTGGCACCCATGCCCTCCCCAGCACACACGTGTGGCACCCGTGCCCTCCCCAGCACACATGTGGCAGCCTCACCCTCCCCAGCACACACATGTGGCAGCCTCACCCTCCCCAGCACACGTGTGTGGCACCCACGCCCTCCCCAGCACATGCATGTTCGTGCCGCTCTCAGCGCACACATTTGCACCCCGCGGGAGTTGGGGAACACCAGCCCAGGGCAGGGGGCTGCTGCAGGAGGGGACCCCAGGCTGTCCCCCGAGACTGGGGGGGGAAGGGGGGTCGGAGCTCCCCGGTTCCCCCTGCCAGCCCCAGCCCTGGGATGGGGAGGGACCCGAGACCAGCGCCCAAAATAGCTTCCCGTCGGCAGAAAGAAAAAGTCACGGCGGTGCTAACGCCAACGTGGGCAGCAGAGCCCGTCCCGGGGGGCCCTGCCCAGCCCCCCCATCCCCAACCCCACCTCCCCACAGACCTGCAGCCCACAGCGTGGGCAGACATCCCTCCGGCTGGAGACGGAGCAGATGGAGGGGCCGTGGGGTGACCCCAGGGGGGGCCGTGGGGTGACCCTGGCGGCACCGGCAGCTCCCAGGCCGGGGCGCAGGATCAGGCCAAGGCGCTGAGGTGTAACCCGCTCCCCCGCAGAGCTCCACGGACGCGCCCAGGGCCTCAGCACCGCCAGCTCTGGGTGGAAGAAAGGAAAGGGGAGGGTTAGTCTGGGGCGGGGGGAACGCAAGGGGTGCCCCAAACATCTCACCCCCCTGCCCAGCTCCCCCCAGGGAACAGCTCGAGGTTGTGGATGATCACAGCACCCCCCAGCCCTCGGCTCCCGCGCTTTCGGAAAGCCACCGTTTGTCACCCCTAACACACCTCCCAGGCCCTGCCAGGGCCATTTTTTGCTGTCCAGGGAGCAAAGGGGGGGGGTTCGGGGCGGGGGGCAGGGGTCGGGCCCGGCCCAGCCCCTACCGAAAGAACCAGGCGGCAGCACACACGCAAAGGACGGTTTTTATTGGGGTTCTCGTCGTATGGGGAGCAGTTGTACTGACCAACACACAGAAGCAGCTTAGCTGTGCCAAAATAATCCTTTAAAAAAATAACGGCGGAATTAGCTAAGTGTGGCACATCAGTCACAAATCGCCGAGGACTGTAAACTCTGAAGATAAGTCTCTGGGAGAAGTACTATGGGGATGTGCAGCAGCATACACCGGCACGGGGCACACCCTCCTCTGCACAATAAATATGAAAAGAGCCAAGTACATAAAACAAAGAATGATTCTCATAGATACAATATCTAAAGTTATTTACAGATACTGGCTTTTCTTACCATTAAATTACACATTGAAAACAGGTTCTCTTTCAATATATTTCTTTAAATCACTAGTAGATATTCGTGTGAATCTGCTCCTTTTTTTTTGTTTGTTTGTTTGTTTTTGTTTTTTTAAGGACCAAATGTAGTCACTGAAACAGTGCTCGTAAAAACGCCTCTCCTAGGATACTCTCGCTTTATTCTGTTTTTCAGACTCATTTTTGTTTCCCATCTCACCTGCTCTCTGATCTCTCCTTTTCCTTAAGGAAAAGGCGCCTGTCACAGCCGGGAGAGCCTCCTCCCAGCCCCACATCCCGGACAGCCCGCAGCCTCTCCTGGCCCGTCTCCTTTTCCAGCCTGGCAGTACAGTGGGATACACAAACCTGGATAAATCTTGACCCTTCATGAGCCGCCAGCTCTCTGATCCTCTCCGCAGTTTTCTAAGGAATCCCTGTGCTGGGTTTGGGGCGCTTGGCCCCAAATCACGGCACGTTTCGGCCGTCTCCCACCCGCCGCCGGCCTCTCCCTCCCTCCAGGCGCTCTCGGGGCAGAGCAGCTCAACGCTGCAGCAAGAAAACACGACCAGGCAGGCGTGAGAAGGGGGAAAACGGAGAACAAGGCAAGAATTACGACAGGGGAAAATCAGCCACCCCCCTCCCCGCTCCGGGCAGCGTCTCAGCAAGAAGAGGCGGCCTCAGCAAAAGCCAAATTTCACCCTGGAGGTGCCGCTCGGTGAAGCCCTGAAGAGCAGGTACTTCAAGCTCCACCGCAGTGGAAATGAAAAGCACGTGCTTTAACACCTTGAGTATTCTTCAAACCGCAGGGGCCACGATTGCAACGGGAATTATTTTTAGCCAATGAGTTACCCGAGGAATTTCGTGCTATTTTTGCGCCTCGCTCGGGAAGGAGGTGCTTGCTTTGGCCACCGAGAGATGCGCCCAGCGGTAGCTGCCCTCCAGCAAACGCTCGTGGCAGGGCGAGCGGGCCCATGCCATGCGGAATGGCATTCTGCTCGGGGTGGGGAGAGGGGGGGGCTCGCCTTCCCGACACCCCCGCGGAGGGAGGGAGGGTCCCTGCCGGGGCGCCGGGGGGGTGCCCGCTCCCCTCCTCGGCTGCGGCGCGGGGCAACGAGCCGAGTCCCCCCGCTCCCCAGGCCGCCTCCCCGGGCTCCAGCCTCTTTTTAAGCACCGAGAGGAATCGCCCTGAAACAGCAAAAGTCATTTTTGAAGGCGTTTTTGCGATCACCGGCGGGGCCGTCCCTGCCTGCACCCGAACCCCCGTGACACCCCCCCCCCCCCCCGGCCCCTCGCAATTAAGGAGCTTTGCAGCGCCTGAGCTCCTCGCCGAGCTTTTTCAAACATCGAGCTGATCCCTTGCCCCAATTTCAGGTCATTAATTCTCGTGAACCCAGCACAGACTCCTGTGAATAAAACGCTTGCGCTCTGAAGTGCCGAGGAATGAAGGGGAAATTTAGAAATACCAAAGCGAGGGGTTTATTTGCCAGAGTTTTTCAGATGTTTCTGCACTCACGAGCCACTGCACTGCGAGATGGTCCTGCCAGCAGTCGCTGTGCTCGTAACAGAAGGGTAAGCTGGACAGACTGATGGAAACTATTTTGATTTTATTATGAAAAACAGAATAAAGCTGACTGATCCTGCTTGAAAGGAACTGCCATTTCTATACATGTACGGAGCAGAAATTCTGTGGAATGTCAGAAGTTGGAGAAACATGTATTTAATAAATAATATAAAATGCTTTTTTGTTAAAATAGAATTCTTGGTTTTATACCTACATAGCATAGCAACCTTTACATAAACAAAATAAAGCTGAGTCTGTGATGATTAGTTTAACACAAAATAAAAATAATACAATTTAACAATAGTATTAAAACAGCCAATGTTCAATCCACACAATATGTACACCATGGAATAGAAATCAACAGAAAACAAAAGTAGATTATCTTGAAATTCCTCAGACATTTGGATATACATATGTTCTCTGTATATTTTAGATATTTTCCTTTTTTTACAATATTAAAATTAATACTATGCTTTTTCAAAATACGCTTTTCAGATTTTCTGATTTGTAGAATTGACTCATTCCTTATATTAATCAACACAACTAGAATTATTTACTTTCTACTGTACACTTCAAAATAGTCCTTCCTCCATATATATTTAGAGTGTGAGCATTTCAGAGTTAAATTAACTGTATCATTGCCATCTGCTGTGTGGGGGAACAGCGGAACCCGTGTGTGATTGCGAACGGCTGCAGCACGGAGATTATGGCCGTGATATTGAAGAAGAACCTAGTCCTAAAACTGATAAAAGCTGCTAAAAACTGCTCAGCAGCCAGGGACAGAGCAACACACAGAGCTCCAGGCATTTCACTTTTCACCAGCTCATTTACTGCAAACCTACAGAACCTACCGAAGCGCGAGTCGCCGCACGCACCGGGGCCCCATCCCACCCGCGGCGGCAACGCCGCCGTAGCAAACCCACCCACCCCTGGGATAAACTGGTTTGTGTTTAGCACCAAATACACAGCGTTTCCCATCGCCTAGGCACTGGCCTGCAAACACCCGCGCTTGTATTAAAACCCAAACCGACCCGACGATCCTATTTCCTTTTTTTTTTTTTTTTTTTTTTTTGCCCCTCGGAAGAAGCGGGGGAAGAAAAACAACGGCCGCGTTTCTAAAGGAGAGTTGTTGAAATGAAGGGAAATTCAAACGAACACGGTGAAGCTGAGGTATGTCTCCTGGAGCTGCGTGCAGCACAGTCCCTGCCCTGCCGGGCGTCCCACCCGCACAGCCAACTGCCAACAGCGCGCTCGGAGTCTCTGCTGTGAAACCTAACGGGGGGGGGGGGGGGGGGGGGGGGGGGGGGGGGGCGGGGGGGCGGGGGGGTAACGCACTGGGAACCTCAAGGCTGGATCAGCTCCAGCATCTCCAGCATCGCCACCAGCGAGGCTTCTCCCACGGCAGCAGGATGAGAAGCGACTCGGGAGGCCGCAGCCGCAGACTCTGCTCGACCAGCGACAAGACAGAAAGCTCAAACACAACTAATAGGAAGATGCTTTTATATTCAGTGAACCGGAGAGCCTACAGTTAGATGAGGGATTTCCCCCCCAGAATTACTAAATGTTCCTTTAACAGTTTCATGAGTTTGCGGAATAATTACCGAATAAATTTGAGTAATAAAAATTGCCTAATTTGTACCTGCCGTGAGGGGACATCTCAGCTGACACAGTGTCCAACACTTCACGGCACCGGCCAAGCTCCTGCCCAGCTCCAAACTGTTCCTCAGTCAGACTCTGCTTGCAGCAGGAATAACCGGAGCTTTGCTTTCCCTGCCCGTAAATTTCAACTCATAAAAGTCTCATTTTGGCTAGAGTTCGGTGTATCCCTCTTCTTGAAGCGAGACATTCATTTACAGCAACTCCCACGTTATCAAAAATGCCGCCCTACCTCAGAGTGTGGTGGGAAAGGCAAAGGGAAAGGAAAAGCACACGGAACGGAGCGGCAGCTCTCCTAAAATCTCCGTGACCCCCCGCGCCTCGCTCCTGCAGAAATTGCACATCTTTCCACCACCACGTCACTCACACGCTTGCTTTCCAGGATCTAGTCTTACAGCATTTGTCAGCTTGTACGTCAGAGACAAAGAATAATTAGAATATAACCCCTGCAGCTCTGAAGGCATGTGGATGTGTCAGGGAGGGTTTAACAGGGCTCTACCTGGCATGCGATTCTCTATTTTGAAATACAAGAAATAATTCCCATACATGCTTAGATCTCCAATATGGCTGATCTTATTTTAAAGGACTTTCAGATCATTTGTTTAAAAATCTGTGTTTAATCATTCACTCAGCTCTGTTGATGCCTGAAGCTCTAATTCCCTTTATCTTTACTTCCCTGAACATTTAAAAAGAATAAAACAAAAAGTTCTACAAATGCAGTCAGAATGTGTAAAAGACAATGCTGTGCCTCACACTGTCTGCCTTCAACAAGATTTTCTACGCATCCAGCTAAAGACCCTCGTGTAAAATAACACCACAAGAATCTTTGTCCAAGGGAAGAAACCTTCAGAGAATCTCGTACCTAAACCAGGAGCAATCAGTTGGAAGCAGTATCTAGTATTTTCCTTTAAAGGGCAGAATGCCAGCTCTCCCTCCACACCAGCAGATCCAGTCCCTTCCTCACAGATCTCCCGTTATCACTGGGCTCCCAGCTTCCACAATGAGTAGGTGAGCTTTTCGCTATGGCAATCTCTCCTAACAGCACAACCGCGTGCGAGTCACAGACGTAAAGCTTTCCTAAATTGCCGATAAATCAGTTGGCTAAAGAAGAATAACCCTTTCACTGTTTGGCGCTGGTCTGGCAGCGGCGCTGAGCGAGGGCACCGCTCGGCTGCCGCACGCCCGGCCGAGGCAGCGAGGGCCACGCCAACGAGCGTGTTCGAGGGCCATCCCAACTCGGGAACACTTCAAAAGACGCCTACTTCTGTAAGTCGAACCACAGCCTTCGTTTGGTATGAAATCTACGGTTTTGAGGCACAACGACCCAAGCGCAGACCCGTCCCTCCCCTCCTCACAGACACCAGCGTCCGGAATCTACGGTGCGCCGCATCAGAAACTGCAAAGCTCTGCCAGCAAGGATTGAGAGCAGAAAGCAACCGTGGAAAATAACGGGAAGAGAAGAATGGAACTGGTAACGAGCTTAGAAAGTACGAACACGTTACACGAGAACTGAGAGCGGTTTGCATCACGATCGGAGGGATTTTTCCAAATCAAGAAGTAAAACAAGAGCATCGCATGGTTTTGTAGGAAAAGCTTAACAACATCCAGTGCACAGACAGCGCCAGCAAGATGAGACATTTTCTCTTCTAAACCTCGGTAAATGCCATCACTGCTCCTTAACAGGGGACGCTGAGATGCTAAACATCACTTACCAGTAAGAATAACATAGGAATTGGTACTCTCCATACAGAATAATTTGAAAAATAAATGGGGGGAAAAAAAAAAATCATTAAAAGATATCACCTGACTCACACGGGCTATTTCCAAAATGCATTTTTTTCCTTTTACGCTGCACCAGATGGGAAGACAGAGTTTGCGCAGTTGAGAAAGCACACGCTCGGCAGAGTTAAGCCGCTCCCGCTTCTAGAAGCAAATACATCCAAATTTTATTACAAATGTGTTCAGGATAAACAAATGCTTTCAAAAAAATTCTCCCGGTTCTGCCAATTTGTACTTTTCTACAAGGAAACGGCGCTAGAACTCTGTGGCTATCAGCAAGGCCAGCGAGAGCAACCGCGCACGCAGGCGGGCAGAGAGAGCTGCTGGGGCAACTTCTGTGCCCGTTCTCCGGGTGCAATTCCCATCGTCTTTAGGGACTATGAGAGTTGTACCGCTGTAACTGGGCAGAAAACGTCCTCCGAGGTGTTCGCTGAATCGGGGGGAAAAAAAAAAAAAAAAAAAAAAAAAAAAAAATAAGAAGCTTAAATTCAGCCCTGACCTACCTCTTACAAAACATCACAACAAGCAGGGAAAGGCTGCCTTCGCATGCTTCGAGTTGTCTAACAGTTAAGAGATTCTAGCTTTGCTTTAGCAAGAGTTTCCACATGACATGACTGACGTCTCAAGTAGAATTAATAGCAATCTGGCATTTGATCAGCTCGCTTTGTCAGTTCCATCCTCAGTACTCTCAGACTGTTTTCAATGTGGACAGTTTGAACTCTCCAGAGAAGAAAATGAAAAAATCTTTTTGCAAGCCGAGCCATGTGATGTGTGCACGAACCTCCTGAGCTGCGCTACAGTGAAAGCCGGGGATATCTACGCTATGAGAACACGCTTGCTTAATGGGTTTGTGTACAACAGAGAAGGATCCACAAGTCCCCTAACTGAGGAGTGATCCAGAATACGTACCGAGGTACCCAGACATTTTAACCCAGTACATGCACTAGAATGCATTGGATTTGAGTAATTTCTTTTTAATTTTTAAAAAGTGCAGTTGACCTGAAATGGAAAAGAACTGTCTTTATGTTCACTGTAAACTTGTCAAAAGGAATCTGCTCTTTAAAAACTGTGCTAAAATAGTCAATTTATACAACAGAGCACTAGATGAAGCTACCATAAATTCCTCTTCACCAATTATTACTCTATTGTGTCAGTTATAGTACTGCATATACGTAGAAGAAGCAAAACGGTGGTAGCTACTATTAGTGAGTACAACAAACCAAGTGAATAATTTGAGTTCAATGTTTCCATGAAGTAGCAATAACATTTAAACCACAGGACAGTTAGAATTCAGTACTTTGAAGTGCATAAGAGTCACACTGTTGATCATCAGCAGTATGGAGAAAGGTTATTATAAAGTCAGCAGTAATGGTCGGAAAGAACATGGCAACACGACAGATTAAGGGTTATCCAACATGGCAAGTCTGCAGCTCCTTCCACAGCTGAGGGGTTTGCCGGTATCGCACACGCAAGTGTAATCCTAGCCAGCAGCAACCACGCCAGTCTCCAGCACCGAGCAAGGGTATTGCGGAGAAAACAGCATCTTCCTTCCATCAGTAGTTCTAGAGTAACGGACCACGGCTGGGACACCGCCAGGGTGTGGGGATGCACGGGAGCAATATGCAGCCTCTACGCTTGGTCACTTCCACCGCTGCCAGGAGCATGAACTCACTTGCCATTGTTCCAGTCATCACAACCTCCAGAGACAGATTTCTGACATCGTCCCACGCTGTAAACATCTAAGTCTTCCTCTTCTAAGCACATCCCGCGTCCAGGATTGCACAAAGTAATTCATAAGGATTCTGTGAAACTCAGCATGTTCACCCAGTAGCTTTCCCTACGTGAACTTTGTTTCCTGTTTCTCCTACAGACCGTTGCTATTCCTGTGGCTGAGCGGTGGTTTTGAAAGCTCTACAACTGTTGAGCGAGATTTATTGAGAAACTTTGGAGCCCGACGCAGCAACCTCTGTGCCTCAGTAAAAGCTTCTGTCAGCTCTTTTTTCCACTGAACAAATTCTGGGTCACTCTGAAAGAGATACAGAAGTAGTTGGGCACTTCATAGTAAACTGCCAATAGCGTCTTCTCTCTTAGACAGCACTTTCAAGCAACTTATTTTAATTTTCCGCAGCAACGAGTAACCTTGGATATCAAACACGTGCAGCCTTTTGCTTCTCCAACACCTCGCCGCAGCCAGGCAAGGCAGCAGCAACTACAGCCGGCTGTAATGTAGTTGTAATGTACATGTTGTACAGTTGCAATGTACATACAAAGATGTAATGAGGACTTGTGTACTTCCTCCCTCACAAACACATTAGCTACTATCAACTAACTGCAGCGAGACACGTGCCAACAAGGCCTTCGAACCCCATGTAGGTTGAGAAGTTTTGGAGTTTTTAGCTATGTATTAAATTGAACCCATTTTGGCCCCAACACCACAGAAATCCATGACAGAAACTGGCACAGCTGCAGGCTTCCCGCTTTCAAAATCCAAACGTGATAAAAACTTCCCAGTTTTGCTTACGTTCAGCTTTGCTTCACAAAGTACCCTTAGTTAATACGTAGCGGGAGGGCCTGAAAAACTTTTCAACTGTTTTAGCATATGCAAAACAATCTGATTAACAGTTATCGAAAAGCAAGCAAGTCTCACCTCACACTGTAGGACAAACTGTTTTCCTCCTTTAATTCTCAGTAAGATGCATTTCTTATCTTTAATTTGTGTTTCTTCGACAGATACTATTTGTTCCATTGTCAGTAGGTTTTGCTGTAGCATTTGCAAAAAAGCAAGAGAGATGATTTGAAAAAAAACATTGCCCATCAAATAAAGCCACTATCTAATTTTTCCGGACTACCCACATAAATCACGTTATGAACATTAACAGTCATTACACAAACATTTCTTTATTTCCGAAGGCTGGATCATGAATTAAAGACAGACTATAAGGTAAGAGAGAGATTTAGCAAGGGGCTTGATTGCTTCAACAGAGACGACAAAATATAAGCTAAGAAAGCCAGTAATGACAGCATGAAATAAGAATCTACAAATAGGTGTGTCTACAAACAAAATATTCACTATTTTCCCTCAAGGGAGTTGCATATAATTTTATATATTTTCCAAGTATTACTGCTGTTAAAAAAAAAAAAAAGGCAATCTTACTGACTATTTCAAAGAGCTGAAGGGGAGCGTTTAAGCACTATATATTTACAAAGAAGCAAACATACACAACAGTTTGCAGAAAAGCTTTCCCTATAGACTGTAAGAGAACAACAGGGTTCTGAAATTCCAAAACCTTACTTAACTGAATGTACAAATGATCTGCCTAGTACATGATCACAGCTGGACTAAACTAAAGTTACTATAGCATTTTCTTTGAACTAAAATGCTATAAGCGTTTATGACCTTACCAGTTTATGGTTTTTTGTATAAATAGTCCAGCGGTCCTAAATAAAAAACAATACCATGAACTACCAAATTCCTTTAAAAAACATAACAAAACAAAGTAAACGGGTTTCTCAACTTTATGTTTCCTCAGCGCAGCATAGCTACCCATTAACTAAGGCGATACTCCAGATAAGTTACTCAAATCCAGCGGTCAGTTACTCGGACCAAACTCTACTTCCACGGCAGGTATGCTTGAGCACAAGCCCTCAGATTCGCCTCAGCATCCACCTGCCTTCCACGCCCCCGGAAGCGGCTGCCCTCCAGAGCACCCCCACTTACCCGCGACTCTCCTTCTCCTCGCCATTCAAGTCGGTTGGGGAAAAGGTAAAAGTAACGCCGCTGCCACTGAGTCAAGAAGGGGTTCCCCAATTTCAGCATGTATCCGTGCATAATACAGTCCTTCCCAAGCGCGTAATCTATGGCAAGAGGAAGCTTTAGGACGCGTTCCGCAGACGGGCCCTGCCGAGAAGGGACGCGGGCCGGAACCCGGCGCGCCGCCGCCTGCCCTCTCCAGGAGGGCAGCCCTGGTGCTGGGTGCACAGGCACACCCCGCGCCAACTCTGCCCTGATTACGTGAGCTGAGGAGGCTGCAGCGGAGCAACCAAGAGCGGAATTTGGTTCTTTAAAAAGAACTTCATTAACTAGTAAAAGATTCGTATACTGCTATCCAAAGCTCGGTGTCTGTGATGCAACACTTGTGCAAACGAGTAAAGTTTGCTGTAAAGGGCCTCCTGTTTTCTTTCTCAGCTCCTTTGTCATGAAAGCAAATCCCACATGCTCTTTTCTGAGCGTGCACCATAAACAAAAACGATGAAAGGCTGTACATGATAATCTTTAAAAGTGAGTACAAAAGGTTTTCCAAAACATTATGTCATCATACAGCATTTCAAAACATTAAGAAACCTCTTAAGAAACACGATACTGTCTAAATGAATTCTAACAATTACTGGTGAATGACAGTAATGTGAGAGTCTGTTGTGCGAAACTTCAAACACATGAATTACTATCTAGCAGCAAAAGATGGAGAGAAGTGTATTTGACAGATTACCTTCCTCATGGCCAAGCTGCTTATTTTTAGCCCTTTTTCTGGCCTCAATTTTATCTGTGTCTGCATTTACTGCATCATAAACAGTTTCTGCTACTTCTTGCTGCCAACGCTCCGATATTACCAGAGGGAAGTTCTTATATAACTCCTGGTCACTATCAAGCAACTTGCAAGAGAAAAACAACACAAAAAAAACCAACACTTTAATAACTTTTACTATTCTTATCCCCAACAGTTCATAGTTACCCATATAACAGTATTATTTTAAAAGATGCATTGAACTCTAACCTTACCAGAACAAGGAGATGCAAACAAGAGTAAACACAGATATTCATTTAAGCAAAGATACTCATTTATATATAGAGAACAGGCTACCTTTTCAAAACGTGTCTGGTTTGATAGCTCTAAAAGCCTTACTCAACATTGTTCTATAATGTTCTCTAGACTTTACATTTAAATAATTAATTAAATGTAAACAGCGGTATTCTTAACTTTGTTGTACAATCATTGTCAATAAAATGTCTAATTGTGTTTAAAACTTTCTCAGCACGAAAGTTCCACGAATAAATGAAAAGACACCTTTTATACAAAAATGCCTTCCATGCTTCCACAGCTTAACTTTACATTCTCAATAATTAACCTTCAAAATTCAGCAGCGCATGCAGCAGACCTCAGTTTTCCTGCTATATAGATTCTTTTCTCCCCTAATCTTCAACTACAGTACTCAAATTGAGTCACGCTGAAGGAAAATCAAACTCCTGGATCTTCAGGAAAGACTGTTTGCTGCTCGACACAGCCACATCCTGGGTTTAGCAGTACAAAAAGTGATCGATGTTCTCCTCACACAGCGCCTGCGGGAACAGGACGGGGAAGCCTTGCTCTGCTCTCCTCCTGCAGCCAGGCCACACACCCCCAGGACACTTATTCTCCTTTTCCAAGGCCCACAGCCGTATCACAGCGGGAAAATACACGCTGGATTTGAGGGCAGAAGACTTCTCTGCAGTTGTGCAGAAGTGGCATGCGAGGAAGAGGGGAAAGCCAGGGGCATCCACTGCCGGCCTTCCAGCTTGTAACCACAAAGAACACGCGTCCTTCCCAGTGTCACAGGACACCCTGCAGTATAAATATAATCCGCAGGGGCAGTGGAGGAGAGCAAGGCACCCCAGCTGGTGTCCTCATGGGCAGAGACGGCTCCTGACACCTTAATGGAAGCTCCGACTGCAGCTGACTCAGAGGCACGAATTATTCAGTCCCTTCTAAAAGACTGTGACATCCCAGTGAAAGCGCAGAGCAAAGAAGCTGTACATGATATCCCTCACTGACTCATGACTAAGAATAAATTTACCTTATAGGCAGCCTGAACAAAGATTACATGGAAGCGATCTGGCTATACGATTTACAGGCCTTGCTGAGAATATCCAATCCCCTCAATAAACAAAAAGACCACCTGGCTTCTTCTTGCGAAATGTTCCTCCAAATTATGGCATTCCAGAATTGCAGGAATCTGGAATCCTGTTAGACTAACACTGATGCTGAAGACGTGGAGTTTTCCGGGATAAAGAACATCTTGGGTTCTCTGCATTTCTCTTTAAACACGTAAAATCTTTTCTGTGCCAACTTCTGTAATTACAGCAGGTGACACTGACAGACAAGTTCCTTTTTAGGCACAGTGAGTGCTTAACATGTTTTTTTGCTTATAAAGTTTAGAGCAATTAGTTTCCCTCCTGACTCACTTCTGCAATAACAAGAGTAAAAGTTTGATCTACTGAAGAAACGGATGACAAAACTAATGAACAGGACAGACCCAAGACAAGCACTGAATCACCTATTGTCTCAAAGTGCCAGGGAAGCTTCAGAAGAGGGGACGAACACGCAGCGTACGTCACACCACCTCCACGCAAGTCACAAATGGGCCAGCAGCTTTAACTTCTCTTTTTTTTTTTTCTTTTACATTGTTTTCATTAAATTTTGGATAACGTCAGAACCTGAAAGTTTCTTTTGTCACTTTTCTAACTGATAAAGTTGCTACCATTAATATAGAGTTTGTTGTTTTTAAGAATAAACCACTGCACACCCTGACCATGAGATAACACTATTAAAACACTATCAATTTATCCAAACTACCAGAAAGAAATTACAATTTTTAAAACTACAAACCATGAAGTATTCTTGAAAATCTGAGGATTTCCAAAAAGCTGTCTGACCATTTGAAATATTTGCTTTATCATATAAAACTTTTGATAGGAAGGTAGATTTCAGTCAATATAAAAGCATACAACATAAGGACTTGGCAAGCAACAACCACCCAGCCAACCAGCCCAGGCTACCTCTTTCATAACAGCATGGGTTAAGTTTCCAAACCTGAAAGCAACTCCTTGTACATTCAGTAGCCCCTGAGGCAAAGGAATGGCACGCAAGCTTAAGCACAGCATTCACAGTGCCATTCCCTACCTATCAATTAAAATTGTATACCTTAATGCCTTTAGTGTCTTCTTCATCAAACGACCCAATATCAAAAGCATCTGCTGCATTTACTTCTCCCCGTGGAGGAATCAGTGGTGGAGGATACTAGAAATAAGAGCAGCATAAAGACAAATTAATGGACGTTATATAAATCCACTGTGTAGACATATATGGCCTTCTTATTTTTTGCACAGATTACACATGACTGTGCAAATGTATGTCCCTTGAAATTAAGACTTCACTGCAAAGCTGCATTCTGATCCTTCAGTAAATGCTCCTCAAAAAATCTGTGGAAAAACTCCTACAGTTTAGAGACAGCTAAGTAGAAGAAACCACGCAGTCATTTCACCCTGAAAAAGTAGTAATTTGGTACTACCGATAAGGAACACTTGTAGTAATGAATATACAGCAGTTTTCAAAATAATCCTCCACATATTCACGCAAGTGCATACACGTTCTGGGTGTGAAACCCTGAAGTTTTCTGTCCCTTACCTGTTTAGGCTTGTTTTCTTTCACTGATTTACCAAGTAAGCTAAGGTTACTATCTTAATCCTTTACCTTTTGTAAATAGACTTGCTGCCAATCAATGCCTTTGAAGAAAGGATGTTCTTTTACTTCTTGTGCACTGCAAAATAAAATTAACTAAAGTCAATGAAATGAAGGGGCTTCTCACAGGTATTTAAGAAATACAAAGCCTTCAAAGGTCACATTTCTGTCACTTGAAAACATCGGTAAAATGCTCTTTTTTTCAAGGACAAAAAAAAAAAAAAAGTCTTACTAAGCAAACAACAGCAGAGAAGACTTTCATGTGGAAACACTAGAAATAGTGCTGGAGGTCTGGCAAGCACTCTTGTTTTGCTATGGTATTCCATCATTTCAAACAACACTCGCCTGTTGTCAGATCCCATACACTACTTCTAGCTTACTCCACAGCATTTCTTATCACACATATTTTATGACAAAATAAGTAACTACTCTTGATAGGCCCAAGGCTGAAAACCAATCTCAGGTCATTACCATAGAGGGCTCCATGATAAAAAACTCTCTGAATGTCTCACTGGAATTACAGCCAGCCCCACTCTCAGGTGTGACCATCAATTAACACTTATCACACATTGCCAACTGTTCCTCAACAGTTATTTACTCCTGGTCTCACAGGAGGCAGGCACTGGCTTTTGAAATAGGTGGTAACAATTTCAGTTAACAGCTATAAGCAAGGTAAGCTTGGCAGGAGGCAAGTAGTGCCCTTTTCCTTAGGCTTGTGAAATGAAACAGGTATATCTGGAAATAGAAGCAACCCAAAACGAAGCAAGTATTCACAGCTCTCTGTGCTCAGTGGTTTTGGGTTTTTTTGTGTGTAATATGCTCATATCGTTACAGATACAATATAAGCCATAAAATTTTAGCTGTCAGTATGTCTGAGTCAAGTAATACGACTTCATGCCAAAAACAGATCAGGCAAAAACATAAAAAACAACACAGGGATGAGAAGTATGAACACCACCCAATGTAAGCATGACTGCAGAGAACTCGGGGGAAGTCTTTAATGACAGAAATGGTCCAAAAATTTGTCCAAACCAAAGGAAGTTGAAATGTGGTTCCATGCAACAGCACTTTCTAATGTTCTCTTTCCAAAATTAAAATCATCACAACAGGAACCAGATTTTACTTGAAATGAATTCATTCATTTACAGAGAAGTGGAAATTTTTGAAGGCAGCGGTCCAAGCAGAAGACAACACCTACCTTCTCCCTTGGCATCCAAGCCTCTTGCTAACATCTCGCTGCAGGAGCCCTTCCAAAAGGGACTTCAGTTCAGGAGAAAATGAATCTGGTAGCTCCACATTCTATGAAAAAACAAAGTACAAGAAGAGACATTTAATTATAGAAGTAGCGTGATCTGCTTTCCCCACACAGGAGAGTAGCTTTTCTTTGGTAGTGCTTGTAAAGAACCCTTCCATGTGTAAATACAGCTTTCTCACAAAGCAGGCTACATAGTTACAGTTTTTAGAGGAAATGGGAGTTTACTAAACAAGAGGAATGTAACTGCAACTGTCACCAGGATCCTTACCACGGTGAGCGTCATCCGGTCGATCTCATGCTTATCTTTGGTTTTGTGCTGTCTGAAAGGACTGTGACTGTAGAAATAAGAAAATGCACTAATAAATGTAAAGTCATAACACATCAGGTTATTTCAGCTGTGGCAACCCCAGGAAAGAGCGAAGCATCCTTTTAGTCCCATTCTTCCACCTCATCAATCCTGTCCTGCAGAACAATAAAACAAGTGGTAAAACATTTTGCATTTACAATGAAAAATGAGACTTTACACACTAGCATACTGCGGCTGTCGGCTACCTCAAAAATATCAGTGTTTGAACTCTTACAATTTTGGGGGGTTTTCTTACTACAGAGACCTGTAGCACTCTACAAGAAAGTTTATCCTTTCTGTTTTCAGTACAAGTGTACATGGCAGACATCAAATTCAAATTCAAAGAAAAGCAACCATTAGACTTCTTTAAAAACTACACACAGACATCCCTGAGGATTATCAAACTCAGGGCAATCTGATCTGGTTATTCCATATAAAGGCATGCAGATTAGTTTATTCTTAAATGCAGTGATCCATCCTTAAAGAAGGTGTTTCAAACGCCTTACCAATTACATCTGTGTCTCTTAAAAACCAGAACAGTTTCATGTAACAAGAAAATCCTGAACAGTTGTCACACCACAGATATTTAAAAACACTGATCTATGCATGGAAACTGAGTACGACCTACAGAACTTACCACTCATCTGTATGAGAAGAATGAAGCATAGACCTTAAAGTAAGTAGATGAAACAGAAGGTAATCGCAGATACCACAGCATTAGTGACCGGGAAGATATTTGATCATATCTGGTAAATTATCAGCTTTATCCCTTGCCTGCTTTATAATTCTCTTTTGAGTTTGAATTTTTCCTTTTAGCTACAGAAGACCTCAGACTATTACAGACATACCACACAATACTTAAACAACAGCATGAAAGAAAGCAGAAACATTTTAGTATGAGATTTTTAAATTAGATTTAGCATATATTCCCTGCTCCTTAGTTTTCTTCAAAACGTTGAGGGAATTACATTTTTCAAAATTAAAATGTTATTTACTTATCAATACATTAATTAGATATTATAAAGCATTTTGTCTTGCCACATGGCAGTGCGTACTAGCTTCTTTCAACTGGGAATCTGCTACTCAAAAAGTTATTTCCCTTTTATCCTCACAAACGCTCTGATGAATGGATCTGATGGACAGACCGGGACTTCAATTTCTCTGCTTTTAAGCATGACAGGTAAAAGGCAAGAGTAGATGGCGAACACACAGCCTCAGATACTTTGACAATGAGGGTCTGAGTAGATCAGGGAAGCAAATGATTCACTGGGGACTTGTGGGCAGATCTGACGCCAGGCTGAAGTTACTAAACACCAAGCAATGGCACCATGTGCCCAACCCTTGTTTTGGGATGGGAGTTGTTTAATTGGCTTCAGAAGCGATGAGGACGGATGGTTCACCAGGAATAATGCTTTGGCTTCTGGCCACCGGCAGCACCCTGCACATCTCTCTCAGGAAGAATCACAGCCCACAAAGACCGAGATCTCCCCGCCCTGCCGGTCCGAGCTCCCACGGTACATGGGATCTCTCGCCCCTAGTTCTTGCATCACACAACTTCAATCCTGTGAAGAAAGAACCACGCCAGAGTCAGCTGGGCACCTTAATCCTCTGGGCCCAAGTGACTCAAAGGGACAAGGCCTCAGAAGAAAAGACGAGGAGCCCACAGTGGTCCCGTGGGTGAAGGACACTCTCCTCTCTCCTCCCAGCAACCCCAGACTGTCGTGTGTCTTGCTACCTACAGAATTCTTCAATGAGTGACCAGAGAGACAGGGTACTGCTCCCAGCTGCATGATGTTGTTTGTATTCAGAAATACTATTTTTTTTTTTTTAATTTTTGTGCAATTTAAACACCGTTTATTTCTTTATTTGCACATTTACATTTAGCCTATTTTGTGAACAATTAATGTTAAATTGATACAGCTTTATAGTTCAATTCAGAAGTCGGACGCTTACCTTTCTTTGTACAGTGTCTGGGATAGAGGTAAGAGCTTAAAATTAATTATGTGTGAGGACACAGGTGACTAATGATCGATCTTTACAGAGAAGCACACTGAAAAGCTCAAAAGATTTTTTCTGTTTTGGCATTAATACTGAGGATGCTATTTTCAACAAACACTTGACAATCAGTTCTTATTGACTGTTCAGATAAATCCCCCAGTCTTAAAAAATTCTACATAGCCATGTAAGTTTACTGAGAAGGTAATAGTTGACAAAGCTGTAATTATCATATACTCTTGTACACCAGTACGGGAACAGGCCAGACGCAGCAAATGGAAGCATCTGCACATTATAACTCATCCCAGCATTACAGAAGGGAAGACTGAGTATCACGTAAAAAGGGAAGAGTGCAGCAGAGAGTTTCCCTGTAGCAGCAGGTCTTAAGCGTGAAGTGAAGCCCATAAGTTAACAGGGCTGCTAGTGGATTTAGGCAATGAATAACATCGTATCATTTAAAATACTAACAACTGCCAAGAGGTGAGTAAATTGCCTAGCAGGAGAAGTCAAAAACAGCAGAGAGAGAGTCTGAATTCCTCACTGCCCCACACCTGTACCCACTAAAGGAAGCAGGCCTTCTGTTTTGTTTGTTTTGGAAGCAAACAAAGCCTGCTTTGGTCTCATGGGCAGACGTGGTCTAAATCACAGAGATGGCAGTAAGATATCATTTTAGGTAATAAGTAATACGTTACATATTAGTGTTTCAAGGGACAGACAATGATGAGGCCCAGGCTAAAAAAAAAAAAACAAAAAAAAAACCAAAACAAAACAAAAAAAAAAACCACAAAAAAAACAAACCAAACCAAAACAAAACAAAAGCACACAGGACATGAAACTTCACTCACCCTCTTAGGAGTTTGAAAAGCATGCAGCCTAATGAGAACCAGTCCGCACTGCTATCGTATGCTGTTCCCTTCTGGAGCACCTCGGGAGCCATGTACCCATGGGTACCTCTGAGAGGCAAAAGGGACAAAATCTTGATTACAAACAAAACTGTCATTGAAAAAAAAGAAATAATAATTAAAACCCGGTGTTTTCTCAATAAGAGCCTAATTTTAAAATAGTTTATTTTAAACATTATTCTATTTTGCTTTTTCTTTGGCTGTACATACATAGGCATGGGGGTTTTATGTATGTCTACTGAGGAAATACCTTAAACAACAAAAATGATTAGGCAAACCGAAGGAGCCACAGCAAGATCTAGCAGACTCGGTACAGGGGTCAGCAAGAAGCCTTCTGTCTCAGAGTGGAACGCAAAAGAGCGGTGAAGAAGGTGCGTGTTCTGTCCACGTGGTTTACAGGCAGGACAGACACCAGGACACGGTCAGGGCTCCTGATATTTCAGGGCAGATGGCTCCAGCCCTGGGCGTTGCAAGACCGAGAGCTGCTCTCGCCCCTGCGCCAGCTTTCACAACAGGACACCTCCTCCAGAACTCACCACGTTCTGCTTCTACCCTTGACGTAACTGGAATGTATGAACTTTTTCAAGAAGCTACTCGATTGCAAATCTTTTAAGATACGACAGGATGAAGCTTTCCTCTTTGCATAAATTCTGAGACTAAATCAGGGCAAATGAGGACCTAAGAATAAAATGTGCCAGATCAGATGTGAAATCCACACACAACCTAAGAAAATCAGGTCCCAGTTATGACCTGATGTCAAGAGGCAGAAAGGAATACAATCTGCCTCCAGTTCTACAAAGATCCAAAAAGAGAAAGACACAATAAATCCTGTTTTTCAGTCAGATTGGAATATTTAATTATCTATATAGGACAATTAAAACAATCTGGTACTTTAACTCAGTCAGGTTCTTATCTTCTCTGAACAGTGAATCATCTCGAAATAATGTGTCATCTTCCAGCCATGCCTACACATCAGCTGCTACAACTGTGCAGGAAAACAGAAAGAGGAGACTGAAGAACCTTATTAGAGTATCCAGTTCAGCTGTGTTATAAAGCAAGCCTGTGCCACACAAGTGTGGTTTTTTTCTTTAGGCAAAGTTAAATTATAATGACACATGAAGGACTTATTTAGCAATAACTGTGTGTGCAGCAAAGCTCCCATGCATAATACTTACACACTAGCATGTGGCTTCTTTTTGGAAAAATCACAAGCCAGCCCAAGGTCTGATATCCTCACGTGCCCATGTTCATCCAACAAGATATTTGCAGGCTAGAGATCCACAGACACAGGAAGGTCACTGCTTGGTATTTTTCAGTGGACAGAACTACAGATTCTCACAACACAGTAACTTATTCTCAAACATCAATACTTTCCGGTAATTGATAATTGCCTTTTTTTTTTTTTTTTATCACATCAATTTAATGGACACTTATAAATCTGTTTTGGCCTCAAGTCCACATTGCTTTTGGTTCTTTCAGAGAAGGGTCTGTGTGTGGCTCCTGCATCCTTTATTTGCCGTTGAAACACTGTGCTCTCTGTGCAGACTTTTTTCCCATTTTCGTTGTCACTTGGCTCATGGACACCTATCTCGGAGCAGTCTTCTACTTCCCAATTGTCAGTGAAACACCCCTGAGCAACTGCCTTCCTATTAGTCTCCCACCACACTCACTCCTCTTTCAGGGCTCTCAGAAATGCAGTATACTCTAAATTAACAGCATCATTAGGATGGTGAGATGAGTAACACTGCACAGGATTTATTCTGATCCCAAGGAAGTATCTCCCAGGCTGGTTAAACTGCACAGATTAGGACTATTTCAAAGAATTATTAGAAAAATCAGCCAAAGATAAACAAATAATCTGTATTCTTCCCAATAAAAGGTTTCAGGTAAATATTTCCTTCAATTTATCAGCATGTCTGGATTATTTGCTGCTGTCTAACAACCACCTGTGTGAATGCAGTCACTATGTTAACAGTTACCTTTAGGTCTCTGTATACAACAAAGCGATTGTGCATGTGCTCTAAACCCAGGATGATTTCAGTAGCATAAAACCTCATTTCTTTTTCAGAAAACACTCCGTGCTGGGAGAGGTGGTAGTGCAAATCTCCTCCTAAAATTAGAAGAATTGAGATGCAATTAAAAGAACAGTAAAATCTTGCCTCAAAGGCAGACTGCATGACATTGGGAGGGAACAGCATAGCATCTGTAGGTTCTTACAACCTGTGGAGCACTCAGAGACCCAGACCTACACTCTACAAATAATATGGCAACTAAATACCCGAGAAAGTTAATAAAAAAAAGACCAATCTGAAACTCCATTTAAAAAATACACGTACTTCATGTACATTTGCATTCAGTGACTAATCCAACAACTGAGTTTTAATGCAAGGGATTTCCACAGCAAGTAAAATGCAGTCACATACACAGTTTCTGGATAAATTAGCGTATAGAACAGTCCAGGTTGGGAGGGACCTTGAAAGGTCATCTGGGCCAAAATATTCAAATATTCACGCTGGGGATGTTTTCACACTTTCCTAATCAAAGAACTGACACAATACAATGTCACTCTGTGAGTTAATCCATACCATTAACAGATCAAATTGTGAATATGTCTAGAAAACTGTTTCTGATCAAGCTACAGATTTAAATAATCAACCAATTACTTGAATTTGACCTACAGCTTAGATTTTTAACGAGAATCTTCACTTGCAAAACACCAAAGCCAGTCTCTATTACTTACAGGATATGAGCTCCGTTTCTCAATTAAATTTCCAGCTTTGCAACCCGGTACGCGCACATGTGTCCGACATCTTTAGGTGATTATGGTAGGACCACAGTCAGAGCTGGAGTCTAAATCCCACAAGTGCTGAGCATCCTCAGCAAATAAGGGCACTGCAGTATCTTCTCTCTCTTTACCAATTTATCTCCCTGTGTGTTCTTACAGAGTTATGCTAAAGCTTCTAGGTGTAATTTCTTTCCTTTGTGGAATGCTTCCCCCATCAATTTTCTTTGCAGAGCTCTTTATAGCAGCCCTTTTATTTTTACTCTGAAAACTGTGTCTCTGATCTCCTCATACATTTTTCCACATGGCCACCATTTCCTTAAGCTTCCAGCCTAATAGGCCCTTTGATATCTTTATTTAAATACGTAGATGTTGTAAGGTAGCAGAGATTTTCCAGTCTGTTCTATACATTCCCTGGTTTAGGTCTATTTACCCCTCCTGCTCACAGGTCGATGCTTCACATCTCAGATTATTTTTCCCTCATTCTCTTTAGACCTCAGCAAGCCCTCTTGCCAATATTTCTGTAATATTATCATCATCTGCATGAGTCTCGCTTACCATTCATCAGGTCCAGAATGAAACAGAGTTTGTCAGGGGTGTGGAAGGCATAGGTCATACACACTATAAAAGGACAGTCCTAGAAGGGAAGGCGTAAAGAGTTCATCTCAGGCAGGAAGCAAAGTATTACTTAGAGAAGCTAAAAATACAAGTGATATTTTCCCTATGATATTGGCCAATATCCATAACAATTTTCTAAAGCAATTTGTGTATTAATCTACATGTTCTGATGTTTCACTTACAGTTTAGAAATCTTAGATTTTGCTCTCTCATTTCAAAACAGAAATTTAAAAAAGCTATGAGGAGCCAAAGGCTTAAAAAAAAGCAAGTAGCATCACTATCTTCTGCAGGCTTGCAACTACAGCAGCTAGAAACATTCTAAAAATATTTACCTGAGTTTGCAGTAGACTTACGTGAAAGATACATTAAAGCTAACAAGCTTTAGGCCAGCTCAGAAAAAAATAAAGCTCTTCCCACGAAGCGTAAAGGATACGCACTATTTCTCACGATTGCATGGCAAATGTTCAGCTGCTGGCACACTGACCGAGAAGCTGAGTCACATCACGTACAAAATCCCCAAGGAGAGAAAGTTTTATCCTCACCTATACATTAAATGCAGCTACATGGGTAAGAGCCTGCCCACGCGCCCAGAGTCCCCCTGCGGAGCTGCACAGAGGTGACAGCGGGGTGACCTGCCTCCCGCTGCCGCCCTTCAGCTCTCCGGCAGCGTTTGCTACAGATGCTTAAAAGGAAGATAAATACACCAGGAAGGAAGTCACAACTCTGGTGCGCGTGCAACGCACGGGAAGCAAGAACAGCAAGGTCCAGATTACGCAAAACCCAGTAAAACAAGTAGGGTGGGCGTAGATTGAAGAAGGTCACTGCAGAGCGGCCACGCGCAGGGCTGGATCGCATGGAGTACGCTCCCACCTCTTGATGCACTCGAACCTTAATTCCCACAGCTGTTTAAGAAAAGCAATCGTAAAAAAATTACAGCTGGAGAAACACCTCTTTACTGCCAATGATCCTTGCAGCGTGCATGCTGGTTCCTCTGCAACGCACCCGCACTGAAAGGCGCCGTGGCGGGAAGTTGGCAGGCCCTCCTCTCTTCACTAGCCTGACATAGGATGCTAGTGGCCAGTTAACGGGGGGGGCTATTACCTCACAGACCCCTTCTCCAAAGCTGTATGAACCCAGGACTGCTCGGCTGGTCTACAACGAAAGCCGAAGGAGCGGCTGCGCCGCCGGAACGCGCTGGCCTGAGCCGTGACACAGACGGACGGCGGCCCGGCCCCAGCGCGCAAAGCCCGGCAGGAAGACGAGCTAAGACGAGCTTAAGTGCTGACGAGCCAGGACACCACGCAGGAAGCACGACCGCGACCTAACGTGACTTAAACAATGTGTTAATTATTGCAGCACTGATAGTGAAAGCTCTGGGAACCTCTCACAGGAACCGGTTTCCTTCCCAATTTAGAAGCGGCAAAACACGGTGGCCTTGGGCAGAGCGGGGCCGCGGGACCCGGGTCGGGGTGCCGCCTCGCAGGAAAGGGAGGGGACGGCGACACCGGCCAGCCAGCACACTCCAAATCAGCTCATCCTTCCACAAAACCACATCAGGCTGAAATATAAAGCTTTATACACTCAACTGTAATCCCCAGTGACTCCTCTCGGACCGATCCTGCAGTAACGTCCAAGCCTAACTGTGTTTTATTGTTTACTGTGCAAATATTAATTCCAAACACAGGTCAGCAGGACGCAGGCACGCACCCAAAACACCCTGCAGAAACATGAAAAATGCCTAACTGCTAAATGTTCCTAGAAATAAGGAGACTATAGGCAAGGCAACATGGCATCTAACAGAAGGCATTATCTCTCATTATAAACTTCAAACGTCTCCTAACTGCAGACTATTGTAGTTAACCTCCTGACTTCAGAACAAAAGCTTCAGTAGCATTATTAATTTTCTGAATCAAATGGATAATTCAGAAGTGTCCCCAAGCAGGCTTCCTAAAACCTTAGAGCAATCTAATTACTTAGAAGGATTTAGTCTTAGAATTTAAACACCATATACAGAAAAATAAAAGGGTGTTTCTATACCAGAACATAGCATGCCTGTATTTTTACAGATCTCATTTTTAAAAGAAATCTGCAAGTGTAAATGTGATGCATAACTCATGTTTGTGTAAGCCTTCCTAATTTAATCACTACCCTCTCACTGCTTAACTGAGAGAAGAAATTGTAGTATTGCGATATTTTTCTGACACAAAAACCTCTGCAAAAGAGTATTTTCCAGCATAAAAATAAAAAATACCCTATAGGTATTTTTTTTTAAATGAAACATAAAGCAATAAAGCAACTGTTGCAAGAGAATAATACTTTGTTGCAGTCAAGCTTCTGCTCTGAAAAAAATAAGCAACAGTATGACAATAATGTGGGAATTAAGAATAGTTTCGAAACAGTTCCTTACATCCAAACAATCCTGGATTAAGTCCAAGAAACTGTTGAAGACAAGTATCTGGTAATAAATCATGTGGAAGCAAAAAAACAAAACAAAACAAAAAACACACCAAAACAAAACCCAACAAAACTATAAAAAACTTGTAGGAATGCAATATTTTAAAGACATAAAGACATCAGCACACTAACAATGACTTTAGAAGGAAACCTTTGATTCTGACTCTTCCCATAACCTAAGTACCTGGCTTTTGAGCACCATCACAGAAATGACAGCAAATAGGTAAAACACCGTGTTCCTAGTGTAGAGCAGCTGTGCAGTGTCCTTAACTAAAGAGCAGCTCTGTCCTGAGAGGTCTCGCTCAGAAAGGTGTGCAAGTCAACGCCTGGAACACTGAGCTATTGTCTGCCATTCCCACAGATGTTCCTCCAAGTGACAACCAAGATTCGGGAATAGATTCCATTTTTTGAGCAAAATTGAGACTCCTGCAAATCTCAGTACACGTGAAAACAAAGTAACTGTTCTTCTCTAGAAAAATTATTTTATTATTGATCCCAGATGTTTTATCGTTCAGCCTGTCCAGTTCTGCTGTACCTTATTCTTACCATCCTTTGAGGGAATCTCGAGACCAGTATTTAGTCAAACTATCTCAAAAAGATCTGAGTAAAACAGCTTAGCTGCCTGATTTTTTCAGAACAAGAGAACTAGCAGACCCAACAAGAGTGGAGCTACAGCCCTGTCTCGCAACAAACTGCTGGAATGACCACCTCCTACCTGCCAGGAAAAGATTTATTGAATAACCACCTCCTTCCACGAACAGCACCTTTTGGCAGATTGTTTTTATACAGTCCACCAGCAGCGATGGTCTCAGAGATTTCAACGTTCCAGTTTTTGAACATTAGGCAAATATGGCTATTACAGAAAACAAGTATTTTTTTCTTTTAACAGAAAGTAAAATAGTTCCCCTACTATTCTATCTTCTAAGAATTTCATAACGCATTTCCAGCCTCCAGACTGAACACCTCTATGGGAGAGGAAGGCAGAGCCTGTGTCTTGTGGAAGAGAAAACACAAACCTCAGCAACAGTTTGTCCATGTTACCCCAACAGTCAGTGAGAAAGCGAACAAACCCACGGGGAATCCCAGCAACCCGGAGCCCACGTTTTGTATTAAGAGGCCAATCCAAGCAGTTCCCGTGCTCAGCAGAGATGCCTGTTGTACTTCTGAGCTGGGCTGACTCGAAACATTACCATGAAAAACTTCACACAACGTGGCCGCAATGTACTCAAATTTGGGAGCTCCCTAACCAAGGAGTGGTTGTGAATGCCAACATTTTAGGTGGATTAACAAAAATGATTACACAAACGTATGTGTAATCTGCACAGCTGTTATTATGTATTTTGCAGAGACATCTGGATTCCCAGTTAAATGACTAATTGTACTATGATGAACTTCCCAGTTCCACTTTGTTCTGGGCAGCACATAGATCTTGTCACTGGGGAAGGCACGTGCCATTCGAACCTAACAGCTTATATTCCGGAATTAAATTAATTATCTGATTCTGCCACTTTCAAATCTATTTAATTCTGCATATTCAAAATGCTCCAGCATCTCTTACAGCGCAGGTGTACCTAACCTGAATGGATAGCATTTTGTACAAAATCTCTCTTTTCAAACTCCCTTTCAAATTTGAGAATCTAAAGAAGTTACACTCTAATGAGCTGATAATCCTTAACAAAAAACCCCAAATGGTTTGCCTTGCTTTTCTGCTAAATGACAAGCTATGCACTGTCATATAAGAAAACCAGCTCCACCATTAGCAGCCTTGTGAACAATTTTCTTTTGAATCACTAGACATGAAAATTCACATTCAGTACTGGCGCAACAAAATCACAAGTTAAAGTTAATACGACAATTATTACTAATTTGCCTAGATTTCTTGTCTAGTCTCTGATACAGAACTTCACTCCACTGGCTCTCAAGACTCCTGATACTTTCAGACAAGCCACAACTTATCTTTGGTGAAAACAGCTAACCTGATTAAAGAGTCTAACTGATAAAACCCGATTGTAATTTCACAGATAAAAGAACAGAGAAATACTTTCCAGTCCTCTATCTATCTTTATGCTCAAGCCAAATACGAATGCAATTCTGTGTTAAAGGAGATTCCCTGACCTTTATTTTCAGTGCATGCCTGCCCTTCTCCAGAGAAAGGCCGAGGCAGGGGAGGAGTTTCTGATGAAAGGCACAAGAAGAAATACCTCATCCTTCCTTCGGACCTTTGCAATGAGGACAAAGTTCAACCTCATGATGACAACTTGACGCGTAGCTTCCCTAGTTTCTAGTTTAGGATTTGCCTTACCAGGATATTTCTAGCAGCAGAGGGAAATGATCTGATGGGTAGCAAGGAAAGTTCAAAAGCTAATCTTCTAGGGACAAAACTGCAATCCGCTTTTCTGTCAGTCTGCACAACAGAGCACCTCGCATGCCTACCGCGAGGCTGAGAAGTACCAAGTGTTGTCCGATTCACAACGTTTTCACTTGGCAAGAAAAGGGCACTGTTTAGCAATTACAATTCTGTAATTATAGGTAAGCCTCCCTTTTTAAAGCCAAGTTTGCAGAAGCCAAGGCCCGCCGGGGCACGGGCAGGTCCCCTGCGGCTGCGCCTACCAGCGACACAGCACAAAGTCCCCGGGTTCCCGCGGGCGATGACCCCCACCCTCGGCCCCCTCGGCCCGAGGGGTTCCCCGGGCAGAGCACAGCAGGGATGCTGCGCCTGCACCCGAAGGACACAGCGACACTAAATGCATCACAAGCGGGATTTTTTAAAGAAAATCACCTGGGTAATGCAGAACCCAAACCAGGATTTACCTAATCTCTGCGAGATACAGGCCTTGCTCTGAGCATAAAGCACGATATTTGCTCCCTGCCTTTTTGTGAGCCAAAGCAGTAATCCTCCTGCTCTGCAGATCTTGTGCTATTTGCACTCCCCTGTGCAAGCCTAGAACAAAACCACACGCAGTTCCTTCTCATGCTTTAGCTGTGCTGGGAAAAGGGGACGCGTTTACACCGAGCTGCAAACCAAATGTTTAATTCGTACACCACCGTAGTCATGAGGAAAATTAACCTTTTTACCAGCATCACACGTCACCATGGTGATACGAGCTGATTTCAAGTTTTGTTTAATGAGGCCAGTGTACTCAGAAGGCTCTGGCACTTCAAAGCCTGACTGAAGCTGTCTGAGCACAACATGCTGCTGCCAAACTTCTCTTCTGCAGGTAACAAGACACCGTCTGGTGAAACCAGCGCCAGTTGGGTTGCTTTTTACACACGTCAGTGATACTTCTAATTTTAAATATGCTAGATGAGCAGACTTACTTGGTACACCTTGACAGGTACTCAGCTGAAGTACGTAAAAAGTACAATGGAAAATTTGGATAAGCAGAGTCAGAGTCACAGATCAGAGTCACAGGAAAAGGAGAACCAAAAGGTAACTGAAGTTTTTCTCTGAAATGGCACCTTATATTTTATTAAAGTACTAAGTAACTATAGCAGAAAAGAACATTCTTTTACAAGACAGAATAATGTTTTGGGAAAGTTCAAATATAATACTTGAAAAAAGGAGTATTTTAAAAATCAGAAGGGGTGGGGAGAGAATGAATTACCTAAGAAATAGGGAACCCCCTCAAGCCTCTTTAGCCAAGATGCTCATTTCTGTAAGCACCCAAACTGAAAAGCAAGCTTGCTTTTCCATCTTATTTCTGGCACATTTCTAGAATCAGGGGAAAGGTTCCGGGGAGGGGGGGGGGGGGGGGGGGCATTAATTTTTGCACATCACACAACTGAATTGATGGAATATGTATATGTAAACCAGCTTTTATATGATATGCAATAAAAATAAAAGAATAACAAATCAATGATACTTACTCCTGTACTGACAAGAGACAGCATAATTCTTTCATTTAAGGCTAATGTTTCTCCTTGCTTCATCTTGATTCTCTTCTTATCTAAACATTTCATTGCATACCTGAAAATATTAACCGTTCAGAAAAGCACCAGAAAAATTTCCTCCTATACTCAGTATTATTCAGTAGCAGTTATGCCACACATTTTACATATCCTGTAAGCAAGCTCTTTAAAGACTTAAACCCAGTACTAAAAACATCATTACACAACTAAACAAGAAAACCTCCAAAATCTCACAGAATTAAAACATTTTCAACAGAAACCTCCTAACAGAGAAATGTGTTTTAACAAACAATTCTATGTCCAAACAACCACAGTGATATAGGAATTACATGTAATACATTATTTTTTTAATACATACAAGCAAGGATTTGCAGTATGAATTAAATAACAGAGACTCTATTACAGTTCCATTTAATTCGAACAGTTTCAACTCTACCAGGAAAGTGGTATCTTGAACACACTGAGGTTTTTTTATACATATATATATGTATTTATATATATATATTTTTAAAGTTTTATTTCTACTCAAAAAGGTCAGATATACACACGAAAGGTTTCTAAACCTTCTACCATCTGTATTAGTGAAATTAATAAAATTTTGATCAAAAAAGAATGTTACCCTAACAACCTTCAAACAAGAGTAGGATATAATGTCTTCTGGATCTTTTTTTCAAGACGTTAGGTGAGCCTACTGTTAGACAACAGCTGAGAAGGACACGCGTGTTCCTCCACAGGAGATTTCTAGACAGTGGGCCAGTGGTTTTAAAACAGGTTGAGGAAAGCACCTCGTTAGAGCACTGCGTCGATGCTCAACAGCTGCCTACGCTGTGACAGCTCCGTACGCACACGGGGCCTCGTGTCACCTTGGTGCTGCACTCCCTAAAAAAGCCACGTCGATCCTTGCCATGCACGGGCCGTGAGCTGGGGGGGGTGGTGGTGGGGTGAGCGTGAACATATTGGAATTTTAAGTTTCCAAAACAAGGAATATATTCACAGCACGTGCTTTCGCTGAGGAGTCTGTAAAGGGTGACTATAAATAACATTTCACACGCTACCCTTTATTTATGCTTTGACGTCACTGATCAGAGCTAATGACTGAGGCCATTTAAGGCTGATCGAAATCAAGTATCTCGTTCTGCTCTGGAGCTGCACAAAGCACTGCTACCCTCCCCCTTCGGACTGCTTCCTGCATTGCACTTCTGGCCCCTATTTAGATGTCCTCGCGGGAGGTGATGTGAAAGAAGCCTCAGGTGTATCTTTGTGGGTTAGTGAAACACCACTGGCATTTACCTTAGAGGGTGGCTTCCCAAGCTCCTTGCAGGCAGTAAGTGCAGCAGAGGCAGCCATCTAGAGTGGACGGGATCTGGATTAGGGATGGGTAAACAGGTTTGGATTAAGAAAGAACTAAACCAAACCTCTACCCAGCAACTGAACCTAATCTAATGTTTTCCTTCAATTTTGAAAAAGGTTGGGTTTCCCACATTTCACTTCTCTTTATTTATATCTGATAAAAACTGTCCTTTGCTTCACTTGCTAGTCCCAAGGTTTATTCACCTCCTGCCAGAGCAAACTTCAGGTGTGAAAACGACTGGGAATCTGAGAACTACCTCGTCAGGGTGGACACCTGCTTAGCAGGGCTCAAGCTAAATAAAATGTTTATTTTTGTGCATGGACAAGTTAACAAATTGTACATGGACAAAAAAGTACCAAAGCAAGAATAAAAATGGTATTGTTAGTAATAGTATTAATATAAATACTTGAAGTCACTGCAAAAATACTAAGCGTGATAGCAACATTAAGGTGTCTTCCACTTGTTAATAGCTCAGAAGTTTATTATTATCAAGGATGCCAAGCACACAGAATTGCCAGTGAAGCCAGCTGTACCTGCAGACTTGGCACTTCAAACATGCCATGCTTACTTAGAAGAGAAACGTTTAAGGATGGTCCCTGGACTAAAACTGTTAGAAGAAAAGCAAGACGAAAGGGGCAGGGTGGGCTGTAAATAAATAAATAAATAGATAAATATTAAGAACAATTTGTTAAATCAATGCCCAGATGTTCAAAACAGAACATAATGGGACAATTATGCCTAGAAATTGAAATCTGATGATCAGAAGCGTGTGAATGGTAAGACTAGAAAAAGAAAAAAAAAAAAAAAAAAAAAAACCAAAACAAACCAACCAAACAAAAAAAACCCCACATGGGCTTGATCTTGGAGTTCCCACCGAGAGCTCTGTTAAACAGAAGTTCAACACTGGAACTCTATCCTTCCAAATGTAAGCAAGGAGCACTGCTCTCGCCAGGGCAGAAACGTATGCAGTTACACAAATCCAGAGTCCCGCACTCAAAACCTGCCCAGGCACGACTCTGCAGATGGAAGAGCACTGAGGTCACGTTCCTACACCATCCTCCGGCCCTACGTCAGCGAGGCGATGCGCTTTGCGGAGAGAAGAGCGACCTTGAGAGGACCAGAGGCAACGACACCTCACACGATCACCACGATGTTCCACAAGAACATCGCTCCACACTGTCAGGCTCTGATCCAGGAAGTCATTAAAGCGCATACTTAATTTTAAACTCCTGTGCAGTTTCCATTAATTTTGACAAGACCATTTAAATGAAGGATGTGCTTAAGAGCTCTGCTAGACTGAAGCCCCACTGCATGGCACACAACAGGATCAAATATCGAAATAAGCTTAAAGATGATCCAGAAATCAGAACCCCTGGAGAGAAAATTTAATTAAGAACTATACACTAATGTGACGCTGCTTTCCAGTGATTTTGTAAGAAATGACTGGAAGGATTTCCTCACTAGTTCAGAGTTTACAATTACCTCTAAATTCAAGTGTGTATATACTCACATTTTTCCAGTGTCTGCTTTTCTGCAACCATACACTTCACCAAATCCCCCTCTTCCTATTATTCTGTGTACACTAAAATCATTCATGGTCAGCTGGAAATGCAAAAAACAAAACAAAACCAGACTTCGTTTTTCAGCATTAAAAAACTTACTGTAAAAACATCTAAGTCATCTATTAGCGTGTTAAGATACTTAATTATTGCAATTCATATAGCATTTACTGTTTTGGAAAAAGGAGCCTCTTACTGTTTATATTTCAATGTACTTGCAAGCACTACAGTCTGAAGTACAGGCAAGACGGATGAGACTGCTGCTGCCAAAGGCTGACAGTCTCATTCGTAATGCAGGCTGCGGAGGGAAGGGCTGTGGCAGAGCCGTGCAGCGGGACAGAAGCAGAGCCCGGGGTAAGGGGCGCTGGGGACAGCGGCAGAACTGCAGCGGCAGAAAGGGGACAGACGGTGTCTGGGGCTGTCAGAGCAGCAATTCTGGCAGTTCAGCTTCTTCCAGCTACTATAAAAATCAAAAAGCTCGAGAGAGGCAGTAGGGACGTCCAGAAAGGAATCGTTAGGACTGCACGTCTAAGAACAGAAGAGCAGATCAGTAACATTCCCCGTCCTCTTTCATAAGGCCCTTTCAGTACTCAAAACTGAACATTCTCTTTCCTGTACCAGCCTTTGACAAGACAAATATGCTTGTAAGTACTTACATGAATATTTAGTTCTACGTTTTTCCATTGACAAAATCTAGTAAACTTGTCACTGTAGAAAAAAAAGTTTAGAAGTTGTCTGAGACTACTGTGTAAAATATCACAGAAAATGTCAAGACACTGATGTTTAAAATAAAGTTTGCACTAGGGCGTGTCGTGGTATTTAGTAGATGATAACCTTCCTTTCAAGCAGTCGGAATCTTACTCCAACCAAGAAAAACAATTACTAGGCAGTGCACCCTTAATATTTTACATCCTTGTCAGAGAAAGTTATCTGATAACTTCACTTCTGTCATTTTAAGTATGTCCTCGTGCCCCTCTTTCAGACAGTTTTTAATTTTTAAAAACAACTAAGTTTGGAACTAACAAACATTTAAGTTACATAAAGATAATTCTAAGAAAACAGAAGCAGCTCCATTTACGTTAATGAACCTCTACATACTTCAAGGAACATTCTAAACTCATTTTATCTTAAAATAGGAAAAACATCAATAATACCAACAAGCTGTTGCCAAAAACAGTTTCTCATTTCTACATAAATAATTAAGTATTTATTTTCAGAGTCAGAAATGATAGTTCTGTGGAGGCATTTTTACAACTATTTCAGTTTGACTGCAGAACACCACCCATACCATTTCACACCGCCTACCTGGCTGCCGTTGGATCAGAGCCGCGCGTTACAGCCCCTGCACGCACGAGCAGCTCCACTGAGGTTAAGAGGGCTGCTCACCTGAACTAGCTCTGCACCTTTTCTAGACCTTTTCTGCTTAACTGCAAGGCATCCAGACACAAACCAGAACGACCGGGTCTTTCAGTCACACCCAAGAGATGGTTACTCATGAGAACATCCCACCAGTACGTAGTTCTGCGTTTTTAAACCTTTAAGCTCAAACCGCAATCTATTACTACTGCTACACAGAGCAACAGTAAAATCCATCAGCTTTACAGTTTTTCCACTCGTACATCCTGACATTAGTCAAGATATACAACAAAGCTAGTCATTTGCAGAAGCTTGCTGACAATACACTATTATTTAAATGAAGTTTACTAAACATTTTTAGCCTTATTTTACAGCAATACTGAAGGGACTCGGGTTCCTGCTACATTAACTACAAAGTTCAGAGAACACGTGAAGTTCATACCTTTCCATAAATTTCTGAAATATTTTTCCTCGGAGACTATCACAAATTTCTTCTATATATGGCTAAAAAGAGTTAAGAAACACGGTTAGTATTTAAGCATAAAATAAACTGATTATGCAATACTACCCATTATATATAACTCACATTGACTCTATATAACTACAGCATTTACTCTTTTCCTCGGAGAAGGCTCGACGAAGCATTTAAGCTTCATTTAGCTTTGGAATCTGAGCAGGTGCCCTGGAGTCAAACATAAAATATTTTCATGAGCTAGAAAACCTTAAATGTTCCCCTGGAGGGGCAGTATGAAATCTGTGTGCAGCACCTGCCTATGGACAACAGGTTTGGCAAAACGACCTCAGTACAGTTCTTTTATCAAATATATTTAAATATAATACATGGTCACTCCTGTGGAGTCTCTACTTCCCAGAGCTGCTGCCACATTCCGTCTTTTTGGTGCTTCTCTCCTTTCTGTCCTTACTAAGAAACCAGCACCTTCAACTCACAAGTGACTTTATTTCTAGGGAAATACTTTCTCTCGTTGTGCGATGGCACACAGCGATCACACACTCCGACCCAATTAGCGGCGAGATGTAACTCAAGCAATGTAGTTACCAATTTGTCAGTTCACCTAATTGCAACGTTAAAAACAGGTCACTGAGCAGTAAGAAAAATTAAGCAGAAGCAATCTCCACATTTTTGCAATATATAAAAATATGTAAAATTTACATCGAAGAAATTTAAGCTAATAAAGACTCCTATGATTGATGAGGTTCATAAGTGCAAAACCACAACCACACTGCTTTAATGCACCTAGCTATAGAAGTTAACATACATATGCATTTCTTGGTTTGTATCCACGTATATTAGAGATGTAACAATACAAGAAATATTTCACTTCTCATTTCTTTATTTTCTAAAGTAAATAGCAACACAAAAGATATATGTAATTTCACAAATGAGCCAGGATAACGTTTATTTTTATATTCAAATGGAGGATATGCAAATCCCATACTTTCTTTTTACAATTCAGAATTTTAGAAAGTTTTTAAAAAAAAAGCACAATTTTAATAGTGCAGAAACTCCTGTTTGGATTGCATTCTGTCTTGTGGAGAGACAGAAAAACATGTGAGATGGTACAAACGCTTCATTCCACACCATCATCAACTAGGAACTCGTATACCTTAAAATTAAAGAAAAATGAAAAATGTTTTGAGATTTCACATTTCTGAAGCATTAAGGCAATTTCTCCACAATGCAGTTTGGTTTATCCTGACAGGATGTGTATCTTCTTGATGTAAAGTGATTTACTTTAAATCATTTAATGACTTAGAATTACATAAATCTAAAAACTATTCTGTTCACATACCAAGGTACAGTTTGCTTTCATAAATGTGCTTAAAAATATTCCAGATAAGAATAGTAATTTGTAATTTTTATTTGACTTAGGAAAGCATTCTGATATCACTATTACAGCGAAGAGTACGTACCAGTACCATTTATTCTGTCTCCTAAAATAGTATGTACAAAGTCACTTACTGTCAAATAAGTGAAGAAAACTTGAACATTCAGACTGTCTTAACCTCACCTGAAAAAGGCTGGCTGGCACTTGTTTCTTGGCTAAATGTGTTTGTACATGATCTACAGCTTGTTTTGAGAAAGGCTTTTGAAAAAGAAAAAGAAAGATTTCAAACAGTTGGAAATGTAAGAAGTTTCATTTAAGGTCTACAGCACTGTTGTTCTTTTAACCATATGAAAAATACACATACCTCAGAATGAATGCAATATAGCTTCCCCAAAGTGTATTACTGTGAAACATGCAGAATGACGCAGTAAAAAAACCAATTATGCTAAAGCAGGAAGGCAGGAGAGGGGAAGGTGAGGAGGAGGAGGAAGGTGAAGATAAAAGGGCTAGATGATGCTCCTTTAACAAATTCATGAAAAATCCCACGTACAGGGACAGCTCCAGAGACAGAAGTAGACATGGACTTTTTACCACTACAGAGCCAGTAACGCATGCTTAACAAAAAAAACTGCTTAAACCCTTCACCCAAAGAACCATACCACGAGGGTAAAACACACTGCAAATTCTTCTTTAGTAAGAAGAGCAAATGAAACTGTTGAATACAGATCACTGGGCCAAAACTCCAGCTGGAGGAAACGTGTGTTTTCACTGACTTTAACAAAGCTGCATCTGCCACAGTGCGGCCCCACACCTTTAACTTACCATACTGCAGCTAAAAGTGAATTGTCTCCAGTATGGTATGAAAGACCACTTTATGACCAAGCAAATAATTTTAAAAATCCTTGTGTGATCAGTTTTGGACAAAATCTCAAACTTTACTCTGAGCTTTCAGAGATACCAAAGTTCATCACCCAAACTGTCCCGCAGAACCCCCGGCAGCTCATGTGTCTCTGAGTTTTTGGGGGCAGGGTTGTTGCTGGGTTGGAGGGGGCTGGTTAGCTCATGTGTATGTGTGCACATATATATGCACACAAACTACACTCACCGTTATTCTAAAATAGAGATTTAAAGAAATATAGAACAGATAAACCTCCAAGTATTTCCTTTGTGTACCACCACATTTAATAACAACTGGCACACAGCACCAATCGTTACATCTCATTACTAAAAAAAACCCCACAGACACATGCTGAATTCAGCCCAGCCCAGTCCCGCGGACTTCAAATGGAAATCCACAGCACTGCCAAGTATTTGTAGTAACAACTCCTTCAGCGACAGTCTTAATTGTTCTCTGGATGAAACTGCAGTTACTCTGAATTATCACTGCCATCAAGCTACTCTAGTAAGGCAAAGAGCAGTGTGAGATTTGGATGATACACACGTGTGAACAGGACAGCAGCTCCTTCATTATGTACGTGTCATAAATCTGCCGACTTCGGGTCAGACGCTCATCCTCAGAATCCAGTTTCTCGTATTCTTTTATCTGCAATACAAGTGAGAGGGACCCATTAGACGAGCACATTTCTAATGATCTTTCACTCATTTGGTGAAAACAAGACTTTGGCCGAAGTTTTATTTTACCTTATTTTCTTAAGAAAGACTTGAAGAAAAAACACTTGCAATACCATAATTACAGCTGACGTTAGATTTCCTTCCTCTCTTTGAATTTTTATGCGAGGAAAGTGATTTGCTTTAAAATTGCTACAAAGCTTTGTTTTCTAAAATTTGGACAGAGCTGAAGCAGCACGTTTTCCATCTACTGTTTGCCAGAGCACAAATGTGTGCAAGGGAAGTCAGAATCTAGCTGTGTGAGAGGACTGGACCGTGCAAGGGGAGCGAGATGAGCAAACGTGCGCAGCAGCACTTCTGAAGGTTTCCTTCCCAGATGGAGAGCGCTGACCTCGCTCCTCTAACGCTCAAGACCGTTGACCTCGTCTCAGATTATTTCCCTCGATGCTCTGGACTACCTGCAGCACAGCAACACGTGCCCTTTTCCAAGCTCCCAGCAGAAGGGTTGTGCTATTATTAAACAGGCAGCACGAGCCTCGCCTGGTGCCAGCCCCCGGCTGCCAGCGCAGCGCCCGAGCGTCCCGCACGTCGAGTACAGATGTCGAAAGAAGAATGTCGAGCACATTTCAAAACGTTCACGCAGTTCAGCAACGTGTTGAATTTAAATCCTACAGGTAGCTAGAAAGACGGTTTCACAAAATATATCAAGTTTTTTTCCAGGTGTGATACAGGAGGTCTGTGTGTTCCTGGTGAAGCAAGAGCAATCCCATATGGTTAATTTTACAGGACAAAAGCAGAAAATTGGTTCCGGAAAAAACACCTCATCAAGTCCAAGGGTCCTTTGGAGCATATTTAGGGAAAGAGTTCTTACAGCACTGACAGAATATAAAAAAGCACACAAGATCTTTAGGGAAAAGACTCAGCTTTTATTGCTGAACCTTCAGCCTGTGAGGTCGCAGGATCCAAATAGATTTAAGTGTGCAGACTTGCTCCGGGCCCTACACCGACCCAGGAAAACCAAAGCAGGGTAAGACCCAGCTGGATTTCACTCCGTGCCTGTCTGAGAAGGAACAGCCCGTATCAGAGCTGTCTGTGCTTCAGCCTGAGGAATAAAGCCTGCGCAAACGACGCAGCGGAGCATCTCCCGGGGCAGGGAGCTCGTCCTGGCTGGGCCCCCCCCAGGGACAAAAGCACGGCTCTGCTGATCCTGCCAGCCACGCTCTGAGCGCAAGAGCGGCACCAGGGTTAACAGACAGCACACTCCTGAGGACTTTTAAAAGTAAAGATTTTTAAAAAATGTGTTCTGCCTCTATGTCACAATACACTTTTTTTTTTTTTTTTTCCCCTCCTTCATTCAGAGGCTGCTCCTTTTACAGGATGAGCCGCACACAGCTCTGCAGCAGGTCTCCACGTGACAAACTCAGACCAATCTATCTCTGAAGGTGGAACATCGTAATTAAACTTGGTATTTTTCTAGCTGTAGTCCTCTTGTTTGCTGACTACGATAAGGCAACAGTTCCACCATGCTTTGCCATCTGTGACTACTTCCCCCCTTGGTACCAATTTATAATTAAAATGATTCAAAACATCTTTGCCAAAGAAACATTTTTTAATTAATGCAATGCCACAAAATAATTAAAAGTACAGGAGAAAGCCTGATGCACATCATGTTGCCTTACTTGAATGCCACCGCCTGCCCTTCAATACTTATTTTAAAAAACCACCTAACTTTGCACCCAAAGCAGAGGAGTCTCTTGCAACAGCCCCCCACCGCCCCGCTGGCACCAGGTCAGTGTCTCTCCCACCTGCCTTTACAGTGGGTTTTTTAACCAAATCCCTTTGTTTTGTAAAAAGTTGGAGAAAAGGAAATCAGACGACACAAGCCCCCACTGGTGACATATCCCTGGGCGGCTCAGCCTGCTCCCCCACGCCGGGGGAAGGCCCCCCCAGCACGCTGCCTGACGCCTCTCATCACACCAGTGATGCGATGAGACACCTCTACTGTGAGCACATTTAACACGCATGCCTGACATATTCACAAGCTAATTTTACTCATTTGTTAAATAGAACATTACTGCACCATGCCAAAAAAACACAGGAATAGGCAGAGCTAAGAGTGTCACCATTTATAAACGTAACCTGTCTCTAATGGCAGCCGTTTCTGCAGTATTGCTGGCGACCCAGAGATAATGGACTGTGTCATCATGTATTTCAACGCTTCCCTGGCAAACTTCAGCTCACCTCAAGAAAAGCGTCTGACAAAGTATCTCTGCAAAAATTGAAATCAGAATGCATTAGTTTTCAAGCACCTAGAAGTTCTTTTTCTTTTTTTTTTTTTTTGTCTTTCTTTTTCTTTTTATTTGAAACCAATCTGGATGAATCACTCACACAGTTAAGTGCTTCATCGTGACTTAAGCTGCACTAATATGAAATCCCTGGAGTACGGAGCCCTTCTACATCAAGCAATTTTTAATGTAGCAACGTACTCAAATTATTCTACGTGTAATAAATGCAGTAAGTAAATCAAACATATAAAAAAAAGAAAAGCTTCTGAATCTGGTGTGTCACAAGAAAATGCAACGAACCCCCTCTTTAAATATCATTAATGGGATTTTTCAAAAAGTACATGACAAAGCATTTAAATTCTTTTTAGGAAACACTTTGCTAATAACCTAAAAATACAATTTCAACTTGTTTCAGAGATAAAGAGGCAGCTAAAAATATCTTCCTAAACAATCTGTTACAACATGCCTTTTTGATTACTTATGACAGTGATATCTTCACTATATGAAAAGATGGAAACAATAGAAAAAGATACTTCTTAATTGACAGCAAGTCTCTAATTTGAGTGGGGGAACTGTATATTGCTAAGGATTTATCTCCAAACTGATAACCAGCTCAGCCTATTTTGTGCTGTTAGCCCACTAGCAAGAAAAATATTAAATCATCAGCTTAAGAGTGATCCAGACAAAAGGTTATCTCGGGCTGCGTTTCTAATTAATACTGAGCAACCCAGGCTGCATTTTAAAAGCACGTGTGCGCGTTTTAACTGAAACCAGCACCTATGGTGGGATTAACTACGGTTTTATATTCAGAGTGTCACAAATCTAACAAGGACTGAACGGGGCGATGAGGCGGGGCTCCCAGCAGAGCAGGGCTGCGGGAGGACCCGGCGCTGCGCCCGCGCTCCCCTCAATCATTCACCCTTCCGCGGGCACGGCGTCCGTTAGTGCCTTCGCTGAGTGCGTCGTGACAACTGAGTACAACCCACCTTCCCGACCTGAAGCCACCTCTCGTATCGCTCTCCAGGGGACCCTCTTACCCATCTGCAGCGCTTGCGGGGGCTTTTCCGCACCCCCTGCCACAGCGACTCCTAAGAAAGCTCAGAACCCGGCGCCAGCCTGGGCTGTCCCGACGTCCCTCGCGCTGCCGACAGCGGTCCTCTGCTGCCTCTTCTACAGGTCAAAGGGTGGCAGAGAAAGGCCCGAAGCGTTTGAGAGCGAGATCCAAACGCCGGTAACTTCAGTTGCAGCTCCTTTTCCACGAGCCCGGGCGGCTGCTCAGCATCAGCTACAGACAACGGGGCGTTGCTCTCCGTCCGGGTGGGTGACGCGGAGCCAGAGGTGCCCGGAGCACGGTGGGCACGGGGAACGAGGGGTGCAGAGGGGCAACAGAGCTGAGGCAGAAGCCGGCCACGATTGCCACAGCACCAGCTGCCCGCCACGCCGGGGCCAAACGGGCAAACTGCAGCGGGGAACCACGCTCCATTTTCTGCTTTTGCTCTTTGGGACAAAGATACATTCGCTTATTTTAGGCTTTCCGCCTCTAAGGAAAAATCTTCACTCTGGGCAGCAGATACGAAACCATGGTCCGTGTCAGCTAAAATAATAAGCAGCACTGATTTTGCTTTCAGGTCTTTTTGAAAGAAGGAATCCATTGTTGTAATCCCACGGAGAGCTGGCAAATGCTACTTTAACTTCATCTCTGTTTTGTAGCAAAACTAAGGTTTACTATCATCTTCGCAAGTGAAGATCAAAGGCTTATCCCATTTCTCAAAAACACACCTGACTTAGAGATATTTGACAAGTAGAGACCAAGATGAACCAAATTTCAACTCATTTCTCATGAATATTTCAAATGAACCATAGTCGAAGAGTGTACCTTGTGTTAGAAAACATTAATAAACGTAAAGATATTTCAAGCTCTACTAGTGTTCTTCCCCTTTCCATCATTCTCTCAGTATTTTCCACATTATCTTTTGACCCGTAAATGTGGTGAATGAACATCTGATTAAGTGGCTGCTCTGGTAACTTTCCGCCATTGCTTTGTTTTCAACATATTATGCCTTAAAACTAAACATACTTAACTCTTGAAGGACAAAAACTGTAACTAGCTTTTAACATGCTTTGTTAGTTTATGTTTAATAAAAAGACAGTTTCAGCATATGCAAATAAAAGCACTGTTAGAAGTTGAGCTAAGTAGATTTTTCCTGCAAATAATCCATTTTCCAAGTCTTAAGTATTTGCCCAGTAAGAGGGCAAAAAAAAATCATCTACGCTACTCTCGTAAAATATGCTGCAGGAGTACTGCACCAAATCACCAACTCAATTAAATAGTTACAGTGCTATGTTCAAAAGTCTCTTGAACTTGTTTAACGTGACAGCTTTGTGCCTTTGAGATGCAATCATTACTCCGTACAACAGACTCTTATGGATCAACCGTTCCACCGGGAAGCTGAGAGGACTCGGACCACCGAGTGCCTGCGCGGGGGGACAGCCTGCCTCAGCCTCGCTCCCCGCAGCCCCAAAACTCCACCAACGGCCACTCACCTCTTCGTAAAACTTCAGTTGCGGGACAGCTTCATCAATCTCGTTCATGCAATAGTCTTTAAAAAGCAAAAAACCTGGAAAGAAAAGAGCAAACAAACAACAACAACAAAAAAAAAAAAACCCAAAACAAAACAAAAACAAAAAACAGAAAAACTGTATCATTACTCTGGTAACTTGTAAAAAGGGATAAAAAAGCCACCCGGGTAACATCCTGGCACGTACATATCCACGTAAGCATGCCTTCTTGCCACAGCTGAGCAATACTGACTATCAAGCAGCTCTACAGCATTCTGAACAGAAAAGTATTATAAACCTCCCCCACCTCCCGTAGGTACATTAAGCATATTCCAATTTCTACCTGCTGAGAATTTTATGAGATGTTTACATAATGTACCCAAACATCCCATCCTTCTTCATGGATCAGGTTTTCTTTCTGTTTTCAGAGTAAAAGTTAGATACTATTCACGTGTTTTCGATTTTTGAAATTGATGTACCTTCTTCTGATTGATAAAAAGCAACCTCCTCTGTGTGCCAATTTTAGAATTATTGGTTGTTACTTCTAATAGGTTTTACAGCACAATAAATTACAACGGGATCTTTATAGTTCCTTTGCAAGTAATTTAAAGCACAACCTCTGCAGCCTGCTGATGAGTATTTTCCATGATAAGCATTTTAATGTTTCACCTCACAGAAGTACTGTCTCTGCAGTTGCCTAGAGCTGGTACCTGCTGCCCTTTAAACTTTCCATGGGTACCTGTGTCACAGCTATTGTCTGGGTTATCCAAGCCCCTTAGAGCTGTGAACAAACGTGCTTTCAGTCCACGCAGCAGGTAATCCCTTTCCTTATTCAGTTGCTGTGGACTTACTGAAATCACCCCCAGCTTTTGGAGGTAAGACCACGTAAGTGTAAACTAAACCAAGAAAGCAGCTAAACCAAGGCTGGCGCTGGCTGGGAACCACTGCATCCCACCCCCAGCCCAACTCCCCTCCCCACAGGGCACCCCATCAAGATAGGAAATGCCCCTTTTCAACTTGGAAAAAAACCCCACATATATACATGAGACCTATTTTTTTTTCCTAATGAAAATGTAATTGTAATATGAACTTACAGCAAAATTATATTACCAGAAGAAGTAGCACATCACTGTATGCTCAACTAAGAAATAATACTACCACCTACAGCATCTCATGTTTTCCAGAGTATACTATCTTTAAAAAATGAAAAACCCACTTGATATGCTACACAGCAATTTCACTGCAGTGTGTACAGGAGAGCATTTAACTGTCAGTTATGAACATCATGTCCCTTTAACTCACTATCATCGAATTTTATCAAAGACTTAAATAAGGAAGAAAACCCACGAACCACTCTGAAGCAAAACCGTTAGTCTCGGCGGACAAAGCAATGCTGATCAGGCAAACAAAGGCATTAATTTATGTATGATTAAACATTTATCAGATTCTTGGTAGCCCCTCTATCTATATCTGGATCCCAAGTTAAATTTCCTATTGGAAGAGCTCATTTTGCTAAGGTCCCCTAGATTTATTTGGTCACAATCAGAATACCAGAAAATGGATTATGACCAGATAACTCCTATACTTTGCTTGACTCGTTTAGCTGATCAGGATGATTTAACTGATTCAAAGATCTACAAACTGGGTTTTGTTCTCTAAATGAGGACAGAAATCTAATTAATCGATTCTCTTATGAGATTCTCCAAAGTTTCTAATTATTCTTTAAAAAAAACCACAAAATCTTCTTGAAATATTTTATAAACAAATGTGCTTTTTTGGAAACAAAAAAAAAAAAAAAATCAACTCCACATTTTCTATTCCTTAACAGCAATTTGAAATTGGAGTGCTGCTGCTTCTTTCTCTCTCTTTTTTTTTTTTTTTTTTTTAAGGGCTTGTCTTAGTTCCTATTTTACTGGAAATATTCTTAAGAAGTTGTCTTCCCTTATTGCAGAGGAGATGGAGAGAAGCACCGGAGCAGCCCGTGCCTCGTACGAAGGACAGAGTTCCCAGCCAGCCGCCAAACCCAGAGTCACCCAGTGACAGCAGGGGACACGACTGCCCGCTCCGAGCAAGTCCCAAACTGTCCCCACTGCTGCCAAAACCCACCCAAACCCACCCAAACCCACCCACTGCCAGGGAGGGACAGCCTGCACCTCCCCAGAGCACCCGGTGCCTTGCATTCCCCGCCTGAGCGGCACACACGGCACGAACCCCCAATTCATCAACTCTTATTTAACACATGATCGGAACAGCAGCAGCGCTGAGCAAAATAATGCTGAATTGACTGAACTTTTATTTGGACAGTGAACTAAAGAAGATTACAGTCATGTAATTAAGAGACTAAAGAGTGGCACAAACAGCAATGAATGCAGTGAAAGAAAAATCCCTGGCGGGGTCCCAGCTACTGGCTGTTTACCAAAAAAACCCACAAACAAAAAAACCCACAAAAAACCACAAAGACAACCGTGGGAGGAGTGTGAAAATATACCAACACAAATTTTCAACAATGCCATGCCAAACATTTTAGCCCTGTTTAATATTTTCCAAACTTTTTAATTTAATTATCGCAGAAAAAGAAAAGGTTCACAAGCCCAGAGAACAAGGAACAATAGCAGGCTTATGCTGCCTGCGTTACACAGCCCGCTTCCCACCAAGTACATTTCCAAACTGCATAGCTATGCAGAAAACTAGAGGCATCCAAAACAAGAAGTTAGAAACTTTTATAGATGATTAATATTGTCATAGGAAGTTACAGCCGTATGAATTAATACTGACAAAGTGCTGTTAGTCAGGTTCCAGTGAAGATGAGCAGAATTATTCCAGCAGCATTTTAAAGCGTACAGTAAAAAACAAAACAAAACAAAAAAAAAACTAGGAAGAAATATTGCAGTAAAATAAGTTATAGCATGAAACATCTCTTCTCCATGAAGTTACCAGCGTTGTAAGTATTCAGTAGCCAGACACCCAAGGCATCTGCAAGCCCGTTGCAGACAAAACCATACCCTGAGGAGCAGCAGGGTGGTGGGAGCCGACGGCAGGAGACGGGGGCTGGTCCCGCTCCTCGCCCTGAGCACAGCCGTGCTTGGCACAGCAGGTCACACGGAAATGCTCTCGTAGCCAGAAAAATGGGTAAGAACTTTATTTAATTGTAATTTTTACAAGTTTCAAGGAGGGGGGAGGGCGGGGAGGAAAGCAACAAAAAAATCCTGCTTCAAAAGGTCAGTAGCATCCAAAATGAATATTATTCTAACACTTGGGGAGTGTTTAACACATAAATTAGAGCAGCAGCTTTCATCAACTATTCACCATTGTCTTTTCAGAAAAAAAATACAATACATTCCTTTTAAGAAATGCTGTTCGATACCAGTTAGGGTTGAACATAACAATAGATATTTCAAGTTTCCTTTGAAGAACCTGTGTACTGGGAGGATTTATGTATGTGTATTAAGAGATACTGTAGACATACACGCAGCTTACATAGTCTTTAAAAGAACCTGGATTTCACATGGACCAACCTCCCTTGACAGAAACGTTTCTAGTATTATTTTTTAAAAGATATGCTCTACCCAAACCACAAGAAGGATTATGTACCATAAGCTTTCCAAGCAACAGTTTGGAAAGCTAGACACATGCACTGCTCTGCGAGTAACTACAGGGTTACTCCATCCTCCGAGTTCGCCCCGGGACAGTACAGATCCCTACCTTACAACCGGAACCTACGCGTTCGGGGTACCTTCAGGAAGACGTTTCTAACGACTATGTGACAGCGACCGGTCGCTGAAATCTGGTGGCTTCAGCACGGGAAAAATACTCCAGACTTGGAAGTGGATAGCCAGCTGCAGAATTCATTACTGCTTCGGCGGCGGCGAACAAAGCAACGGCTGGTCCCGCGCAGGAGCGGTGCCAGCGGCCTCCGGCGAAGGGCCCGGCCGCTGTGGCAGCCCCGGAATGAACTTCCTCCCGGCCTCCACATTTCAGATGGGATTGACGAGAATCAGATTCTGGGAGAGTTTTGAAGTGCGTCCTCACGCTTGGCTGGCATTAGGCAACCCTGAGTGCTGCTCTTAAAATTATTAGCAACAGAGACATCAAAGAAAAATCGGTGGGTGTCCAGCACAACTTTTTTCTTCAGCAGGCTGTATATGGGGAAGGATAAGCCAAGTGATGGAGTTCTTTTTAATTAATTGATAACAGTGATAAATTATTTTTTTTTTTTTTTTTTTTTTTTTCCCCGACTTGTATCATGAAAACAGAGGGAAAGGGTGTCAACCCAGGCATTCTCTCTGTCAAAATGAGAGTGATGGCAGGCAGCCAACCGCATCCCTCCTGGCCCTGCCTGGACAGAGCTGCTCTCCCGCCCGCGTCCGATGGCGGCTGCGCTGGGAAGCGGCTGGAGGAGGCGAATCGCTGCCACGGTGCCAGGAAGACGAGAGGTCTGCAGGAAAACTTTAATTCCAGGGATGATTCATCGGAGGCTGATGGTTAGGGACAAGGAATGAAGAGGGATCTAGGGGACTGCGAGAGGCTCTCGCGGAGCCTGGAGGACAGAGATGTGAAGGGAAAAAAAAAATCTTTGGGGAGAGCAAGAAACAAAAACGGATTGCCAAGCGATGAGAGTGGTGACTTGTAATTACTTCACCGAAGATTTACAAGGGAGGAAAACAGATTCAGAATCTCCACTACCCAGTCAACAGTATCGTTCAAAATGATCTAAAACTCCTAAGAAAAATTCAGAATAATTTGTGGGTAAATTCTTCATTTAAGAAGTCCTATTCCCTGATTTTTACCTTTTTATGAATGATTGGCCTTTTAGCTCTTTTACAGCACAAATGCAAATGCAAACATACTACTGCTCCCTCGTCTCGTGTTTGCAGCTTCTCTGACCATGCAATCCATGTCCCCAGGTATCAGCACACTTGGAATCTTTCCACTGTCCTCAATTCAAATAAATCCAATTAGAGCTTCATGTTCTCCACATTGGAAGCGTTTCTGTTTCGACCTCCCATTGTATCAATGGATTCTGCACTTCCACTGCAGCAGAAAGGAAATCTCCTCTTTT